TCTCTCTCTCTCTCTCTCTCTCTCTCTCTCTCTCTCTCTCTCTCTCTCTCTCTCTCTCTCTCTCTCTCTCTCTCTCTCTCTCTGTTCCTCCACTACTTCCATTTGAATCGTAAATAATACCGGAAATTCCTGAACTGTTCTCTACAAATTGTTGTCAAAGCGAGGCGCTGTGATCGCTCGTTGCGCGTCGGTTTCGGCCATCTTTAGTTGACGAGCCAGTGCACGGTGGAGAACTGTTTCCTGACTGTGTGAGAGGGAAGCAACTTGGTGGACAGCGTGCGGGATTAGTGAGTCACCAGTTTCGCTCGTTTTGACGGAAGAAGCGCCCATCGTTACTTGGTAAACGGTAAATATAAAGAAGTAACGAATTTTTATGTTCTCTAAGGGTATTTTAGCTAAACGAATCATTTTCCTCTCGTACTTGGTGTTTACGCTGGGTGTGTCAAAGTGCTGTGGTATATCGCCCCACATTCTCCACACCCTTCACACCCCCCGACCTTACTGCCATCTCTTCCCCGTCTTCGTGCCCCTCCGTCCCAGTCCCGCTCGCCGTACAATTGTCAGAAAATGGTGATGCATTGCATTCTCGAGCCCTTTGTTATGCCGTGCACCCACGCGTCCTAAACTTTTATTGCTCCTAAGGAAAATCGGAACATCCGGCTTCCATCGCACCTGACGACCATTTCGTTAGCTGATACAGCACGACGCTCATTCGTTGCAAGCGAAAAGTTATATCTGCGTGTCTCTTCGCGGCGCGTACAAAATTACTTTTGGATATTTTACGGGTATCTTTTTATCTCTTAGCGTCGCGACGACCGACTTCTCGCGTCCTACGGATTCCTAGGGCTGTACAGTGCGCGTCTTCTGATTAGACGGTTTCTTACAGTCTCGACATTACGGTATGTCATAATCGTTATGTACAATGGTGATTTAATTCATGGTTTTGGATTGTAGCTTATGATACCTTATGGTGAGAATACTTTTTTTTTAACGCAATATTCGGGATATTTTTGAGATTTTGTAATAAGAACCGAAGAGAATTTAGAGGGTGTCTGTATTTTTTTGTATATATTATTTCTTTGTTAGAGATAATTATAATTTATGGTGTTTTGTATTTGATAATTGCTGTTTGGCAGGTGTGGAACGACTCGCCCGTTACAACCATGAGTTACCAAATGTCGTCAAGTCAGTCTAGACCCAGTAAGTTTGATTATGTGGTTTCAATTATTAGTGATGTGTATATAGCAGGTTTGATAGAAATAAAATAATTTTTTTGCAGTGTCCCATGGAAATTACCAGGGACCTGGTGATCTACCAATGGGATCTGCGAAAGAGCAGACATTGATGTGGCAACAGAACTCCTACATGGGAGATTCTGGTATCCATTCTGGCGCTGCCACTCAAGCACATTCTCTGTCTGGCAAAGAAGATGATGAGATGGAAGGAGATCCACTAATGTTTGATCTAGATCAGGGTTATGCCCAGGGATTTACACAGGATCAAGTCGATGGTGAATATCATAGCTACATAGGAAATCCCAAAAATATCAAATATGGAATATCAGGTACAACTGAGATAACTTTCCTCATTCTCATTTACAATAGAAATGAATCAGCAGCTGAGTCACACTCGATCCCAGCGTGTACGAGCGGCCATGTTTCCGGAAACATTAGAAGAAGGTATTGAAATACCATCAACCCAATTTGATCCAGCCCAACCGACAGCAGTGCAACGTCTTGCTGAACCAAGTCAAATGCTAAAACATGCTGTTGTCAATCTGATCAACTACCAGGATGATGCGGATCTGGCGACTCGTGCGATTCCTGAATTGATCAAGTTATTGAACGATGAAGATCAAGTAGTGGTTTCACAAGCAGCCATGATGGTCCACCAGCTTTCAAAGAAGGAAGCCTCCCGTCACGCTATCATGAACAGTTCTCAAATGGTAGCTGCCTTGGTGCGAGCCATTTCTAACAGTGACGACCTGGAATCCACCAAAGCTGCAGTTGGCACATTGCACAATTTATCCCACCACAGACAGGGTCTTTTGGCCATTTTCAAGAGCGGTGGCATACCAGCCCTGGTCAAATTACTCAGCTCACCGATGGAGTCTGTTCTGTTTTATGCTATCACTACCCTGCACAACTTATTACTTCATCAAGATGGATCAAAGATGGCTGTTCGTCTTGCTGGAGGATTGCAAAAGATGGTTGCTCTACTTCAACGTAACAATGTCAAATTCCTTGCCATCGTTACAGACTGTCTGCAGATTCTTGCTTATGGAAACCAGGAAAGCAAGCTCATCATCTTGGCTTCGCAAGGACCCATTGAACTGGTGCGCATCATGCGTTCTTACGACTATGAGAAGCTTCTTTGGACGACATCTAGAGTTTTGAAAGGTAGGGTTTCATTTTTTTTACTCTTAAAAGTAATATCAAATACTGTTTCTAATAGACCATACTTAGAACGATATATTCATTCAATTTAAATGATTTCCACGAAGCCTAGTTATATATTATCCGACACACCTTGCCAATTTATTACCTACTCAGGCTGTATGCTGATGATGTAACTTTAACGCTACGCCAGATACCAGCTTATCCAGGATTGGTTAAGATCCTCTATCTTGAATAAATCCCACATGTAAACATTCTTAAGACATGTTTACACATTTTTATGTTTAGCCTGTTTACTGGTTTTAAAAATTCCGCTTAATGAAGTACGCTTTAATTTTTTCATTCTGTTCATAAGCATTGAATTTTATTTAGTATTAAACAAATGTACTTCCTATTCCCTTGCAGTGCTTTCGGTATGCTCCAGCAACAAGCCTGCCATTGTTGAAGCAGGTGGTATGCAAGCACTAGCAATGCATTTGGGAAATCCGAGTCAGAGACTCGTTCAAAATTGTTTATGGACACTGCGTAATCTTTCCGACGCGGGGACAAAGGTGGACGGTCTTGAAAATCTTCTCCAGGGTCTGGTGCAGGTTCTTGCTTCCAGCGATGTAAACGTCGTTACATGTGCTGCAGGCATTCTGTCCAATCTAACGTGCAATAATCAGCGTAACAAGGTATGTGAGGAACTCGAAGAGATTCGACCCTAGCTATAGTCTCTCATTAACCTCCAACATTTAATTTCAGGTTACAGTGTGTCAAGTTGGCGGAGTTGACGCTCTGGTACGCACCATCGTGAATGCCGGTGATCGTGAGGAGATCACAGAACCTGCAGTATGCGCTCTGCGCCACCTGACCTCCCGTCACGTAGAAGCTGAAATGGCGCAGAATTCAGTTCGCCTAAATTACGGTATTCAGGTGATAGTGAAGCTGCTGCATCCGCCTTCGCGTTGGCCTCTAGTGAAGGCCGTCATTGGTCTGATTCGCAATTTGGCACTTTGTCCTGCCAATCATGCTCCACTTCGAGAACACGGCGCCATTCATCACCTCGTCAGACTTCTGATGCGCGCTTTTCAAGATACGCAAAGAGTAAGTTTTTTTTTTAATTTCATGTAAAACCATCAGTAGAAAAATTAAAATATTTTAATGGTGCAATCTTTTATTTTATCTTTCTTTCTCTCCATAGCAACGGTCGTCCGTCGCCAGTACCGGCAGTCAACAGGCATCCGGTGCGTATGCCGACGGCGTCCGCATGGAAGAGATAGTCGAGGGTACCGTAGGTGCTCTTCACATCCTCGCCAGAGAGTCTCACAATAGAGCCATCATCCGATCTCAGAACGTCATTCCGATCTTCGTTCAGGTATAATTTGCTTCGTTATTTTTTTCACCCCATTGCTTAAAAAAAAAGTATTCAGCATCTACAGCGAAAATATTTTTTACTTGCTGCAGTTGCTGTTCAACGAGATTGAGAATATTCAGCGCGTGGCAGCGGGTGTGCTCTGTGAGCTGGCAGCCGACAAGGAGGGTGCCGAGATGATAGAACAAGAGGGTGCCACAGCACCCCTAACGGAATTGCTGCACTCGAGAAATGAGGGTGTCGCTACATACGCAGCCGCCGTTCTATTCCGCATGAGCGAAGACAAGCCTCAGGAATACAAGAAGCGACTGTCCATGGAGCTGACCAATTCCCTATTCCGCGAGGACACCAATCTGTGGAATAATGCTGACTTCAGCATGGGTCCAGACTTACAGGTAACGCACGTGCTAAAGGAAAGAACACAATGCGCGACGCTTCAACAGCGCCGTGGCTCAGTTTAGCCGAGATTTGCGTGTATTTTGACTGTCATTTTTACGCCGAGTGCGCGAAATAGTTTCAACCAGTGCCAATACACATACAATATATATATACACACATTTTTTCATTCACGTAACATATCACTCTTGTTTTATCGCTTGGCTTTTTAGTAACACTTATTGTAAGCGCGATGCTTCGCATTGCTCGAATAATTAATACGCTATGAAAACGGTCATAAATTAAGCCACGGTTCGCAGAGTGACACCTATAGTAAAAACCTAGCATACCATCACCACACGTATACGTAGGAACAGCACCAAGTGCTTGCTTAATTACCCTTTTTTTTATTCTACGTATTTTCGTGTACAGTTTTACTTTTTTTTATTCTCCTTTACTTTCAGTATGAAAGAAGTAGTGTAGAATCCACTATCGTCCCGTGTCCATTATTCCAGTACGCACAGCCCATACATTCTTTCACAGTGAAAAAGACTAGAGGGGAGAGAAACAAGAAATAGAAATGTATACACAGATGCTTCACTGACGGTCGCTTCTCGAAAAGAAGCTTCGAACCTTTGACACGGAAACACCGCCTCGATAAGCTTTCGCATCGGTAATGTCATAACGTTGTACACACCAAAGATTCATCGCTACGGGTTCCGTATGCCTAGTCAAAACGCATTATCTCAGTACACCCAAAGAGTTGATTTGTTGAGGCTATTAATGAATCTAAAATTATCATCAAAGACTTTACGAGGCGTTCGATTTATTTTTAAACTCTACTCGAGGCGTGCCTAGATGCGACCTGTTTCTTTTTTTTTTTTTTTAAACTTCCCGCTCTCCGTCTGACAATGTATTGTCAGTACGTAAACACGACATTGTTATCGGTAACCGGCAGTTCCACCGTACACACACATAATTCAAGTCCTACGCAACTTCCTAAAATGAATTGCTTAAAAGTGTAGCGTACTTCAAGCTCTCTTGTTCCTTGTAGAGGACGTCAGTGTAAACGTACGCCTAGCGGAGCGACGGCTGGTAGATCGTGTAAACGAATAGAGAATAATTATCTTTGTCCGAGTCACAGACAGTTTGCAAGCAACACGCATTGAGAATCCCCGCATGAGCCAAGAATGCATTTTGAGACCCTCCTTTTATAAAGTGTCGCACGAAAGCGAGGAGAGAAGCCCAAGAGATTATAAAGAAAGTGAAAAGGGAAAAAATCTTAATACGTATCAGCGGAAACTCTACGCACGTACGTATGTCAATACGAAGTAATGTAAAATGGGCCGTGCAGAGCTTCAATAGACGAAATCGAATTATTCTCATTGTCATTAACGTTCGCTCTTTTCCGCCAGTACTTTTCGATACTAGTATCGGCCAAGTAACGTGACCCCGACGTCATATGACCCCCAGGACGTATACCTACGCATCCAGCTTTACGTTAAACCGATAAGTTTTGTGTTGACCTATGCTACCTAATCTCCAGGACATGCTTGGCCCTGATCAAGGCTATGATGGTATGTATGGACAAGGACCCCCTAGTGTACACAGCAGCCACGGAGGTCGAGGTTATCAGCCACAAGGTAAGTCCTCGTACCATTAATTGATAACAGACACAATTGTCCTTAATTATATCACATAATAGATTAATCCGCAGGGAAACATACAGGAACGTAAATTTGGAGTTACAGATCAATAAGTACCATAGTAGGAAGCGTTATGTGCATTGCGATTGTGCCCTAAGTTTAAAGTATACATAATATACTCACACATGGGATATCAATATCTAAATATATAATATTAAATCTGATAACGAGATCAATTTCGATAGTGCAAGCCTGCGCGTGCTAATTGGCTAACAGAACGTATTTTTTTCCCTCAATGACTATATCTCTTTTTCTTTTTTTTTTTTTCTTATCAAATAATTTATGTACTCTCTTCTATCGTAACCAATGATAACGCTATCGTCAATGGGAACATACCTAACACTTCGTTATTTCAACAGCAGCTTAACCCCCCTTCCTCCCCACGGACTTATATTTAAGTACAGGCTATCAAGAATATCTCGCAGTAACAAATAGGTGATATTCAAAATTCCCATTATACGTGGCTTTCTCTGTGTAACATATTTGTTGTTGTTGTTGGCTTGCTGATCAAATGTTGTTTAACAATAATATTTATTCAGATTCATGTTTTTGTCTTGCCTGCTTGATTTTACGTTGCCTTGCGTGCGTGACTACAGTGCCTGCCATCTGGTATTACGTATGTGTTTTTCGTACCACGTTGTTGCACTTTTTAAGATACTACATATACATATACTGTGTACCATAGAGATATACGTTATATACCGTAAAAAACATACTATATATATATAGATATATTTGACGTGATTATAATAGCACAGCACGCCCCATGCATCATAGAAGTGTTTCTCACTCGAGATACGCGTTACTATACGGTTACGGCCATTTTATATATTTTTTTTTTTTAATTTGAATTATATCGATAGTATCGTATTGCTTTCACGGTGACTGCAGGATACTTCACGACTCCGCATGCGATATATGCACTCGTCTTGTTTTACTATTTTACGCTGGTACACGCGGGTTTACCGTATCCGTCTGTCGATCTTTCATCGTAATCATAATTCTGTAAAAGGATACGCGCGATGAGTTCTAAGTGCGTAATAAAACTGTGAAAACTATGTTAATTTCATCGTGTTCTTTCGCGTCGTGGGTATCGGTATTACGAATCTCTGCGCTAAAGATAATTCGAGACTCGGAGTAATAATGTCTGACGGCTGTGTGGCCGAGTGGATCGGTGAATGTAAAAAAGGGATATATGGGAAGGGATTAAGAGAGAGAGAGAGAGAGAGGGGGGAGAGAGAGAGAGAGAGAGAGGATTGACGAGAGAAGCAACATGGCTGATTCTGGTTGAACGTATGAAAAGGCACGCAATCAAGAAACTCTCTCGTGGCTGCCGCGTAATTTGTCTGCCTTTCATCACGTTCCCTTTTGCCAGGCTGTGTTTATCGAAGCTGAAAAAAAAAATCAATAGCACACGACGCCCACTTAACTACCTGCTATTTCCTCCTCGAAGACATTTTCCGAATGCCGAGCCATACCGCACGTCATGTCCGTTGGGACTTTCGTTCAATCAACTTTGACTCGCGTTGTCCCCGTGAAACATGTCGTGGTCTTACTTTGTCCCTTGTATGTGTCTCGTTTTCCTATTTTTTCCTCTTTTTTCTATACCTCTCTCTTTTGGCTCTCTTAAATATTGGAATTCTATCCTCCCTCGGCAGACACAAACGAACCCGCGTGGTCTGGTAAGGTTGGGACGTATAAAAGCCCCTCGGGCTCGCGAAACAAACATGGCGTCTCCGTGCGCACGACTCGCTGATATTGATTCCACTCGTTTTAAATGGACGAAAGCCCTCTTTGCGCTTACTCCTCAATGGGACTGTACCGAAGCGTTTGGTTTCTTCAAAGAAATGCAATTGCAATTTGCGGGTGGTACTGTACGGTTTTGGGGTGGGGTCTGGGTATGGTCGTGCAATCATGTCAAGTGGATGTACCAAGGAAGGATATGTCCTTGGTACGTGATAGCTTTAATATGACATTGATGAAAAATTTACATGCAATGATTATTCATTTATCGCTTGATATTCACAGGTTATGACCAGATACCAATAGACTCGATGCAAGGATTGGAGATCGGCGGGGGATCGACGTACGGAGCGATGGACACGATGGATGTGGCGCACGAGGGCGATCTGAGCTTTGATCATCTGGAGGAGCTACCAGCACCACCTCAGGATAACAATCAGGTCGCGGCCTGGTACGACACCGACCTATAGGCGATTACAACGGCCGAAGCCAGGGCAAGAATGAGATCGTCGACTCCTTCCCTCCTCGATGGAACAATCGAAATTTTAACTCGTGACGTTTCGTTTGTGAAAGCGTTGTCATGATCTTTTTTTTTTTTTTTTTTTTTTTTTTTTTTTTTTTTTTTTTTTTTTTTTTTTTTTTTTTTTTTTTTTTTTTTTTTTTTTTTTTTTGGTATTTTTAATTAATTTTTTCATTCGTTTATCTATTCTCCCTACGTACGGACGCTCGTTACTGCGGTTCGTCCTATGATCCGCCCTCTTCTTCGTTTACTCAATCGGGGCGCCATACTGCTGCAAGGCACAGTGGCACGAAATTTTAAATATAGGCAAACGATTATCACTAGGAGACGAACAATTGTACTTTCAATATCGTAAAGACTGTATGGCCAGGGTTATCATGCTTTATGTGTCTATTTACCGTAATCGCAAGATTTTACGATTCTGACCTGTGACCCCCTTCTCTGAAGACCCCCCCGAACTTTTGTTCCGATCTACATTTTTTTGAACTATTTCACGGCTCGTAGAGATATGTAACTAGAGGTAGATAATTATTCTACAATGTATTTATGCAACGCGTGCGTGCTATACGTAAATTAATGATACGGCTCCGCGACGACGACCTTATCGAATGACCGTTGCAATTCGCGTTCGTCGGCTTATTAAGACGAATCTGCGTACATGGATGAACGGTGAAGAAACATTTTATACGTTCTTTTTTACCGAATCATCAAGAACCCGTCGATACTTTAGGTAACATGCGCAGACTAACGAGCGAGACAAATGCAGAGACTTGTTTTTATTTATTTCATTCTTTTTTTTTTTATATAAATAATAAAACGTTTCGATAGAGTGACGTACGGAGTGATTATAATTATATAATTGCCATGCGGCTGTCAATACTGGAAATAATAAAATAGTGCGAATACCTTCAAACGAAATAATTCACGATTGCGTCACCGGGACAGTCTCGCTCTGAAAATGAAATGAGTCTGCCAGTTTAATTGTCTTTTTTTTTCTCTTTTTTTTTTTAATGATTTTTATCATCAAAGACGTCGCCATTGTTGTGCGTGCGAAAAGTCAGAGCGGTTGACATGAAACTTTTTCATGTATTATCTAGTATTTCGAAGCTAGCATAACGTTTTGTAACGATGCCTCGCGTTCGTTCGACAAGTATTGATAGTTTAAGGTACAAGATGACAGACCGTTTCCGGTCGCGCGAAACTGAAAGAGGAGGAAGGAAACAGAAATTGAAACGAGCAATTCGAACGTTGGAATAGCATCGCACATCACGTTAGGGACCATCCTCTCTCTTTCTCTCTCTCTCTCTCTCTCTCTCTCTCTCTCTCATTCATAAACCATTCGTCGAATTTTTATTTAATAAAGTGATCTATACGATATGAACTCATATCAATGGACGGAAACAAATACCAGATCGATTAGCAATGTCAATGCTCGGTGATCAATAATCCCAACCGATCTGCATAAACCCGATCGTCAATTTGTTTCGATCCGTTGTCATTCTTTTATTGTAACTAACATGTGTACACGCCTCACTAACCGGAAGTTACCCAGCGGTCCTAGGAAAATTTCAATCGCGTGGCTACATGTACATTTTCACTGCAAGTCAGATATTTTATTTGCAGTATCGAATATTCATGGCTCTCGTACCTTCGTTAATTTTTTTTTTATTCGATACGGCGAGCGACCATCTTGTTTATGTTTCCCTTTCGCATTTCGTATTCGCAATCGCGTAAGATCACCGCGAGAGTGCCGCGAGGATGCGACGAGAGTTTCGGCTAGCGACGTAAAAAAAGATAAGAGAAAATCAGAATTGCAATGCAAAACTACGAAAAGCAAATGGGGGAAAAAACAAAAATGGCGCTCGTTTTTATACCCGGCGCGAACGGGCTACTACGAACATGAAGAACTAACTATTTATATCGTTAATCCGAGTATTAGTCGTTCGAGTATCAATAAACAATATGAATAAGGTATAAACGATATAAAAAGAAAAACTTTCGCATTACGCATTTTACAGGGTAGTAACGTTTAATTTTTAACGTACACGTATGAAGTACCTACGTAAAGCAACTCTGCCGTGGGTATGCGAGGCGTATGGATCAATGGAAGAAAAATAATGACGTCGCGTCCCTCGGCATCGAGATGTATTAGAATTTATTGATAAGAAGACACGTAATTCGTACACACATGTATATGTATCGTTTAATTGTCCATATGAAATAAAGTATACGAGTAAGTCTAAAAAAAGAAACTGTGTGTAACCTTTTAGAGTATATTTACAACGGCGGCCATGTTTCTTACTGCTGTGTTTATCTGTCAAACGGAATTATGTATCTTCAGATGATTGATGGAAATTTTAATGTATCCTTGATTAACCATCATCATCATCCAGCAGTAGCAATATGTATCTATTCCATGTAAGCGTATAGCGTCTCAAGCGCCTTATTCGAGTGACGCCAAGCGTCGCCGTTTAACCGTTAGAACGACGCTGTTACTTCTTGACGTAATCGTTAGACGCTTCAACTATTCTACTCTGGACCGTTACTTAGACTGCGTCGACAGTATCTCTTCGGTTAATTAACTACAGACGTTTCTTCGACTACTGACCTATACATCCTTTGGAATTCCGATTACGCGACGGTTTCTTTATGCTTCTCAAAAGGTTATGTCCTTTGGCTAGAAATTTTCTTTGAATCGATACAGAAACAATGTCACGGATTCTGAAATGCTATTATTGATACTGAAGTTTGCTCAGTTTTAAAAGTAAAGAACTCCTACTTATCGGCAGTCAGTTAAGTCGATGTTAACCATATAAGTCATCCGAGCTTCTAATGAGAAGAAAAATCGTAAACGTTTCTGGTAAACCAATAAGACATATGAAATAACGTGTACACAATTACTTCTACTTGTAAATGTCAGAGCGTGTTACCACGAAGAGGTTAAGTGTACTTTAGTTTAGGCTAATTTGCTTGAAGAGGTCTGCCAGAGCACACACAGCTATAATAAGGAGTCTAAATGCGTGAGACCGTATAATTGCTTCAGAAATGATAGCGATGTGCGTTGAGAATAATTGAAAAAGTGTAAATACACCAGGCAATTTAATTTTGCTCAGAAGCTTTATGTGCAGGCTACTTTCTTATTTGTAATCTAAGAATTTGGACTGTCGGATAAGAAATCTTAACGAGTGTCGTGCTTTTAATTATTCCATGAATTATGTTAACGAGCTAAGAAAGCATATAGGAAACATTTGTCCTTGGGCGAAAATTAGTAAATTAAACAGCATCCGTTATAACGTTTTAAAAATGTTACACAGAATCTATGTTTATCTTTTTTCTATATAAGGTCAGGATATTATGCGCTCTATAAAATAAATCCTGCTACTCTGCACTAAACCATAGCGAATAGATTTTGTTGGGAATGGCTAAAGGGATATCGTCTTCCCGGTTACGAATTGAGAATAGACTCACGGACAATCCAAACTCTTAATGTCAGGATTTTCGCTCGAGCGACCCGCGTTCACAACGAGCGACCCGCGTTCACAACGAACGACCCACATCCATTGAGGACCGGTGTCAACGGTGTTTTGGCCAGTGGGAGCTCTACCAGGCCACTCTTCAGGCGCACATTCACCAGGTCGCTAATCGCTGGTCGACGCTCGCGCGGTTTGCACGTACCAATAATTCACATTCGAGCGTCCTTCGGTTTTGACACTTATTTGTGTTGTTGTTTCTCCGTTAAGACAGCAAAAGAATCTTCCTCGGCGTCTCTTCGGCAAAGGAGATGAGGTAGAGTAACCGGACGGAGTCTGGGTGAACGTCTACGTCCAGGGACCGTTTGCTGATCATTGGGAGCAGAAGTGAACGGTGCAGGTGAGTTTTTAATTGGCTGATGGCAGAGAATGCAATTATTAGGATATAAAGTAAAGTAAATGAAGAATCCGTTCCGGTTCAGGAATCAATGCTAGTAGTATAGATCTCAAGGAGACCTTGAACATTTAAAATTCTTCTATGCACCTTGCATATTATTTATATGTGATTATGCATTGTTTTACATTGCTTGAAATTTATCTTGACAGCAATATACATATGCAGTATATGGAGAGGTACCTTAAGTTACCTTCACATTCTATCCTTTCAAGGTTAATAAATTCTTCTGGATCTAGATTACAGTCTCTGCTTGGTCCTTTCAAATATATATTCACTGTGATACACATGTGCGGTCAACCAGCGACCGGTTTGAAATACGTCACTGTACCAATGTCACGATATTCCTTATGTATATCAGGTAACAAAGATACTCGGTGGTAGCATCGCTTTAGTTGAATTCAAACTGAACGCGCTCATCGCGCTGCTCCAGGAATAATCGTTTATACCAATTTCGCGTAATTGCACACTACACGGCAAACGGCGCGACAAATCGCTCTTATCCATCCCATTGATCTCCCTGTACCATTGTTCTCGATTAACCCTGCACCGCAGTTATGAGATAACCTGTAAGACAGTCAGAAAGTCAATTTTACACATAGTAATTATAGCTCCACTTGCGTAACGAACTAATGGCTTGTCTCGAGCATTTAAAAAAAATGACAATGACTATAACGTAATTACCTGCAGAACTAAATGATTTTGCATAATTAAATACCGTGTCGATTTTATGTCTTTTTTGTCAATCAAAAATGAGCTTTTTATCCATCCGCATTGTCTAAGGGCATCGGTCACGTGGATGCAGGGGCAATTTTACGCTGGTAACCGGTAAGACGTGAAAGTGCAGCCACATGCAGGAGACTGGTGCCTCGCTACTTCGTCGCACGACAATCCCCCCGTACGGCTGGGTCGCTCGCGAGAGAAATTGCCTGTCGTTTCGTGAAGTTAGCGGACAATCAGAGTACTCATCTAACCGGGTATGCGAGTGGTCGGGCATTGCTCGCTCTAGCACCTCCAGGACTCTTGACGATTCTTGAGAACTCATCGGTCGCCAGCCTGTTAGAGAAAACAATAATATAAATTTGATGAAGCGTGTAACAAGCATCTATTCAAGCAGAAAGAAATAGAATTACAGGTAGAGATTCTCACCTGTTTCAAAGATAATAACAATAGTCGATTAAATAAATAACGCGATTTAATCTCGTGAATTTACTTGAAATTCATGTGAAATTCATCTGGGTAAACGTTTATTCGCTAACGGGACATTTAATGACTGTGCGATTCTCGGTAATTGCGATTCGTTACGTTTGTATAATTCATTAAATTTTTTTTCACCATCTGTCTTTTTATCTTACTTTTACAGAGGCCTTCCTAGTTCCAAGCTACAGTTTACGTTCTGGACCTGGTGAGAGGACTGAACTGTCTCTACCACTGGATCTATTACAAGTATATCCTTTCAATTTGACTATATTGACTGAAGGAAGTGACTGTATCTTAGCCGACGAGGAAGGTTCACCAGGTGGTGTAGTGCGTGCATACTGCTGTGATGTGAACGATGCTCTGTGAATTTGTCAATAGATCACCTTATCCCGTGATAATGTTTATGGATTTTTGGTAAACGTACGAATCAACGTGCAGTAAGAGTGATGGCACTGAGAACCCTCGTGAGAAGATAGTTAGTCAGTCATTGATGACAGTCAGTAGTGCTTGTGAAAGTGCAACGGTGCGAGGGAAACGAAAAGATCTAAGAGGATGACCGTGACGATGGAGCACAAACGAAAGAGTTCATGGGATTCAAAGGTGGGACAATAACAACAAACAATACAATAGGATGAATACTTAATAGGAGTTATGATTCACTAATTTGTACTTGGTGTAAATCATGGCCTTCCGGAGTCTGTCCATTTTTTTTACTTGCACTTTAATCACCATATAATATACCTATAGGTATATTATATGTTAATGATTTTCTCTTGCTACTGTACAGGCTCTTAACAGAAATTGTACTGGGACGAAATCTCATTTGAAATTGTAACCTGGCAATTATTCTTTTACGATTCAATTGCGAATCGAATTGTGCCGATTCCATGTGGCTTTCTCTAACGGAAGAAAGTTTATGCTCGTCATGAAGCTGATCAGGATATTCCTTCTAGTTACTTCCATACCCAGAGTACATCTTCTTGGGATCTACGTGTCTTTCAGGACGCTGATCTCGATGATACTGTCTCTTGCAGCAATCTCGCTTTATGGTGAAAGTGGCCTGCATATTGTCCAAGCCATATACATATAAGCGTGTGGTATCGCGATCCTTGGTACGCGTATTCGTATCTTCATTTGATTATGTATTTATTTGGTGTTACATAAAATCAATTTGACATCTGTCAAGATGTAAAAGTCTGGAAAAAAATTAACTATTAAGAATCAAGAAGGTTTTCGTTGTCAAACAGTCCTTATAATAACAATGAGCATACCTAACTGTACACTATGCCAACTGCTGATTTGGCACTACCAGATTGTACAATCTGCAGCCAGTGGTATAAGCAATATTTTATATTACAAATGCCAATTGTACTGTTGCACAACTTCAAGCGATTCCCGTTCAGTGTAAATTAGTAACGTAGACAGACAAGATTTTGACCATTTATATTTCATCAATGCATTAACATACCTGTATGAATGTCAAATATTTATCGTTACGTGAACCGTGCGTTAGGGACGGTACCTTCTAAGAAAAATATAAAAAATACCATTTTCAACAATTTCCTGTGGTGTTTCCGGAAAAGTAATAGGGAGACCAAAATTTATCTGTTAAGGTCTCAGGAGGTTTTTGTTCATGTGGGTGGACCACTACGTGTATCACAGAGACGTATCTCGACCTTGTTCTCGAATGACCTCCAGGCTGCGTATTGTATCTATAGATATACATATAGTGTGTGCATAGGTATGCTATATGTATACTAAGGTACAGTAGGTCAACTAGAAGCAAGTAGCTGATGCGTTACCTATAGGTGGGCCCGGTGTGTCGCTGGGTTGGGCTCTGGTTCTATATATCTGGCATAGTCTGATCCCGTTACTTCGCTTACTAACACCGAGTGTGATTGGCATCCGAAGGATAGTCACGCCAATATACACGCGATGCGCTCCAGATACGCCCATCTTGTATTTACACTGCTAGCTTTCCTAAGACTAGAGATTAAAAACTTCATTGTTTTCTATTTAGAACTCCTAGGGATTTTTGTAGAGTGAATAAACATACCAGAGCAGTTCACGAGTCTATCGATGCTGACGTTTGATGCCTGTTGCGACAGCTAGATGGCAGTGGAGTAAGATGCAATTTTGTAATACGGAATTCGAACGTTTTTCGTTAATGTGCGAAGGGATAACTGTCATAGAAATCTGGATAAATTAATAGATCGTTAAAGTGGCCGATTCGATTTTATAAAGTTTACTGAAGACTGAGTAAGTGTTATGTATGTTTCTATGGTCGGTAAAAAAATTTCTTGTCAAGTTTAGTTGGCAGGTGAGAAGAGGCACTGCCGGAAGCCTCGAAGATAATTTACGATTCGCCGGGGTTAATTTCGTGAAATGTCGATTACTCGAAAGTCAAACCTAATGAAATCGCAATCGCGTAACGTTAATGGTACTCTTCGTTCGCAGAGACACTTTCACATCTCTTAACGTTCTTTTCTCTCTGGCGGTACATTGTGGAAACCTGTCGATTTCCAATGGAGCCGCTGTGATTTTCTTGAACAGGCGACCGTATCGCGTCGTCACACATTGAAACGGTCTTTTCGTAAGTACCCACAGTATACGGAGAAGTTTATTTGATCGTAGCCCAGCATTCCTGAACTGACATTGAATTCTACTTTCCAATCTGATTCCTGGGGACTCGCCTTGAAATTACCTTGAGGCAAGTGAATTGTCGTGTAATGCCTTATTGAGAATGATACTGCAAAAGACAAAGAACTCATGTACACCTGAATATACGAATTAATTAATAACGTTCATTAAAACTTCATCGACTATCTTGTCTCCTTAAGTCACAAAGCAGACCAAGACTACAATTTTAGGTTAGACGGTTGCCCGAAGCAGTTAGAAATAGAAATTATAATTAAAATCATAAATATCTAAATAGCTTGGAGAAGTATATCTCGAGTTAATAAAATTGGCCTGCACCATTGTGATTCGTTGTGGCTATACAGTGCCTATAGTCAAGCTAGAAACTTTCGTAACTTGGCCGCACCATTGTTCCTCGCAGAAATTCCGTCAGCTTATTTCTCGCTTTACGTAATTCTCCAGACAAAATGCGTCTCCCGGTGGCTGTTGTTATCCGTGCTCCAGCTGTAACGCGATTCCATTGTGAGACACGATATTGCTTACGGAATTGATATTCACACCTTGTTATACACTTAAGAAAAGATACGGCATAATGCAAGTTGTTCTTCGTTTATCATCATGCTTGATCGGTTCTGATTGGTTTCCGATTCAATTATTCTCAATGCTTCCTATAGTCACTTTAATAAGCTCCATCATCAAACCGTAGTACTTCGTGATTTAACGTATCACGATTAAATTCTTATTCTCAGGCTCTTTTGAATTTCATTTAATTAACGATATTCAGGCCCAATCGTATCGATCATCTATTGCTCTTTTGTTCCCAGGCGAATGGGCCCGATTCTCTGGAATGTCAATCAGCTCTTATTCTTAGATCTTGCCAGAGATATTTACTCTCCCTCTTTAATCCAAGAGATTTTTCTTTTGGATACCAGGAGCAGGAAGGCAATGGAACTTAAAATCCTTAGAACAAGATTCGCCTGAACTGTCTGCTGGCAGGAATGGCGTGACCTTTCGAAGATCCTTTTCACGGCATTTATTTGTACTTACTACACTCTAAAGATACTTCCATGATCGTTGGACCGTGTGCTCAGTGTAACATTTGAAGGAGGGCGTAGGCCGCCTACGTGTACGGCCCTGTATTTTCTAAAGGAATGGGGATTTCAAAGGAATCTTGCATGGGGATTCGCTTCTACTAGGAGTGCCTGTTATTAAAATAATTTGTAATACTCATATTTACAAATTTTTTTAAATTCACATAAAGATTCATAATGATTGTCTCTGAATATTGATGTCGGTTTGACAAATAATTTCATAGCTCTGTTAGAGCCTTTATAGCAACTCTATTAGTGCAAAGTCGTGACGGGTTAGAATTCTCATAAAAGAAGCCAGAGAGATATTCCATTAGCGAAGTTGATGAAGCCCACGCCTCTACCGATGTCTGTACTCTCACAAAACGTCATTTCCCAAGTAACAACTGTCTCTAGGAAGCGCTGAGAATGACATCAAGGGTCGCGCCGCTGAATAGTAATGGCGTCGGTTGTTATATGTTTAACTTTATCAGCTGCTTTATTTATCAGCTTTATTTGTCAAATGGTTTAAATAAATTTTATTTCTTTCGTATCTAGATCTCAGTCAGTACCGTCAGTACCAGAAGATTCAGTCGAGCCGGAACACCAAGTTCCATTTTGTCATCAGACAGTGACATCCGTTTCACGAGGAAGCTCGGTGGTCAATACAGATGCGGATGCTGCGTCCTTGCTGCCTTCCTTCTCTTTCTACTCTTCTCAGGAGTCTCAATATATCTAGGATGTAAGTACACAAGAAAATGGAGAGCCACTGCCAGTAAAATTCATCCAGAAGACGGTCGTAAGTCCCTCCTGGGTTCTAATCGAGGAACCGCAGGGTAACCGAGCTGGAACAGGGACTCCAACGGTTCCAATAGGAAGCCCATTGCCAACCCAAAGCCATGAAATTAGCAACGATACACCGTGACCATTTGGGAATGTCTTCGTGGCTCATGGAATTTATAGACTGTGAACTCTGAGTAATTACTACGTATACGACACGTGCTTTGTCTGAGTTGTACAAATTTTTCGTCAGTGTGAACGAAGCCTAAATCTTTATAAAAATAACAGCTAATACCAATAACACAATATATATGATATTAAGTATTTATATTCTTACTAATTTTACACTGCGTATTGTATCAGACTGTACATAGACTCTACGCACTACACGGGGTCCTTGTACACTCTGGTACACGAATGAGGATGGGATCTTGATGATGCGGCCAGGACCCATTGAGGTCTTCTTATAAGTCTTGAGGCCCAACGGTGTAACGGTCTGACTGACCGAGTTACACTTACTGTACCATATATATGTATACTGGTAGGCTAATAATTGTATGTCTCACTTATTCTTATACTATTTTGTATACCGGACACCTCTCTTCTTGCACTTAGTGTTCGGATCTCTCTCGTTAGTTTTACATACTAACGTATTCACGTAGCACTTTCCTCTTTGTGAACTCTCGAACTGTAGTAAAACCGGATAGGCACGAGGAAAGTTACTTATTGCAGTGCAGCTGTATGTCGACACGCTCTGCGGCAGGTATATTGCATTAAAGAATTGGTTGGTATTAGCGTAAATAATTTTTATATGAAATTACATGGGTAACAATTATTTTGTTTTATTTTATTGATTCTTAAAGGAATGTTGTATATGTTACGTTCTTCTAGAGAAGGTTATGTCTTTTTTTTGTCGGAGTTAAAAGATGAAAGATCACAGATGCTGCTACTGTTTAGATTCGTCCCAGTCTCGCGTCTACAGAAAGTAACGGTACAGCCGAGTTACTGTAGGCGATGCTCGTGAGTTACACTCTTACATAGGAATCGACCTTAAGCCCAGAGATACGTCCTTGTAGGATTTGAATTCCATTGGAGCAAAGAGTACAGTCTTCTAAGAACGTTGCAATCTCGAGCGAAAATACCGTTTGGAATTTTTGAAAAAAATCATTGAGGAATAAAAATATATTTTTTACAGGTACTAAAAGTTCAATTGATCATTGTCAAACGTCAATGTACAACATAAGATAAATAAGAAGAAGTAGTATTTGTAAGAAGTTTCTTCAGTGCTCTTGCGAAACCTTGCGTCTAGCGAAACCGCATCAGCTCGCGTGTCTTTAACAACAAAAAAAGAAGTTGTCCATATATAGGGTACAAAATGGCGGATCTATAGTATGGTGAAAGGTGAATGTTGAAAGGCACCTGCACCTTGTCTCTTTACATTTTTATATTTCTCTTTAACCCTTTCTCGACGACTGGCTGATATCTCTATATCTATATACGTAACTACGACAGTCTGTTGACTCAACGTTACTTTAATTTCTAGACACGTTCCTGACCTCGGACCCACCTGGGGATCAAGTCTTCCTGGCGACGTTCCGCGTTACCGACGGCGACACCTTCGTCGCAGAGCTTGCTGATCCCTCCACCGAAGCTTTCAGGATTCGCTCGCGCGAATATCGTGACAGATTGAATCTTGTTTTTCGTCGTAGCGGCTTGAAGTTGCCGTTCTTGGCTACTGAAATTTTAGCTCTCGATGGGTAAGTTCAATGAATCATGGTTGCTGACGTTTTAAAACTAAGTTTTTTGTAGAGGTGACATCTGTCGAGATAATCCTCGACCTTATCTTCTGTAGATAATGTCACTGGAATTCATTGCGTACTCGCTGCTCGTAACTATTGAGCAATTCGTGTCAGATTTTTAAAGCTATTTCAGTTTATCGCAATTGTTAACTGGACACGTGAGCTGCGTCCGCATCAGCAAGTTTTGGGAGACTTTCCAATTACTTCAGCTTTGGCAAACAATTTCGTGTGATTGTTGTGCAATGTAAATGGTTCGAATGAACCTCGTGTTTTGATTTCATAAAGGCTATACGTGGAATGTGCAGACAAGAATATTGAATATACAAATTTCCACTGATGATAATATTCAAAATTAAATTTTGTACTTTCTATATGTAAATTTATCGATTTTCAAGCAAGAATGTATTTAATGATAATTTATTATATCTTTCATCAAAGACACAATCATCCTAATCGCACTTAGATTACATAGTATATGCTCACCGGAGCATGTGTATGCTTACGTGCGTATAACTACATTGAAAATTTTCAAGTTCAAGTAGAATAATTTCTCTAATTATCATGTTACACTTTAGAAATTTATCAAGGTTACGTATATTCAGTATTCTGTATCTACGTCTCTCGAAGTGTATGAGTAATTCAACTAAAGTACTCTAAGAATATCACTACTGTTAGGACTGTAATAAATTGTTGGAAACATAGCATAAATATTCGCTCGTGTCTACGTGCGTTGTTTTTACATAAAATTTTACGAAATTATTAGTCAGCGATCACGTAAGTTCAGGGTACCGTAAGAGAAATTTTTTAAAGACATCTCTCGGCTAACCCGGATAATAAATAGCTTGTATCGGCTAAAGTAAAAGCGGTAGTTCCTCCAGCTGACGAATCATGTTTCTTCTTCAGCGTTGAAGGACGCGACCTAGTGGTACACTTTGACGTGCGTTTCGATCCTCGCTACCAGACCATCAGGGTACCAGACATTGTTGACATTCTGGAGTATGAGATTAATCCGGCGACATCAAGATATTTAGCGAACCTGACCATTGACCCGAAAAGTCTTGACGTCCAGGAAAGCGTTGACGCACTTACCGCCCAAGTCATCCTGCAAACTACAGCGTCGACGTTACCGCCTACGACGACACCGCCACCTCCGAGAAGATGCACGAAGCTTGAATTGCCTTACTGCAAGCATCTTCCTTATAACGTAACGTCCTATCCGAATATTTTGGGACACAAGTCGTTGCTCGATGTTCAAAATGATGTTATAGCGTTTAGGTAACTAAGATTTATAAGAAACTTTCTTTATATTGATATTTTATGCTAATTAATATTTTTGGTTATATAATTATCATTTTTAGAGAGCTAGTGGACGCCGAATGCTATCGAATGGCGTATGAATTTGTATGTCAAGTTTTACAACCGGCTTGTCTTCCGGGTGAACCGGAAGACGTTCTCCATTTACCGTGCAGAAGTTTCTGCAGGGAATTTTGGGCAGGATGTGGCAGTCGACTACCAGCTAGAATCAAAGATGCCTTGGATTGTTCGAATTTTCCGGAATACGCTGATCAAGGAACCTGCAGACCAAAACCTGGTATACAATTATTTATATTATTATTAATAATCAGTGCAAATGCATTTTGAAAATTTATTATCCGCTTTTAGGATGCGTTCAGGATCTTCAAGCTAAAGCTTTATCCCCACGTATCTGCGATGGGATAATAGACTGTCCAGATTTATCAGATGAGAAAAATTGTGCATACTGTCGCGACGATCATATGCATTGTGGAGTAGGCCGTATGTGTATTCCGTCAATCAAACGCTGCGACGGGAAGATCGACTGTCCAAACGGGAGCGATGAAAAAGATTGTCGTATGTTTTAAGAAAAAAAAATTATAAGTGTAACTTCTTTGACGATTACTACTGTCGGATCAATATTAAGAATTATTATTTTGCAGTCACACTTGCAAAGAGCATTGGGTATGTTAAATCGCTACCTGTGGATACGCCGCACGCTAATAAATACAGTAGCGACGGTTATGTCGTTTTCAATGAGAAGGGCTCGCTCGGTAAACTCTGTACTGAAAATCTAAATGCGACATTACCGACGCCGGAAATGGAAAACGTTCTCCAGACAGCTGCTAGTTCACTCTGCAGTCTGTTGACCTTTAAAGGATTGGAATCCGTAGAGGTCAGGATTGACGACGAGGAGGATACACAATATGTTCACATGGAAGATCCTTCTGCTTCTGAAATTACATTTGTAAGGGCGCCATGTCCTAGCAAGGAAGTTATGTATGTACGCTGTTCTGATTTAGGTAAGTTAAAATAGAAGTACAACTAATATTTTACTTTCTACTTTTAAATCAAATTATATCGAACAGATTCATTTATAATTTTCAGAATGCGGTGTGCAGCCTCTGAGAACTAACACCGGTACCCAAGGTTTAAGTAAAATGGCGGAACCGGGCGATTGGCCATGGCACGTTGCTCTTTTTAAACAGGAAGTACACGTTTGTGATGCAACCCTGATAGCCGCTGGATGGCTTCTTACTACAGCATCCTGTTTTCAGGGGTAAGAAAAATGAATCTCATTAAAATACTTAAAAACTTGATACTAAAACTTGCGGATCTCGTACCAGCCAATGTGAAGGATTTTTAGTTAAACTTTCGTCTCCTTTTTAATTGTTCAATAATTTCACGACTTTTTCTTCCCCGTTACGATTCGCTGCACGATTCTCTCGCGCTTCTTCTTAGCGGGAAAGCAGACCTACTGTATGTTTTCAGATTCTAAAATCAAGCGTGACATTTTTTATTTCAACCGCATACTCTTACATATATTTTTTTCATCAGTTAACAGTAAATTACGGTAACTAGAAACAATGTTATACTTTCAGACAACCAAAAGCTGAATGGTCCGCCAGATTGGGAACTGTCAGACTCTCAAGTACATCTCCATGGCAGCAAGAACGTAGAATAGTGGGTATGATAAAGTCACCAGTCGAAGGAAGCACTACAGTTCTTCTTAAGCTGGACCGTCCTGTAGCTGCATTTTCGGATTTTGTACGTCCCGTATGTCTGCCTTCAAGTCTGGACCCACTTCCGGTGAATGCGTCTCACTGTAACACACTTGGATGGGCTAGAAATCGTACGTATACAGCGCATACCAACCACGGCAACTAATTACTGTACATTTAATTACTTTACCTTGATTATATATATACAAAACAATTATCTATCAATATACCTATAGAATGATTACGACTCGTTCTGATTACGTGAAATTCATACTGCAATACAAGTTCTGTACTCTATGGTAATGTATCGGTTGAAATATCATAGTGAAGGTCCCTCTTACGTAGAGTCAAGCAAACTCGTTCCTTTACATAAGTAATCTGGGACATAATCAAGCGTGCATTCCTATTGCATCTTGTACAATTCAACAAAACCTTAAGCGTCCATTGATTCTTAAGAAATATGAATATAGACTATGCATTTATGAGAGAAAAAATTCAACAGGTCATAATGTTTATTTGGTTCCAGGTGATATTTTGCAGAGGGTAGAATTAAGACTGAGCGCCATGGAAAGATGTGAGAATATTAGTATAGCCTCTGTTAACAGTGTATGCACAGAACCAGCATACTCAACAGATGATTGCAACGTAAGTTCACTTATCAGCACTTTGATATTCATTGCTCTAAAATTACTCTGATTGTATAATTGAACTTTAATTAGGAGGAGGAGGTTGCTGGAAGTCCCATGCTGTGCTTATTGGCAGACGGACAACGTTGGGCCTTGATGGGAGTTGGTAGCTGGAGAATAGCTTGTTCGAAAGCTGGTACTGAAAGGCCACGTCTTTATGATCAGATCTCGTCGAACATCGCCTGGATCCAATCAACAGTTGGATGATCAATCGATTGATGAATTGGAACAATTCGTTCTAGAGACTTGGACGTCGCTGGACGAATAATCTTAGAATTTGAAAGATAAGAGATAAAAAAAGGTCGACTTTTAGATTCGATGATTTCTTCTCAGTCCGACCGTTCAGTTTTTGAATTTAATCGTCAATCAGGTTGGTCCATGGATAATGGATACTGCTTGGGAATGTTATTCCATTACATTCAATTCACCTTCGGTACGTTATGTGTTGGCACGTAGGTTGAAGGTTGCAATATTAATGAAGTAAAATGCACGCATTGGTGGCATTTTACTCTTCTCTCATTTGCCATTGTTCAAGGACTGCATAAAGATGCTAAATTCAATAGTATTCTGCAACTTCGTGCGATGCAGCGAAAATAGGTATAGATTGAAATATATATCAGTGTAAATATATGTTTAATATAAACACGTAACGTTATCCCTTGATGCCTCCCTTAGACTAGAATAGTATAATACATCACCTGACTATAGGTATTCTCTATTTCTGTGAGGGATCAATTACAATTGTATCGTTTAACTTATTAAAGATCCATTCGTACCATTAAATATATGCACCATCCTTTAGTATATAAACGTAATTCTAAATCGCTTCTTAGCTATATAAGTCCTTGATCGATTTTAAAATAATTTCGTACAGTATATAATTTTATCCAATAAATAAGTACGGTTTATATTTTCGAAAAATTCAGTAATTTTCATTCGTCACCTCGTTACCTTTAATTATAGACTATTAAATAACATGCAATGTCCTTATTGTTTATTTGAAAATTAACAGAGTGCATTCTCAAGTTACAACACCAATTGACACAGCAGCGCTGCTGACTAGTGTGGTGTTTAGTGATGAAAAAATATTTAATAAAAAAAACAAATTGCACAACCAGCGGGTAGTATTATGGTGAATGCATGTGAGAGGTGTCTTTGAGAAGGGATGTGGGGCTGCGCTGATGATTCTGCGTATCATTCAGACACTAGACGTCCCGCGAACGAGATCTTACTCGTCGTCGTCATCAAGATCAAATAACAATCCGTCGTATTATTCTAAACAGAAACAAGCATCGTCTGCAATGGTAAGTCTCTGGAATTAGTTTTGACAAATAGTGTATACGTAAAAATATCTGTTGAGGAAATTATCAAAATAGAATGCAGTGAGACTTGCGCGCGCAGATTTCAGGGTTGACTCGGACATTACGTAAGAGACTTGGCAGGTCAACACTCCTTGTACTTAGTTATCGGATTACAATTTGTGCATAGACTCGAGAGATTGAAAGCTAACACTGGCATCTGGGTGCGATTGCAAAAGTTGCATGGGTTTCGAATTACCATGTGATCTTTTAGTTGATACGAACATTTCTTAACCTTTGTGTTAAGCGCGAGGATTATTGGGATGGCTTTATCAAATATTTTTTCACGGAGATAGGTGAGTTTACATATTCGGTCTACTATTACGTAACCAAAAATTGTCGGAGAGCTAGCAACCTTCCAAGTGCTACATTGCCGGGTAATCCCTACTCTTCATACGCTATCGTTGAGAAAACATGGAAATTAGGTTATTAGCTGCGAGCGTACTATTCGATAACACGAATTGAAAGTAACTTATAAGAATGGTGAAAAACTGAAAATTTTTACCTTTGCTACCACCCAACCCTTAGATTTTCCTGACCCTGGAGAATGTACCAAGGAGTCAAGGATATTGTAATATGCTTGTGATATAAATGATGTAAACTTATTTTACGGGTTAATAATATATATTTTTATAGGAAAGTAATAATTATTCTATTTTTTACAAATTATAATATTACAAGGAAACATGGGGTGTTATGGTGACATCAGGTGAAACGAGACATTATTACGAATAATCGATGTTTTTCGTATGTCTTGTTATAATTTATTTTATGAATAACTTTTCGTACATTAATTTATTTCTTACAGGATACTTGGGACGAAAGAACTCCCCACAGCGAACTTTCCGATTTGGCCTTCATTGAAGTCAAGTCTGATGACCCTCTGGTTCTTTTCAGAGAATGGTACGAAGAGGCAAGACAATTTTCAACAGGATTACCAAATGCATTATGTTTGGCGACTGTCTCGAGGTGTGTATTTTTGCGATATTCACGTTCTTTGAAAATTATCAAATATTTTTTTTTTTTTTTTCAACAGAGACCAGAAGGTTTCTGCGCGCCATGTTATTCTTCGACAACTCGACGAAGATGGCTTTGATATCGTCACGGATAAACGCAGTCGCAAGGCTCAGGATCTGGCAAGTTTTTTTTAATCATTCCAGCTAATTAAAATCAGACTAGGAAAGTTTTTAATACATAAAAATATCTACGTTATTTTCTAGGACGAAGTGCCGTCGGCAGCCATGTGCTTCCTCTGGTCTTACCTGAACGACCGAAACGAACACATAGCCAGGCAGGTAATAGCTAAACAAAATTTATCCCGGATCGTAAATATTTTAAAAGGAACAATTATTTGGTAATAAGGGTCCCTTGTCTAGTCGGGCAGCCTACAGGATTCCGCGGAGGGAATCGTAGACTAGCTATGTATAACATAGTGGTCGGTTGCATTCGCCTGACCAGCGGGAGACTCGGATTCGACTCCCGATTCAGTCCCGATATTATTTCTGCGGAATCTACAATATTTTAACTTTTTCACATGTCACAGATAAGATTAGAAGATTAGCAATTGGTTTCTCGTATTACAGGTAAGATTAGAAGGAACCATTAAAAAACTTTCGAAGGAAGAAAGCCAGAAATTCTACGACAGAGAACCACTGTTTTGCAAGATTCGCTCTCACCTTTGCCAACAAGGACATGAAGTCGACTGGAAGAAGCTGAAGGAACGTCATGATCAAATTGTCAAAGAAGTCATGAGTGGAGAGAATTCATTACCCATGCCAGAACACTTGTGAGTATTTATAGGCATACTCTAAAAATCTATTAAATATTTTTAACTGTTAAATTCTTATATGCTCATTATGATTCCAGCACTGCTTATAAACTGAAGCCGGTGATGATAGAATTTTATTTTGCCAAAGATCATTTGATAGGTGATCGTGTGCTCTTCACCAGAGATACGTCAGCTGATCCTTGGAAACATTGTAAAATTGCAGCATGAAATGTTTGACAGTTTTTTTTAAAACTTTGTAATACTCCGAAACAAATTTCCCAGCAAACCCATAAAAACAGGCCAGTACTCAATCTTTACTTGCCCATTGAAAAGTGCAGTGGGCTAGTAAAGTCCCATTACTGACCAGAATTTGTGTATTTGTTGGGTTTACGCAAGGATACGAATACGGAAACGAAAATGTAAATGGACTTATAATTGTGTATTAAACGTTATATTAAATAAAATATCTATTTTACCATGAGTATATATTTCATTGGGATATTTACATGTTATTTTATATAGTGTTCCATGAAATACGCCAAGGGAAAACCCTTGAAGTTGTATTAGGTTCACATTTTATATTGCTTTTGAAATACTGGATATCGTCTGGTAAAGTGAGCAACCTAATAGCAATTGTATGTCCAGGTATGCACCTAACGGTTTTAGATTAGCATTGAGGAGTTTCTAGAAGTACTTTAGGGACTTTCAACCTAAAATAAGTGAAATAAAATATTTGCAGGGTTAACGCTTCTTAAAGCGTAGTTCAATCATTAATATTTGTTTAAATCAATTCCAGGATTGTAAATGCACATGTGCTCTTCTCTGTCGGTAACAAAGATAGATCCGTCATTACTGTTTTGCCTGTAGAGATAATAAGCATGATATTTATTGCGTATTAGATATTTCGGATGCGATGATAGGCTAATGATATTCCATTTGGACAAGTTTCCGCTAGATGGTAGCACCTTCATGCCGCTAAGTAACAACGGGCGCCCCCCGTTGCTCTTCGTCAAGTCAAAAGCATGGTGCTTGCCTCAAGATACTCCAGTTGCCGGTATACAGCTCCTGGACATACTTGCTGAGCATTAGAAAACAACATGGACACCGTCGCTGAGGACGGCCAGCATAACAGCTATCTTATACTCGAGGATGGAAGTGTTTTTCCGGGCATGCATTTTGGCGCGTGCATTTCTGTTGACGGCGAAGTCGGTAAGGAAATTTTTGACGTTTCGGAATCGATACAGTTCATCGTTCCGGAAATGAGTGCTTCAAGATGTACGAGTAACACGTGTTGCTACCTCGTTTCTAAGCGATATTACCGACCGATTTTTAAAAGGAACCGGTATGCTTATCTATTTATGTCATCGATTACTCTGGTTGTATAATAACTATTTATTTTTATTTCTCTATTTATTGATATACAAAATATACAACACAAAATATTTAGATACGTTTTAAAATCATTACCAAAACATATTAATCTGATTGTGCCTTTTAACAATCTTTTTAAAACATAGACTTTTTTCTCTATGACTACTTCTAATACATTATTTCATGAGTTGTTTATTTTACGAAGTGCCACCCACTGTTTAATCCGATAAGAAATGGAAGTTAAAATTACGTTATCGTAGAATGACATTGACAAAATTGTGATCAGAAAAATATCGATAGTATTCTATGCAGATTGAATTTAATTTTACAAAATATTGAAATGCCGACATTTGATTGGTTGAAGGTACAAATATATATTATATAAATATGGTATTTATGTACACTTTAATAACAATATTATATATATTTACCTTTTAAGTATTACAATCATTCAACATTCGCTCAATTGTTTTACTCGTGATTCGTAATTGGGTTGGCAATTGTCTTAAATTTTTACTGTCAATGATCCGTCGTTTAGCACTGTAGAATTTCTAACTGATACACAGATCACAGACGATTCACACTGCTGACAATTAACTCCAATCTTTTTTTAGTCTTCCAAACCGGAATGGTCGGTTATCCCGAATCATTGACTGATCCGTCTTATCACTCACAAATCTTGGTTCTTACGTATCCCTTAATCGGCAACTACGGAGTCCCCAATGATGACAAAGACGAATACAATCTACCTTAGTGAGTATCGTCTGTAACAGAGACATAATAAGAATAAATAAAATTCAATACACATAAATCTTTTTCTTTACAATACAAAACTATAGCTGGTTTGAATCCGACCGGATATGGGCGACCGGTTTGATAGTCGGTGAACTTTGCGAGACCCCAAGTCACTGGCGTCAAACAAAGACACTTTCGGAATGGATGAAGGAACAAAATATTCCAGGAATTTATGACATAGACACACGAGCCTTGACAAAGATTATTCGTGAGAAGGGCAGCATCCTTGGCAGGATAGTTTACAACCAGCTGCCTCCTACTACAGTACCAACTGATCTTCAAATATCTGACCCTAATCTGAGAAATCTGGTAGCTGAAGTATCCCATGTAAGTCTACGACCTGGTCCTAAAGTTATTAATTAAGTTTTCAATTAACAATCTGATTAATAATCATGAAATTGTACAGAAATCGCCAGTCGTCTATAATCCTTATGGTCAACCACGTATTTGTGCGGTTGACTGTGGCTTAAAGTACAATCAGTTGCGATGCCTTCTAAGCCGTGGTGCTCGTGTCGACGTCGTGCCCTGGGACCATCCTTTGGATCCTAACGAATACGACGGTCTCTTTTTGAGTAATGGTCCTGGTGATCCCATTAAGTGTGAGGTCACAGTTAATCACATCCGGTCAGTTTTGGAGAACCCGAAGAAGAAACCAATCTTTGGAATATGTCTTGGTCATCAGCTTCTGTCCGTTGCAATAGGCTGTAGTTCTTTTAAGATGAAGTAAATTACCATTACAATTATATTACGTACTAGTGGCTGCACCAGCTTCCAAATTGCAAGATAAAAAATTCGTATTTTCTAGGTACGGCAATCGCGGCCATAATCAACCTGTTCTTTTCATGGATACCCATCGATGCTACATGACGTCACAAAATCATGGATATGCTATTGATCATACTAAATTACCTTCAAATTGGCTACCATTGTTTACCAATGCCAATGATAAGACTAACGAAGGAATTATTCATGAGTCCTTGCCGTACTTCACTGTGCAATTTCATCCTGAACATGCAGCTGGTCCACGTGACCTTGAGTGCCTCTTTGATATTTTTCTGAATACAGTGAAAGATTATATTACTGGAAATTCGACGCTCACTGTCAAGGAAAGATTAGAAACGGATGGCCCAGGACAGATGAAGTTAGTGAAGCAAATTTCAACAAAGAAGATCCTAATCCTTGGTTCCGGTGGTCTGAGTATAGGACAGGCTGGCGAATTCGATTACTCAGGATCACAGGCAATCAAAGCACTTCGAGAACAATCAATACAGACTGTACTAATTAATCCTAATATTGCTACAGTGCAAACATCCAAGGGTATGGCTGATAAAGTTTACTTCCTGCCCATCATTCCTGAATATGTGGAACAGGTCATCCAATCTGAAAGGCCGGATGGCGTCCTGTTGACCTTTGGTGGTCAGACTGCACTTAACTGTGGAATTGAACTTGAAAGACAAGGTGTGTTTTCACGTTATGATGTCACAATCCTAGGAACACCCATACAATCTATAATTGAAACTGAAGACAGAAAGATTTTTACTGATAGGATAAGCGAGATCAATGAGCAAGTTGCTCCAAGTGCTGCTGTCTATTCTATTCAAGAAGTAAGTTTTTAATGAAAGATATATTAATGTAAAAATGAGTTGATCTTTTATTAACAATTTATAACAAACAGGCTCTACAAGCTGCTGAGAAATTGGGATATCCAGTTATGGCACGAGCTGCGTTTTCATTAGGAGGTTTAGGATCTGGTTTTGCTAATACAAAAGAAGAGTTGAAAATCTTAGCTCAACAAGCACTGGCTCATTCGAATCAATTGATCATTGACAAGTCATTGAAGGGCTGGAAGGAAGTTGAGTATGAGGTTGTTAGAGATGCTTATGACAATTGCATCACTGTTTGTAACATGGAAAATGTTGACCCACTTGGTATTCATACTGGAGAATCCATTGTGGTAGCACCAAGTCAGACCTTATCAGACAGAGAATATAATATGTTGCGCACAACTGCTATTAATGTAATCAGACACTTTGGTGTTGTGGGAGAGTGCAATATACAGTATGCACTGAATCCCAATTCTGAAGAATATTATATAATTGAAGTAAATGCTAGATTATCAAGAAGTTCAGCTCTCGCTAGTAAAGCCACTGGTTATCCATTAGCGTATGTAGCTGCTAAACTAGCTTTAGGTATTCCTTTACCTGAAATCAACAATTCCATAACTGGAGTGACCACAGCATGTTTTGAACCGAGCTTAGATTATTGCGTGGTCAAAATTCCACGTTGGGATCTCAGTAAATTTCAAAGAGTTAGCACGAAGGTAGTTAATACATTCTTATTAATTACAATTAACAGTATTTGATATTATAATAATTATTTTATCGAGGAACTACTTTCCTTCTTAGATCGGTAGCTCGATGAAAAGTGTCGGTGAGGTAATGGCGATTGGCAGAAAATTTGAAGAAGCATTTCAAAAGGCACTTCGTATGGTGGATGAAAATGTGATGGGTTTTGATCCTTATCTTAAATCACTTAATGACGAAGAATTAGAGAAACCTACTGATAAACGAATGTTCGTCTTGGCTGCATCCATGAAAGCTGGATACACCATTGATCGTTTGTATGAACTCACTAAGATCGATCGTTGGTTCTTGGAGAAGATGAAAAATATCATCGCCTACTATGATTTACTGGAGAGTCTAGAACAGACAAAATTATCCCATGACGTTTTACTTGGCGCAAAGCAAATTGGTTTTTCAGATAAGCAAATCGCTGGGGCCGTTAAGAGCACAGAATTGGCAGTTCGGAAACAGCGACAGGAAAATCAAATTTGTCCTTATGTCAAGCAAATAGATACAGTGGCTGCAGAATGGCCTGCTACTACAAATTATCTTTATTTGACCTATAATGGTACCACGCATGACCTTGAATTTCCAGGAAGTTATACTATGGTCATAGGTAAGTCACTTGATTAAATATAATGATCTCGAAGTGATCTCTCAACCTTAATGATCTTAAACATATGAATATATTTCAGGCTCAGGCGTCTATCGAATTGGTAGCTCCGTAGAATTCGATTGGTGTGCAGTAGGATGTTTACGTGAATTACGTAATCTTGGAAGGAAAACAATTATGGTGAATTACAATCCAGAGACTGTCAGCACGGATTACGACATGTGCGATCGTCTCTATTTCGAGGAGATATCGTTCGAGGTCGTCATGGACATTTATGATCTTGAAAATCCAGAGGGTGTTATTTTGTCAATGGGTGGTCAGCTTCCTAATAATATTGCCATGGATTTACATAGACAGCAAGCCAGGATTTTAGGTACTTCTCCGGAATCTGTAGATGGTGCTGAAAATAGATTCAAGTTCTCACGTATGCTAGACCGTATAGGAATTTCACAACCCAGGTATATCAGCGTAAATAGAGAATTAAAGACATATTGCATTATGGAACGACTTTGTGACTCTACATATTTGTGTCTAGGTGGAAAGAACTGACAAATTTGAAATCTGCCATTGAATTCTGTGATGAAGTTGGCTACCCCTGTCTAGTACGACCCTCTTATGTACTAAGTGGTGCCGCCATGAACGTAGCTCATTCAAATCACGATCTGGAGTCATACCTAAAGAACGCCAGCGAAGTTAGTAAGGAACATCCTGTAGTGATCTCCAAGTTTATCCTGGAGGCAAAGGAGATCGACGTGGACGCTGTCGCTTATGATGGAGTCATCCTCTGTATGGCTGTTTCCGAACACGTTGAGAACGCTGGTGTGCACTCTGGTGATGCCACTCTGGTTACTCCACCTCAGGACATCAATTCTCAGACCTTGACTAAGATCCGTGCCATCTCCAAAGCCATTGCAGCATCCTTAGAAGTCACAGGACCCTTCAATATGCAGTTGATTGCTAAGGTAATTTTTTTTTCTAGATTAATTACTTGAAAGTATTGATATTGTCATTCGTTGACAATCATGAGATAAAACTTTTTGATATTTCAATTAAATATGATACTGTTTTTCTCGTCAGGATAATGAGTTGAAGGTGATCGAGTGCAACGTCCGTGTCTCTAGGTCATTTCCATTCGTCTCCAAGACCTTGGATCATGACTTCGTCGCAATGGCCACCAGATTGATTGTAGGAGAGACCGTTGATCCTGTTGACGTCCTGGCTGGATGTGGAAAAGTTGGGGTCAAAGTTCCCCAGTTCTCATTCTCGCGATTGGCTGGTAAGTCATACCAGTGATATATATAATTTTTACAATCCTGATGAAGATCTTATCAGAAAATATTCGATCGAAGCGATCATTATCGATGACATACCAATCATTAATTAAAAGTCATGACAGCTTAGAGTATGATTGGGAGACTAAAAATATCACTGGATTTATCATCTTTTTTTCTTCTTTTAATAGGTGCCGATGTCATGCTGGGGGTGGAAATGGCTTCGACCGGGGAAGTCGCTTGCTTTGGAGATAACCGTTATGAAGCTTATCTGAAGGGGATGATGAGTACAGGATTCCACATTCCGCAAAAAGGCATTCTTCTATCCATTGGAAGCTTTAAGGTAATTTGAATGAATAAAGTTATATCAGTTTTAATATTAGAATTTTAAATGAATGATAATGTGAGATTATTATCGTGGATTGGATTAATTACAATAGATTATTGTTTTTATGTCATGTTCATATAATTTTCATTACGTCATGTTACATGCCATTTTTAATAATCACAATTATTACAGCACAAGATGGAATTACTTCCATCGATCACGAGCCTCCATAAAATGGGATACAAGCTCTATGCTAGCATGGGAACTGCGGATTTCTATACAGAACACGGCGTTGAGGTGAGTTAATACACTTTTTATTTCGCAGTGATTCGCAATTAGCTATACAATATAAACAATATTTATAATAATTATTAAATATCGCATATTTAATTATTTACATATAACTATTTACATGAACGTTAAGAAACAATAAAATCTAAAACTCGGACGATTCATCACTAAATGAAGAAATTTGAAATTTAGTTTCATAATAGAACTTGCATCTCCTTTTCATTTAAACGCTGTCACCGTTACTCGCGCTGTCAACGGAATGGCTATTACCGTATTGACGAATGAGAGAGCATTTTTGGAGCTAGATAAATAATTTAGTCGATGTTCATTATAATATCATTACTTAATTACGTTCTTATTAACAAATAGAAATGACCGAGATCGTCTGTATACTTGAAGGTCATTGCTATCATTGCAGTTTTATTATTACATTCAATATAATTAATCTAGATCCGTCATGTCGTCAAAGAACTTGTCCATGAATTAAATTGTCTTCTTCTAATCTCTATTCTCTATTTACATCGTCGCCATAAGAATTCACCTTGGGATAAGAATTTTACATTCAATCAACGATATATCAACGATATCTAATACCTGTTGATATTTTATATTTTAATACTGTCATTCAACAAAGTATCCTTTGGATTAGATTAAGATGCCGATTCTTCTTTAGATATATAAATATCTTTTATGTCATTGAATTTTTGACTTTTTTCAGTTTTGTCATTGCTCTTAGATTTTCCATTTTTATTAGTGTCATAGACATCAATCTTAATTAACGTGTCATTCCTGCTAGTGTAGATATCATCACTACTTGGATTATTCAAGTGCTTTCCAGTGTTACTGCCATATATTTTTTGTTTTGCTGCATTTTCGTATATTTTCTCTTTTTTCTTCTCTTGCACTTCCGGCTTACTGCGACTGCCATAAATAGATTTGGGGTTTTTGCTACTATATACTTCTTCTGTGGATTTTGCATCATGGTTGCTCACATCAGGTTTGCTGGTATAGATATTAGTCATCCCTTGGACACCGTTAGTGACTTCGGTGTTGTTATAAATATTTTCTTGGCTTTTACCACTATAAATAGATTTGTTACCCTTAGTACGATAACTGTTTCTCTTATCACCAACACTAGAAACTGAGCTGTCGCTTCTGCTGCCATAGATATCTTCTCCACTTTTGGAAATATCAGAAGACTTCTTCTTGTTAGCCTGTATCTTTGTCTTATTGCGATCACCATAGATAGAAGTGTCTGATCTGCTACCATAGATATCCTCTCCAGTTTTCCCACCATAGACTGAATCTTCACTTTTACTGATGAAAGAATCCCTTCCACTTGTACTGCCATATGGTGATTTTTCAGTTTCAGTATCATATGGATTTTCTTTTTTGCTTTTAAAACTATAACTCATTTCGTTTTTACTGGAATATATATCTTTTTCAGTTATACTACCATAAATAGGATTTTTCTCACTCTTCACACCATAGATATCCTTTGACCCTTGGCTACTGCGAACTACTGCTTCAGCCTTAGTTCCATATGTACCTTCTTCTTCAATTTTTCCACTAGTTATAGATTTTTCGTTTTTACTCGAGTTCATTTCTTTTTGTGTTGGACCACCATACAAGGATTCTTTTTCTTTGGTTCCATACATTGATTCTTGACTTTTAGTACTGACGATTTCTTGTCCCGTGTGAACACCATATATGGATTCGTTGTCGTTGGTTCCGTAAATGTTGTCGTCACTTTGAATTTTGGAAAAGGGTACTGCGTTTTTAGTATCATAAGTCTTATTTCCAGTTTTTGTATCGTAGATAGATTTTTGACTTTTAGACATGTAAATTTCTTGTTCCAATTGACCGTTATAAATAGGTTCTTTAGTACCATAAATACTGCTTTCGTTGTGACTACTAGAGAAAGATTCTCTCTTTCTAATATCATAAATATCATTTCCGCTCACTGCACTGTACACAGATTTCTCACTTCTACTAGCATAAATTTCTTGACTCCCGCCATAGATGGATTCTTTTTCTTTGCTTCCACAGCTGTTATTTTCATTTTGACTACTAGTAGTACTCAATCCACTGGTAGTACCATAAGTATCATATCCACCTCGTGCACTGTAGACAGACTTTTCACTCCTGGCAGTATGAATATCTTGTCCGGCTTGGCCACCATAGACAGACTCCTTCTCTTTGCTTACATAAATGTTACTTTCTCTCTGACTACTAGTGGTAGATATTTCACTCATAGTACCATAAGTATCATTATCACTTCTTGTACCATATACAGAATTTTCATTATTGCCAGTATTAATTTCTTGTCCCGTTTGACTGCCATAAATTGACTCCTCATTTTTATTTCCATTAGCATCACCTTCATCCTGACTACTAGCAGCAGATATTTTATTCTTAGTGCCATAAGTATCCTTTTCAGATGTAATCCCATAGACGGACTTTTCACTTTTACCATCATAATTATCTTGCCCCGCTCGACTACCATATATAGATTCCATATCTTTACTTCCATAAATCTCCCTATTCTTTTGACTACTTAAAATAGATACTTTGCTTTTAACTCCATAAGTATCTGTTCCGGTAGAGGCACTGTAAACCGATTTTTCACTTTTACTAGCATAGACCTCATTATCCGTTTGACTTCCATAAATTGATTTTTCAATTTTTCTACCATAAGTATCAGATTCACTTTGTATACCGTATATAGAATCTCCACCTTTGGCATAAATATTGCTATCGTTACCGTCATAGACAGATGTTTCACTCTTGCTACCATAAATATCACCAAACTTTCCATGCGGACCGTCGATTTGAACATCCTTCTTCTTCTTTTTCGCCAAAAACGTCTTTCCGCGTAGTTTATCGTACAGTGATTTCTTCTTCTTGCCACCATATTTCTCAGCTACAGTCTCACCACCATAGATGGACGTTTCACTCTTGCTAAGATAAGCATTCTTCTCAAGGGTTCTTCTTAAAGGATATTTTTTCTTCTTACTGCCATATACACCCTTGTCACTTTCATCAGCATAGAGTGACGTCATACTCTTGCTCAGATAAATATCCTTCGCTCGAGCTTCATCAGCGGAAAATCTTCCAATTTGATTGTCATAAATATCTTCACTCTGCTGCTCGTAGACTGACATCTCGCTCTTACTGCCATATATACCTGAAAAATAATTTTCAAAAAATTAATTAATCTTAAAGGCACAAGACTGAGTGTGTCATGATAATTAAAATTAGACAAGTCATTCTTACCCATATACTCTGGCTTCTCGCTAATAGCCCCATAGACTGATCTGGATGTTCCAGCTTGATAATTGTAGGTATTCCGTATACTTTCCAATTCGTATTCCTTTGTCTCTTCCGGCATTGGTAACGTCACTGTAAAGTCATTCAGTTCAGTAGTAAACCGTTGATTCATGGGTCTGGCGAATATTGGAGGATCCGGATTTCTTTTTGGTGTTTCCGGCGCATTATGACTTGTACGAACGGTGGGGACGCGTCTCATCAAAGAATTAATCCTGTAAATATAATCTCGAGCGCAATCCGTATATCTTGGATACTCAGATAGTAAAATAGATAATCTCCTAGCCTGATTGAGATATACAAGCTTCTGTTGATTAGCTGCATACTGATGGCAACGCTCGGCCATTTTGATAAAGTGGCTTATGAAGAATTCTAGAAGAGCACAGAGTCTGGGTCCCTTGAGTTCGCCGCATGTAATCTAAATACCAACATGTAATAAATCATTAGGAAATAGGAGTTAATTAATTTTTTTAATAATAGAAAAAGGACAATTACTCACTGGAATTTCAATTATGAGGTCGTGAGCTTTCTTCGGATTGATCACTGTTCGATTGGTTATCGGTTTTTTGGAGTGTCCATAAATTTGCTGATTTTTTACTTTGGCGTTATTCCAAAATCCTATGGACTGCTCGTAATCCTTATCGTAGTTCGTGGACTCTGCTTTGGACACTGGTCTTGGGACGAACTTACTCAATGCTGGATTAACGAGTGTTAATACATCAACTGTCATTATATTAAGAAGTTGCTCGTAATCAACTTTCGGAAAAAAGTCCGGACTGTACCGAATGTTCTCCATTGCTGAGAACACGTACATAACGGGATTCTCAATAATCCGTTTCAGTTGCTTTTGGGTGTGAAGTAAATGCTCTTTGGGTATATTTTGAAAATGATTCTTATCGCGTATGAAGTAATCCGATAACGATGGCTCCGTCCTACTGATTGCTTGATACAGCGTATTCAACAACTTCATCAGATACTTCCCAGTCCTGTTCTCAGGCCACCTGGATGCCTCGTCTTCTTCGATAAGCCAGAACAATTGATTCCTAATGTGTGACGTAGTCAGGCCCAAAATTGTATTGACAGGTCTGATAAAGGTCTTGTGAAGCATCAGAGCGATCAGATAGACGCGTAATTGTGCGTGGCTCATGCATGTTTCCAAGTAACGTTCAGCAGCCGGAAACGTTACTTGCCACTCGATCGATCTGTTAACGTTGTTGTCTCTTTTTGGCATAAATCCTTCCGGTATGATGTGGCAACCGAATTCTCGGATTCTTTCGATGACCTCATTGGCGGGCCAGGTCGTACGATTCCTGTAGAACCATTCTTGGGCGTTACTGGGCCATTGGGCACTTACGCAAGGTATTACCTCGTATGGTTCCAAATTTGTATTTCTTTGGTAATTAAAGACATGAAGCTTATCGCAAAATATTACTGAACCTTGAACCTTGGCATCGTTCACGACATCTTCCTCGAAGCCTAGAGCACGGGACAGATGATTTATGAAGACGTTGATAAAGTGTTGCATAAATTCCAAACTGTCCATGTACCAAACGTCAGTATTGTATTGACGTAAGGCCACTTTTATTCGACGGTCCATACTATTCAAAGGCTGCCGTTTGTCCTTCTTGGGATTGTAACGCTTACCATCCCTAGTGTAGGTAACCTTCTTAAAACAGGAAGGAGGAATTTCCGACGAGGCTGTCGTCACAGTTCCAGAACTCGAAGCTTTCAGAGGCTTTAACGTACTGAACTTTGTTATCACTGCATAACCGTAATCGCTGTCACTGTCAGCCGCATAATTTCCCGAACGATAACCGGAACTCGTACTACTTGTTGGACTTCTGTTTCCATTCTTGTTCGCCTTTAGGCGTCCATGTTGCCGAGGATTTTTCGATTTCGTCGAACTGTCGGTGTTTGACTTGTCACCTTTGGCACTTTTAACCTTGCTGAGATCACTCGTCGATAAACTTCCTGCTCGTTCTTTCACTTTTTCCGGATATTTTCCTTCTGACAGGTTAGTATGCGATCTCGATCGTTTCTCATTAATCGAAGATGACTCTTCGTAGATGTTAGACAGCGACTGAGTTAGCTTTGTCTTTGACGTAGATGGCACTGCTTCGTTGCCATTTAATAGTTTTTCTCCTCCCTTAACTTTCATGTTGAACATACTGTCGCCGTCACTGTACGTTTCGTCGCCATCTTCTGCAATCGAGGACAAGTCTAATTCGTTTTCGTTAGTGGGGCCACGTTTGGACGACATTACGTTTAGTCGCTGGAGATAAACATAACCTGAAATGTCACAATCGTAGATTTATTTAGTAAATATTATTCGACTCGTTTTAATTAATAGATCTCGTAAATAATTACCTTGATGACTGCTCGGTCTTAGTGCTACGTTATATGTCACAGCATCGTTAATACTGCTGTATTGAGGATCGTAATTCGAATCGGTTACTTCGATGTTGTCCATAACGACAAAAATTCTCACTGGCTGCAACGTCTCAACTGTCAACGTCGGCGTCTGACGCATCGACGTGAATCTTATGTTCTTCGCGATGAGTTCCTGGAGGACGTCTGGCAGCAGGACATGTTTTTGGGACGGTAATAATTCTTTATTCAATTCGGCTTCGTGAACTGATATTGGAGGTTGGCGCCTGACTTTTGATATCTCCCTGAAATCACGTGGATTCATATTGTTTTTATAATTCTTATGTAGGCCCTTTGCATTATGTTTGCTTCGTTTGTTATTTACGCCCATTTCTTGATCTATGGACTTTGCGTAAACAATATATTCGAGCTATAAGCTAACAGTGTCACTTATGATATCATGACTAATAATATTTAATCCTCGTCATAACGTTAACGATTAGATTACGAACAAGCGGCACTGTCATCCGAAAGTAATGAAACAAAGGGGTTGAATTTTTATTCTAATTGTTCTAATTTTTGTTCTAACAAAAATTGTTAATTGGAAGTTGGAAATTGAATTTCAGATGTTTATTGCGTTAAAAATTATAATGCTCAGATTAGCAGCGTTGAGAGAATTGGTTGGTTATCAATAATCAAATTTGATAAATAATATTTACTGTGATTGTTACCTATCTTCAGTACACGTAAGTTCTAAATATATTTTGTGAAGTAACGTTACCCTCTTCATACTAATAGATATCAATCGCACTTCGAATCCATGATACAAAAGAAAAAACTTTGAATTCCAAAGTTACTAAAAGAAAAAAAACCCAAGATTCTCCATCCATCGTTAAAAGTATTTAAAAAATAGAAAGTTGAAATCGAAATCGCAAGTGACTTCGTGATTCGGCAAAATAAAAAAATATGTAGCATTAGGCAATTGTAAAACTTACTCCTCATAGTTTCCAAAGAACTGGACGCACAGCATGAGATTATTGAGTATGAAAATTGTTGGATTATTATACATGGTTCTTCTGAGGATCATCAACTCTTCGTCGCACGAATCAATGAACTCCGGCAAAAAGCTGGGTCTCGACGATCCGATGCCGTCTGGTGCTTTACCACCATACTTACGACCATTGACTCGATCACTTCTAAATTTATTTTTCGATTTAGCGTTTCCCATTTTTAAACCCGACAACATTGAACATGTAGGTGTGTTTTATTAATTGATGACACCAATCAAACTCACTGTCATTACACAATAAATATTTCTCCGATTCACAAACACGTCATTTTAATATTAATATTTTTATTATTGTTATTATATTTTTTAGACTAATTTCTTTTGTTCTATTTTTAAAATCTTGTTTCTACGAAGCACTGCGATGGTCGCGATCAAACTCATTTAGATTTCAACTCGCTATACCCTATTCATACTGGACACCGGTCTATCCTTTTATCGTGTTCACAGGGTGCTTTTAATTGGTCGCTCTTATCAGATCGATAAACCACGATCGTGGAAATTCATAGATACCTCGTTCGCCTATATCTTATAAAAAGCAAGGTCGTTTCCACTCAAAATTATCCTCACGCGTCTCCCGTCAGGTCGTACGGGGATCGTCAAATTCAATGATAATGGCAAATAATCTTATTAAGATTTTCATTTTAACGTACTACATTTTATAACGGAATTATTTGATTATTCTCAGATTAATATCATGGCAATATCACTTGATAATCACAATCCAGATAGTCTACCATAACAAAAAATATCAGTGTAATATTTTAGTAAAAAAAAATAGTTTTATTTTAATTAATTCCAATTTACAAAAATTCGGTCGGGATTTAAATATGGACAATGACCAAATAATCAGTATTTATCCGTCATCAATCCAATTTATTGATATCCCAGATCTTCCTGACGTCAGTCAACTCCACTGCACTTGACTTAGCTACAGCGACAGTAGATGAGATAAAAAATTTCAGTGTCCTCCAATCATTCTATCGTGGATAGCACCCTCCTTCTTTTCTTTCGAAATATCTTACCAGGATATTATGCTTTGGAATAACTTCGCGCGGCTTTGATCTGAAGTCAGCCGTTTGTGACGTCACTGCTCGAGACTTCTATCTGCGTTGGGATTAATGTCTAAGAATTACGAAAGGTCGTTTCACCTTGCGAGCTCATGCTATCGATATATCGAATTTAGTTTCGCAATCGATCTTTTTTCACAGTACCAAAGCAGTAACTTCACTCATGAAATAACGTTCAACGATCTTTGTTTCTCAATGGCCTCTAACTTCACGTAACTGATCATGACCTTAAGTGGATGTTTTGGCCATTAATACTCTGGCTGACTAATTAAAGAAAAATGAAAACAAAATGGCGTTTCATTCATTCGATCAAGTGTAAATGAAAAATTGGTTTACTATGATAAATCTAATTTTATTGATTCGGTACTAATTATTTTCAGTTATCAAAACATGCATTAGATACTTTGATTCACAAGTATGGCGCAGTGCCTGGAAAATCATTTATTATTCCAACGAATGTTACAGAAATAATCTTCCTGATAATCGAAGCACCAGGTATGTTAACGTGGTAGTTGTTTAGGCTTCGTATATCATGATCTGTATTTACGCGTAAGAATAATCGAAGATCCGAGACACGTTCCCTACGTCACAGATAAGATTATCGAAACAGCGACGCGTACGTAAAAATGCGTCTATCTGATAAACGCATTAAGCCTAGGTATAATCTCTATAAGATTCTACCAGTTGCTTGTAGAAATCGCAGTGTTGGTAATTAAATTAAAATTTTTTTTCCACCAAGCTTTTAAGATGCTTCGTCAATACGAAATATTTATATGATTTATTTTAGGTGTCAGCGATTTGAAAAATTTTAATTGTATCCTTTTTTTATTGTTTTAATTAACGCATTTTATATCCACTTTCTCCATTCCTAATGTTCACTCTAATCTAATCTTTGATGTAAAAGAAATCTTAATTTCGACGAAAGCACCTAATACCGTTCCTCTGATTAATGTCGTAACTGTCAAATCGAATAAAAATATCTGACGCAAAATTCGATTAAGGAAATTTTTTTTTTGGGGATTTTATAATTTAAAATAAAAAATTTAACCTATAAAATTTTTTTACAGGTTGAACCTGTACATTGGACATTTGATAATATTGAACTTAACGAAGACTCGAGTCCAAGTGAATTACGACATCTGGGCGATTTTCTTTCTAAAAAACATTTCGATCTCGTCATTAACTTGCCAATGTGCAATGGCGGCGTTCGACGAGTCTCCAGTTTCATGACTCATGGTTATCGTACCAGAAGACTTGCAGTTGATTATTCAGTGCCTTTGGTGACCGATGTCAAGTGCGCTAAACTTCTTGTGGAGGTGAGTCAACATTTAGTGGGTTCGATGAACGCGACGATAAATAATTCGGATACAGAGTATTTTACGCGAGGAGGTTGGGTAGTCTGGTGGAGTGAGGTGGGGGTTAAATGATTTATAAAGAATCAGATTTATTGTATACTTAATCATTTTTAAATATTGGAGCTTGTTCTCGTTTTGTAAATCCGAGGTACCATTTCCGGAAATACATACTTTTTATCATTATTATCTACGTACAGTGAAGCAAGTATACTTGGCCTCGCAAGATCTTCAAGATTAACGCTTAACAATGTTAAAATTCTCGTAGGTAGGCAAATACTTTATTATCTTCAATGTTGATGTCACAATCAGTCACCAATATAACTCTGTTAGTAAGATTTTTAATATGGACTCTTCATTCATTGAAAAATAATTTTGACGAGCAAACTGTACCGTTAGCTTTATGATTACATGAGAAGATCTGATTACATCAGTTATTTTAATTTGAGCTTTTAGGGTTTCGCAGCCAAGATTATCGTTAATACTCATGGTTTTCGGATCGAAGCCGCGTCCGTGTTCAGCTTCGTGCAGACGTTCCGCAAACGTTTCAGTCTGCATCATCAGGACTAGGAGCCTCCTAGCACGGATGCGGCTTCCATCTGGAAACCATGAGTATTAATGGTTATTTTAATTATTTAATTCCCTAGGCATTAAGACTCCTGGGTAGACGTGCACCGCCCATGAAAACACATACGGATTGCATAACCTCCAGGACGTTGATAAAACTCCCAGGATTCATTGATGTCCACGTTCACGTTCGTGATCCTGGTGCTGAGTATAAGGAAGATTTCGCATCGTGTACTGCTGCCGCGCTAGCTGGTGGCGTCACGACGATATTTGCAATGCCAAATACGAATCCCGCCATCGTGGATGAGGATTCGTTTGCAGTAGTGAAGGAGGTAGAAATGTGGATGAAATATTTGAAAACAGCGTATGAACTTTTTGAAAAAAAAATATACTGTGATATTTTGTTCGTTCCAGAGAGCTGAGAAACTTGCCAGATGTGATTACGCCCTCTTTGTCGGCGCGTCCTCAAGCAACTACAGCACAGTTTTTGAACTGGCTTCGAAAGCTGCAGCCTTGAAGATGTACCTTAATGAGACGTTCACTACTTTACGGTTGACCAACATCAGCATTTGGTCTAAGGTTCGGTTCCAAATGCATCGTTAACTTTTGTTGTGTTACTCGCAAATACGACTCTTGCGATATTAACTTAATCCCGTTCGAGGAATTGTAATATCGGGTAGCGTAGCTGATAGCAATTTCTTCGACAAAATTATTATGACGAATATGATCATCGCAATAGACTAGGGGGAAATTCATTGACAATAAATGTATCTTTTATTATTTTATTATAGTCCATTCATACCTGTCAGACTTAGTATTAGCTATTCAAATTTCATGAATGTTAAGTGAGAATGCTTGTTTTTCAGCATTTTGAAAAGTGGCCAAAAAAATATCCAATTTGCGTGCACGCCGAGAGTCAAACAATGGCAGCAGCTTTGCTACTAGCCAGCTTCTACAACAGACCCATCCACGTCTGTCACATATCTCGCAAAGAGGAAATCGAGATAATCGCTGCAGCCAAAGAAAAAGTACGTTATCTTGAACCGTCTGCGAAGTATTATATGATAAGGCTCAATTATTATATTTTTTACAGGGTATGCCAGTGACGTGCGAAGTGTGTCCTCATCATTTGTTCCTTTGTGAAGATGACCTGGAGCGCATAGGTCACGGCCGTGGTCAGGTACGGCCCATTCTAGGAACAAAAGAGGACCAGCAGGCTCTCTGGGATAACTTGAACCTAATCGATTGCTTCGCTACTGATCACGGTAATACCATAGTACTCGAGTGTTATCATTCCGTAACTATTGATTATATTTTGATAAGAAATAATACAATGTCAATTATAGCGCCACACACGGTTGACGAGAAATCAGGCAAGAATCCACCACCTGGTTTCCCTGGTTTGGAAACTATACTGCCACTACTACTGAATGCGATGCATGAGGGCAAACTCACTATGGAGGTACATTCAATTATAAAACTTAGATGCGTCATGAATTACGGATGTGAATTATTATTCCTCATCGGGTTAACGTCGTAGCGAGTTGCTAATCTCACATATAATATGTTTACCGTTGACGACCGGAAATGAGTAACGATACTTTCATGTTCTGTTCATCTTTCAGTGTCGTGAAAAGTACTTAAATCCTGATCACTTGAAGTGAAAAGAAAGGGAAACACGTTATCAGTGAAGAATTACCAGTTAAAAGTGATAAAAAGAAATATTGAAGATATCGCAGTTATGATTATTAGTCATCACTTGAACGAAAAATCACATTTCTTAATTTACCTTGAATACTCATATCAACCGTACGCAAAATTAAGTTTAAGTTTTATAGACCCTTTTATCGTAGTGCTTTGATAACGAGCTATTTGATCAAGACTAGTGTCTCTCGATAGAGTATAGGCATCCATAGACATGAGATATTGAAGCAAAAAAATGTATAGAACTAAACAAGGCCGGAACTAATCTTTCTAATGTGAATTAACTTTAGGTTATCAGTAAATTACATAACTGCTGTCTTTTTTACTTGCAGGATATCGTAGACAAGTTTCACAAGAATCCAAAGCGTATCTTCAACATTCCTGATCAACCTAATACCTACGTGGAGGTTGATATCGATGACGAGTGGATCATTCCTGATGCGTTACCATTCACAAAATCTAAGTGGACGCCCTTTGCAGGAATGAAAGTTCGAGGTTCCGTACACAGAGTGGTTCTAAGGGGGGAAGTTGCATACGTGGAAGGTCAAGTTCTGGTGAGCCCTGGATTTGGACGTGACGTCCGAAAGATACAAGCTAAAACAAAGCATCAGCCAACGTCGCATCCGCCTGGCATTGAAATCGTTGCTGGAAGTCGACCAAATTCGGCTCAAGATGACTGGTGGCCAAGTGATGAAAAATATGGGCATTCGGGTAGAGATGATGTTTATGATTTGGATCAGAAGGAATTTCTCGATTACAATCATATATTGCAACCACCGCATCACAAGTCTAACGTTCACTTTACTTTGGAAGGCGAGTCTAAAGAATACTTGAGAACGAATTACGGCCAACGATCCTTATCGCCATTACTACTCACAAACGCCATTCGCTCTAAGAGCGACAGCAATCCTAATCTTTTTGTTCCACCGCTTCCTCCGACTCCTCATGTGAATGCTACTCACGGATTGGCTGGGCATCATATACTTTCTGTTGATATTTTTAGCAAGGAGCAACTTAACGATATCTTCAATTTTGCTCAAACGCTTCGCGTTTACGTGCAGAAGGATCGACCTTTGGATCATATACTAAGGGTGATTTTTTAATCGTAAATCAATTTCCTAATTCGGTCCACAATTTTTCTTTAGGAATTAATGACACTTTTTTCTTCAGGGAAAAGTCATGGCTTCCATTTTCTACGAAGTCAGTACGCGCACCTCTTGCAGTTTTTCTGCTGCGATGCAACGTTTAGGAGGTCGCGTTATTTATATGGATGGTACCACTTCGTCTGTCAAAAAGGGTGAAACTCTGGAAGGTCAGTGACCTCGTCGCTCTTGAATGCACGATAAACATTTATTTTGTAATTCATTTAACAATTCAATTATTTTCATGCAGATTCTGTGGCTGTTATGGCTGGCTATGCTGATGTCGTTGTCCTTAGACATCCTGAACCTGGGGCAGTAGCAGTAAGTGGATACACCCAACTATAAGATTCAGAATGTATTTTTCAATGTATTGTATTATTAATAATTATTTATAAAGCGAGCTGCACAACACTGCAGGAAGCCATTGGTGAATGCCGGCGATGGCGTTGGGGAACACCCTACCCAGGCCCTCCTTGACGTGTTTACGATTCGTGAAGAAATCGGTACCGTTAATGGACTTACTATAACTATGGTTGGTGACCTTCGACACGGTAGAACAGTTCACTCCTTAGCCAGGTTAGTAAATCTATTCGGAAGTAAGTAAGTAATTTGATAAACTCCGAAATGACCATCCGCAAATTTCAAATGAATTTGTTCTTGCGTAACGTTACAATAGTTTTAGAAATACAGGTAATGTGATTGTTTAATTATAATTAAAAAAAATAAACAATTTTTTACCCACTTTCAGATTGCTTACTCTTTACAACGTACAATTGCGTTACGTGAGTCCACCGGGACTAGAGATGCCAGATCACGTGATAAACTACGTGGCGAAACGCGGAATTTCACAAGAGAAATTCACAAGTCTTGAAGACGTCCTTCCGGATACCGACGTTCTGTACATGACACGCATACAACGGGAACGCTTTGCCTCGCAAGAGGAATACACTAAGGTACGTTCTTAAATTCCACGTGAGTCCAATACTAGTGAACCTATTGGTGAATTTAATTATCCCATATTTGTTTGCACAAGATAATCGCAATGACTGAATGATACAGAAATTACAAGCTGGTCGTAGTCGAAGGATCATCAATTCGGATGTTATTGTGACAATCAAAGATTCCCGAGGATACTTATTATAAATCTTAAATCATCATCTAACTCAATATACAACTATATAATGACATTTAATTAATTATGATTGATATTACGCTAAGATATTAAGTATCGAGCCTATTTTTACAAATCTGTACAAATCTGCTTCTAAAATTTGATAATCCTTTTAGCAGTATTCTAATTCATTTTTTGTTTTTGTTTCTGTTAAGGTCTGCGGCCATTTCGTAGTGACGCCACAGATAATGACACGTGCCAAAAGGAAGATGGTCGTGATGCATCCTCTTCCTCGAGTCTTCGAAATCAGCGCTGATTTCGATACAGACCCTAGAGCTGCCTATTTCCGTCAAGCAGAGTGCGGTGTATACGTCCGAATGGCGCTGTTAGCAATGGTGCTGGGACGTAGTTAAGGAATAATAGAGTATCTATTTGCATCAATTTTTTATCTATACTATATAAATAAGTGATGAATACTTAAGTAAGGCATGATGTGACCAATTAAGAAAATACAGATTCCAAAAATACAATGCGTATTATACTGTCCTTTTCATAATAATATGGGTACTATAAAATATTTAAATGTAAAAGGATTAGATCAAGAAAAAAGAATAGATATGAAATAGAAGTTCTTAATGATAATATACGTAATAAGGGAAATATTTACACCCCTTAGCGGGATTTCTCGGAACTATTGTAGATGCTTCCTTCCTGCTGCTTCCAAACATGGTTGTCACGTCAGATTTTTAAAATCGTGCACCGCAAACCGCCAACCTGCATCTTAACTGATACACTCTGTATATACGCCAAAATTACTTTCTACAGTATTTTTTTATTCAATAAGATATGTAATAATTTCACTTATCTACAATGCATTGTAAAAGCTATGCTTTATGCTGAAGTACATTGGACCTTGAGTACCATACCAATTGCTTAATAACCGTAACGTTACAAGGAGTGCAGCAACGTCGTCCTTCCAATCAGCTGGTACGTGCTTGACAGCTTTTTCATTCTCCTTTTATTCATTTCCTTGATTAGATATCGTTTGTAGGAATGCGCATTGCCTGTTTGCTAACGTGGTAAAACGATAATTCTACGCTGGTTGTGTTTTATGATAAAAAAAAACGGACATATGAGAGAGCTAACGATCACATTGACGTATTAGGCACATTTGATATTATTAATACAAATCAAACTTCGACTCTACTCATCAACTCCTCAAAATTTCACATGTAATATAGTCCTATGAGTAATACAGTTAGTGTACTAACGAGTAAGAACTAAATGCGATAATATCAAATGTTATTAGTCATGTACAAAGTGTGTAATCGTATTGATTGATTCAGCAATTTCATTGTATTTTTTGTTGTAGTTACGAATGATCCCAGAAACCATAAATTATCTAACAGACGCGCATGCGAAAATTTGTTACCGAATCCTTGCACAACGTGAAAGTCGTTTTAAGTAAGATTGTTTTTCTCCTAAAAGATAGTATTGCGAAAGCTCGTATTTTTATGTTACTGTTGTTGCGCGTGAGCAATACCCCGATCATTTCGATCGATATCGGAGGGATCTAAATCGTATGACCTTTTCATCTGACCTTTTATCATCTTTTTAACCTTTATATGTGTCTTCAAATCTGTCATTTTCAATCTTCTCAATCTTCATACCATCGTTATATTAATTGAATGAAACACAATAAAAGCCATTCGTTTCTTCTTTTCATAGAGATTTATTCCTCCGGCGATTTTATATGCTACTTGCACCTTTCTCTTAATACCACGTATAACAATCTATAATTATACCTGTACAGTGTCAAACATAAATTATATCAAATCGTATCTCAATGCTGAGGCGAACTTGCCTGTGGGAAAGACTAGCTGTATCATCGACTATATGTAAATAACATTTTCGTAATTTATATAGACGCCAGTAAAATACGCAGGTAATTATTTAATTATCATTAGTTAATTACGATCAGTAATGGCATTAATCACGGTACAGGTATTAGTCTTATAAATGTATCAATACGTATCGTTCTGTAACTAAATCTAAATAAATTTAAGTAATTGAGCATGTAAAATGTATTGCTATAATAATAATATCGATGATGATAATAATAATAATAATAATAATAATAATAAATCTGGATTTTACAGATTGCAGATAAAAAATGACAATTCGTGGAAAAATTGTCATTCAAAATGGTTTCAACGACAAAAAACCTTCACTCAAAAATATACATTCTCGCAATCAGATACTACGTGATTCATTAAAATGGTGCTAATTCATTCGTGCGTCCCTTCAATTAATTAACCCTTCATTGGGCATGTTAATGCAATATTTTCATCTTAAATACAAATATAGAAGTCTACGCTGAAAACTATTATTGTCCGTACATCCCACACAAGGATTAACAGTTTGCTCATTCATCGTTATCACAAGATGGCAGCACGGAACAAAAATTATTTTATCGATGGCGAGGACAATGAGAAGTCAGATCTTCAGAACCCTCCGCGCCTAATGAAGGGGTAATTAGTATTTTTCACTTTCCCACGGTAATGTCGCCAGCGTACCACTAAATAAAAAATAAATAATTATGTAATCCACACGTTTATATAAAATCCCTTACGTATATGGGACTAGTATAGTAAATAGTAACTGACCTATGAAATCACAAAATAACAAAAAAATACATAAAACAAAAATAATATAAATTCACAATTATGAAAAATAAAGTGCATAAATGATCACAGCATCAGACAATAATAGCAACAATGAAACTTGAAGATAATGGAAGTTCCGTGTCTCATATAATTAACGAATTTCGATAAAGGATACAGATAATCTATATGCGATATCGTACAATACGAACTATCAGACAATAGCATCTCTTTGTAGATCGCAATCCATCGTTCCTATAGGACACATATCGGACGCCAATGATTTGCGATCGCTGCGTCTTTTGCGTCCCGTTGGTGGAATCTTGAGTTTAAATTTTCGTTTGACCCCGGAATTCTTCTTTCTGCAACATATGATTGATTTATCACGAGCACCATTTAGGTAAAAGTGCAATGTGCAATTTTGAATACATACTGGTGTCGGCAGTCGATAAATATTCCCATTGAGAATAAAACAATTATTGCGACTATGATACCAAGGACGATGACTACCAAAGTCCCTATGGCCTCCTCCTCTTCAGGTGTCAGGGGCAGCTCAGTGGTTGACCATGACACATCTGAAATGGAATGTAAAATAAAAAACAATCCATATAAATTCTCAAATCAAGTACGAATGTAATTGATGTACAAATTATGCCAATATATGCGAATTTTAGGAATATTTTTTTAGCAAGTAACGATACTACATCATATTTATGTTTTTATGTCAATTAAAAATATTAAATCTATCGTTCATCCTGTATCTAAATGCAGTGCGAAATAGAAAGTCTGTTGCAATTTCTGTTATATAAAATAACTTCGTAACAATCGCATTTCATTTCGCTAGCTGTTATTATTCGCTCTTATTTGCCTACCATAAGATACTATCAGTGTCTCCCAGGTAAATATTACATTATGGTACTACACCGCACATGTTCTACAGTAAGTATAGCATATTTCATTAATATAATACATAAGATACTATCAGTATCTATCAGGTAAATATAACATTAAGGTACTATACCATACATGTCCTACAGTAAGTATAGCATATTTCATTAATATAATACATAAGATACTATCAGTATCTATCAGGTAAATATAACATTACGGTACTGTACCATACATGTCCCACAGCAAGTATAGCATATTTAATTAATATAATACATAAGATACTATCAGTATCTATCAGGTAAATATAACATTAAGGTACTATACCATACATGTCCTACAGTAAGTATAGCATATTTCATTAATATAATACGTCTCAAGTAATAGTGCAATTATGATTCTGGCTCGACTTAAATTTTTTGTCATATTCTATATCGGCTTTCATAGAATAAAATTTCTTATCGGTACGACATACTTCTGATACTGGATGATCCAATTAATCAGAATGATCAAAGACGACGCTGAACGATACCTTATCAATCTTCGCATGAAAATAAAATCGGGACTTTACCTCTAACATATATATGTTTTTAGTCCAGTAGTTAATGTGATATATAATTTCTTTATCTTTCACGAATAGTAAGTTATACATATATAAAGTTAGGTAGGATAGGAGGTACCCCTTAGGGAAATAATACAGTCAGAGCAATACTAAAAATATTTCATGATTTTTTGCCCAGTTTAAGAAATATATGAATCATATAAAATCAGTGTAAAATTAATATATGATTATATATATATTTTTTAAACCTGGGCAGCTTCATTATTTTATGGGTAGTTCATCTTACCCCATAGAAAATAAAAAATCACACACCATAGTAGAAGGTATGACGTTAGTGGTATGTAAAGTGACCATGAAAATTGTATGAGGAAATTTTTCAATCAGCCGATTTCGACGTTATTGACGTCATCGAATAATTTTGATCCTTCCTGAGGATCATCCTGGCATGGCCAGCTGCACGTACGCCACCATCGAGCTTAGACTCTAAGTCCCGACAGGAAGTCGTCTGGTTTAGGACACTTGCGGAAACTGATCATTTCCAGCAGTCGTTCAAAACGGTTCTGACGTCATTGCAGCGTGCATTTCGTTTGAAATTTTTTCTACTCGGACTGTACCGTCCAACTGGTGTACGTTGCTGTATCAGAAATATTAGCCAATGATTAATTATCACGCAAATGAATCATCAACATTGATCCACTGTACATGGCAATTCTCATAATAAAAAGGAAAAAATTGTTCAAAAATTCCTTAAATTATTTATATCGCTATATTAACGTTAATACCAAAACGTTAATTAATACCATACACCGACTCCCGTGGAATATACTAATATGCATTAAGAGTGCATCGACTCAGTCACGCCTCGCGTATGTTAATCGCTGCGTATGAACGTCAGTGGCTATGATAAAATACGACTCCGCATTTTTCTAATACCAATCGTCAACATACTAGCTAACGTGGCATACGTAATAATCATAATAACTAAGAGCAGTACACACGAGACTTCATAAACGATCTCCAAATAAAAATCAATATGATTATAACGTATTAAATTGGATTATGAATACTTTGAAAATTTTCTAAATATTTCTATGTCGCACTATACCCTGTGATTTGGTAGAAAAAAAATACGATGATTTTGTTATTACCAATAGTTACTTTCTTTCCGATCTAAAAGTGTACTAGGCTGTGTCAGTTATTGAGAGAAAGGTTTCTCGTACTCGTGAAGTGAAGAAAAGGTGTTGGTATCGATGTTTGTCAGGTACCGAGAGAAAGGGGTTAGGTTCGCTAAATGAAAATCGTACCGATCGTTATGGGAAATTGTAGAAGAGAGGCGTGTACGACGTTGAACAGATACGTAGGATAGGTTTCCGATTTCGTACGTTGTAAATTTTCCGAGCCAGAACGAAACGAAACACATACGAACGTGACCCAAGCCTGTGATGCATCGCGTGTAAACGCGAGTGAACGTGGCTGTATGATTTTTCTGAATACAAAAGACTTACATAACTGCACGATTCTGTGAGGTGTTTATGAACGTTCAAACGAAATTTTATTTAGAAAAAAATAATGAACGACCAATTACGACACCAAGATTTTGCCGGAGTATTGCATTGTGAATTTTTGTACGATTATTGACTTCCGTGGTGGTTGTGAGATTCGACTAACCTTAGTTTAAATTACAACTGGATATCCTTACCTCAATATATGGTAATATCATTTGAAAGATTACTGCTTTGGTTTTCTCTGTTCTAGATTATATGTGACTGTTTCTAGATAAAATAATTATATCGCTCTATGATCGTCGTTAACGATTTTTAGGGAGTCAGGGAAAAGTCAAATTCCATTTTGTCGAAATTTTATATTCGTACTGTAGTCAAGAAAAAGTGGTCGTATTTCATTGAAAGAAGCATTATGCCGACTGTCGGTAAAAATGAGTAAAATAGTCAACGACAAATGAAAATATTGATAATGGCTTTAGGCGATATAAAAAATAATAAAATGTATACCTTTAATAGAATTAACCATACTGCCGTTAACACTGCCGTTTCTGTCCATCGTTTTAAACTTGACGATCTTGACCGATCGGTAGAAACTAAGGTAAGATATTTTAAAAGTAAAACTGGAATAAATTAAAATTGACGAAATATCCGCACACTTTTTTTTAACAACGTCGTATGTTATTTCACATAATATTATTTAGCGTTTAATTAACACTTGAATCAATACACGTTCCACTTTTTCTCAAATTCTTTTTTCAATTCACTTTTTCTTTTTTGTGTTGAATTAATGTTATTTTCTCTTCAACTATTCCTCGGTCTTATATATTTTATAACGAATTAACCGGTTCGGAATCTGGCCGTGCACTGTCGGTCATATGGCTGTTCTCTTTCCGTCGTGGCTTTTGCTGTTCTACACGAGTTCCTACAGTGGCTCCGAAGAGTATCGAGAACAGAGTAGAGGAGAAACGAAGTGAGAGCTGAAGTCTCTGACGGTCAAGTCGACATTGCTTCCCATTCCCATTTCCATTTCCATTCACCATGCAGGTAGACTAGGTGGTACGTATTGAGACGGAGACACATTTTTGTACAGTCCTAATGAAAATCCTTACAGTGCATTATCGAGGTCTTCGGACCAGCTAGAAACTGGGAGTCATAGTGGAATTCAGGAAGGCAGTACCTAAACAAATGAAAAATATGACCCAAAAGGGGCTGGGCCGAGCCGTGAATGAAAGCAGAATTCTGAGTGTCCGTTGGGTTTGCCTGAGAACTTTACGTACGGATTAGCCTGTAACGGTGAACTGAATATATTTTAAAAAATTTCTAAAATATATTTTACAATTTTTTTTGCTTAGTTGGGTTGGTATGTATGATTATTTTTTCTACAGAACGCAGTTGGGCTATTGGGATAAGTTGAGGATCTAGTGTCGGAGCCTGTGCAAAATGCTGCTCGATTTGGCTCAATGGCCACTTAAATAATTCAATCATCAAAGTTTCAGTGGCTACAAACTGAAACTGCTCATGGCGGCTTACGATTAATTTCCTGTCCAGGACGTTACTCGTGCTGTCTACCAAGTTGACGTATAAATCGACTGTTATGCTGTTAAGAATTGAGTCCACGTGATATGCATTACTTACATTAGGATTATACCGTACAATCGTCTAGACCAATCGGTACCATGAATTTTTTAATTTTTAATTATAGCCATACACTCGAAACACTGAAACCTGTCAGTTCTCAGAGTAGATGTTGGATTTAATCTCTGCTTGTTAATTGGCAATGTTGACTTGGCTCTCAAATTCGATAACTGGTACAAAACATCTTATAATTGCCATTATACGACTGGAGCTACCGGAGAAGAAACGATTAAAAAAAATAATTTTACGATTCCATTGTTCAATTCATATGGTGAACTCATAAAATACATTTCTTCGATAATCGTCAATTTTAATATTTAAAAATTCAAGAGGTTTTCAAAAGTACGATTGCATCTATTAATAAATAGGTTTTACTTTTTCAAAAGTTCGTCAACTACAACAACGATCGATATCACTGGTTATCAATTTAAATATATGTATTTCTACGTTTGATGAATCGATAGGCACTTTATTTATTCATTTTACGAACCTGCCAATAATTATACATATATAAATATACTCCCTATCAAGTTTCTTAACCCAGAAGTAAGCACGTGGGGTGTCTACTAACATTAAGAGACTCCAACTAAATGCTTTTTAAATATAGAACAACATGGCACATCCATCATTGAATTACGGCTATAAATAATTGTAGAATAAGAATAAAATTGAAAAATCTAATACGCTTATCATGAAATTACTACCGCTTGTGCCAAAAGATTAATATACACTGCCGTTTATCTTACTAGTATTTTTACAGGTTAAAAATTAATAAATTCGATTATCTTCCACCTCTGTAATGAATATATGAGAAATACGCATCAGCACCGTGTAACAATCCGACTACGCCACTGAGTAGCTGTAACAAAGTAAACGATGGAAAAAATAAATGGTGATAATTATAAAATTAATTAAAGAACTAATTTAATTAATGATATACTCACATAAGCTGCTGTCATAGCGGGATAAACGTCGTAACCAGGAGTCAAGAGATACTGAGCCCAAAGAAACATTTTTGTTGAAAAAGCCAAATACGACGCTGAGCTCATATAGAGAAAGCATGCCAGAGCGTTGAACATCAGTTCCTGTTAGAGCAAAGGGAGCCAAAAAATATCACATCAGTGTTTCAAGCTGATAACAAGGAAAAGTCAAGATAACATTTCACTCACGAAAAGCGACGATCGAACCAGCCTGTAGGATTTCTCCGAAATAACATAGCAAGCAAGAAGCACAGAGGAAGTGAGGAAACAGGCGGAAGCCGTTGTGAGCGAACCTTCAAACGCTGAGCCAATGGTGGAACTGTACCTAAGTCCGTAATTGATAAGTAGACTTTGAATAAGACCGCTAATAATCTGAAGTGAATATAGAAAAAATATATTGAAACGACCTGTACACGTGGCAAGAGTATTATTTGTTTATTTCAATAAATTACCGTTTCGCTTATCTTGATTATTCCTGGTGACGTTTTCAAAAATTCAATATGAATGCACGTGCAGCATCTGCAAAAGCAACACTCGATCCCACCTGCACCGTGACTTCCGGAAGACATTCTGATCACCGGTCCAGTACTGCTTCTGCCCATTCTCAATTCCTTCGTTTATCTAATGAAACCCGTCGGGGCCTAGTGGGTTCGTTAAACCTATACGTTAATTAAGATACTTCCGGTATGCATTTACCTAATGGGTTTGTTCCTTTGTGTGATATTTGTGTGTATTCTTTGTTTAAAAATTTCGTACAGTTTAATGTATGTCTGTCACAAGTTATTGTACAGATCTGTATTTCGTTTATTATAATTTGATAATTTTTTTTCATAGTCGATTATACCTATTTCTAACAGCGCAGATACGTGCGTACGTTCACCTTTCGTCAGACTGTTCAAAATATATTTATTTTATCGAAAATAAAGATTATATGCAATTTTTATTGATGCCCGACGTTTATTGTAAGATCAAATTTTTATTGAAATTGCACTGCATCAGACTGCACTTATATTGGATATACGCTACACGTCTGTGATCTTTCAGACTTTAAAATGAACTGACTTCTCCCTTGGTCTTTTCGTGGATGCATACACGATGCACGCGTGTCGTTGCACCCCCTGCGTAGCATATATAAAATGAGGGAACGTCTATTTCTGGCACGCGCCGGCAGGATATTATGGCGGGCAATGCAGATGGAAATAAAAAAATAATAAAAAATGTTAAGATCATTGGTATCGTTTAATATTCAACATAGAAATTGCATTTCGTTTATGATATAATTTGAATCTGCAATTACTCTTATTTAGAAATTTTATAAACATGCAGCGAATCCTATGGTATTGTATTACATTCGACAAGTCGATTTTATTCAATATAAATATTACAATGGACACTCAATAAATAATTTTCATCTACATTCTTATCATTATAATGTAAAATATAAATTTTTATATGAAATATAAAGGCATTGTTATAGGAAGATTTATGGTGAAACCCTGCAATACTCATTTATAATTATCATTAGTTAAGATTCATTGTATACTTTGTGTTTCTGTTATTGTATATAAGCTATCTTGATTCACCGCAGTGAAGAATTTTCTTTCGAAAATCTTTCAACGAGGTTGACAAATGGCACAGTAGTTTACAAATATAAAAATATTATAAATATCAAAATCCATGTATATAAAATAGCGAACGATCTTTCCGTGGCAAGTTTCGATATCCTTTCAAGGCGCAGTCTTTACTATCGATTCGTCTGCAGAACAGGAAATTTCTGCAAATTACTCAAACGCGGAGTCGAAAGCATTTGAGACAAAATATTTGTATTATGTAATAAGTACCAGTGTACGTGAATGAAAATTTTTGAAAAACCGTAATCTAAAAAGATTATACGTAGAAATATAGCAAAAATAAAAATTATGCAATTTCACAACTATTATTTGAATCACAAAACAGTACGCGGAACTATTACATATAAATTGTTAAAGCAGAGTCAAAAAGATCTCCAAACAAAATTTGGAAAATTACTTTTCAAGTTTACAGTCCTCTGTAAGCTCGAACCGCCATTATAGTATTAAGTAAATAAAGAGCTGAGTTGACTAGTCCACAAATCTGAAAATAATAATAATAATTTAAACATTAATATTAATAACCATAATCAATATATATGAATGACATTAACGATCAATCTTTTAAAAACTCACTGAGGCTCCCAACAGCAAATCGTGATCTCTCGAATATTTGTTGTCGTTCACCCGAACCAACAATGTCAAGGAACATGCAAGTAGTAGGCCAAAACCGATTGAATGGTATATCAGTTCCTGTGTAAAAAATGGATATCAGTAATCATTAATTTCTGTCTTATAATAAAATCAATCAGTCACTCACATAGATCGTTTTGGATATAATAGATTCCGTGGATATCGACGCCAGGCAAGAAAGAATGAGAATAAACGTGGCTATCATAAAGGTCGTGACGATAAGTAAAAAGAAAAGATCAGCAGTCGTGCGCACGTATAATTGATTAAATTGATGGCCCATAATTCCCACGCAGACGATACCTAGAGCCTGAAAAATGAAATTAATGATAAAATATATTAATTTTATGAAAAACTGAATCGGTCGGCCTTTCATAATCTTTTATTACTCTGTTATGAGAATACCGCAATGTCAAACTCAGCTGATTAGATTTATCGTTAAATTATCAGTTTCCGGTTACTGACCAGTTGTAGAAATTTTAGCAGTCCATTGAATGACTTTAGATAGCCAGTGTTGATAATGATGGCTGACGAGTTCGATGTTACCGTCGCCGTCCTAATAGTTACCGAGTGAGACATCATGAGAAGGCTGCTTGACGAATCTGAAAAAAATGTATCATTGATGAATTTTGACGAACCTGCGATAGACTCGTATGAAAGTTATGAGATCCATATAAAATGTTATTCAACGCTCGTCTTCCATAGTTACCACATGATGGGGATCGTGAGGCAGGACTTTTATGGAAACAGGGACAAGGCTGAGTTTTCGTAGCACGTGACCTACTTTAAGATACTTAAGAGTGCTCAGAGTGAACACGACTAAAATAGTCCTGGAGGCCATAATTTTTATAGATAGAATCTTAGAATTTAGACTTTGACTTTATCATGGATAAAAGTAATTTTTATATTTTCAATTTTTTTATTCATATATTCTTGAGCACTATTTTAATTGCGTTTTTGGGTATAGGTGTGACGCCGTGACGGAGTTCATCGACGGTGGCGCCACTATGCCCTTTAAGGCGCGTCATGGAATCAATACCTACATCGTTGAAAGCTTTAAGAATTTTGATGAAACGTGAAATCCCGAAATATCAGATGATCCAATTGCATTCTCTTACAGTGTTATCGCTCAAAAAATTTGCTGCCTTTTAATCTTATCAGTTACAAAGTAATCACATTGATATGTTAATGTAAATAAAGAAAAAAATACAAATTGTCGATGTTGAATTGTATTAGAATGCATAGAAATTATCAAAGATGATTGAAATTTCTGTTTCACTGAAAACTTATTCTTTCACACAACTACTATAAAAATATTACACTAAGTTTTAAGAAGCATTACATTCAGTCTTTAGAATTATCTCATTAATCCTCTAATTCCAAGAATAATGTATGTATACACCTGAACATAGGTATATACATTTGTATGCGTACACCACATTGGTATGTCGTCATCGGTTATATTTAAAAGCTATATCAACAGCGTTACGTCCATCTAATTCTAACGGTTCTTTCTTTTTTCTGGTATTTCCGAAATTCTCAAGTTTTTTAAAAAACAGTCTACAAAAATGTCCACCACGAAATATTCATGTTTATTTCACAAGAAAGTATATGAATATACAATATTACAGACAGATCTCGATGATCAGAAGAAATGATTGGAATAGACAAAGTCTATTGACACGGTTCTCAAATGTCATGATTCTATTTATAGAGCATACGGTCACATTAAGATCAATTAAATTATGAGAAACAATGTTAATTATTCACAAACAATCATCAAATCACACAATTAACCATCACAGTATTATATTTCTCAACGAACTAACCTTATGGAAGAGTTGTTGAGATCCGGCGGCTGCCCGCGATTGACTGAAATGCACGCTTGCGTTATAACCTGACGCTCACCGTACAGTAGGTTGACGTCATTGATGATATCATATCGCCACACGCACCACCGAAATACATACGTAAGATATAAAGGGTGTAAGACAATTATTGATAAGCGCTGATATGCAGTCTCGCACATGGCAATACAGGTGGATATAAAGTTTCTGTGTATAAATAATGGAAATAATTAAATTATTTACAATTGTATGCATACATTTTTATTTCAAAATCATTCATCAAATTTTGAACGTATAAACACTGTTTGAAATTTATGCTACTCCGTGTACATAAGCCTTGGAATTTTATGTATTGAAATTTCACATTACTTTTTCAAGGTAACTAAGCGAATTCTTGAAACTCAATAATTCCAGTATCTGTCTTTTACATCGATGACAGTATTAGGATCTATTCACAGGTGTCAAATACACAGTAGCATAGGTTGGGAGGTTAACACGTTGTATGTACATACATAATAAAAATTGAAGTACTGGAACGCGTTCGATATTTTATTGATTAAAATTCCTAGCTTGGAAAATAAATAAAATTTAACGAATAGAGTATAGAGAACAATAAGAGAGAATTAGAATATCAAACAGTATGTATGTATATCTGTAATATATATATGATATAATAATACATAATTAAGAACGATATATGTGTATTAGGTTTTCCTCTTTTTTCACAAATAATACGTTGTACGATACTTTCATTAGAATCGCTTGTTAGGTTATTAGGTAAATGCATTTTGATGCTATAGTAATTTTGTGTAAATACAATATCGGCGTCACGACGACAATATACAAAAAAAGTAATAATGAAAATGAAATAGGATGGATATTGATTATACAATAGAATATTAAAATTACGGACAAGCCTGTACATTTAATATTTAGTTATTATTATTTTAATTCTCATTGTACAATCAGTTGTCCGATATAAACGTGCCGATATTTATTATGATAAATTATAAATATTATTTTCGAACAACAAGAACCGGGTGGTACATCATAGTTTTCAAAAGAAACACTTCATCGTATGTTGACGTGTCGTAAAACTAACGTGGTAGAATTATGCGTAAAAAAAGTAAATTTACCGACTACATCTTGAAACGGTGAAAGACGATAAGGCACTTCGTAATTAAACAATATTTCGATACGAATATTTCTTAAATACTTTAACTGGTCCGTAAATGTTGAAGTCCATACAAAATTTCAAGATGGCGCTGGCACATTTAAATCATTTGAGCGATGTCGATGAACAATGATTGTACTATTTATAAGGGTAATTTAAAAAAAAAAGAATGTCCAATGTTCATGAATAAATACGAACAATATTGAAATTGGACGATTTCCATGCTAGGGAAAAATGAAGATTAGATAACAAAAAAAAAAGAAAAAGTTTGTATCCTATTACTTTAAGGTCTAATTTTAGAAAGAGATAGATGAACAATAGCAAAATAGTAGACTCGTTCTCTCGTAATTTCGATGTATTTATGCATTTAAATATTAATATATGAGTCCCTTTGATACGCAAACCATCGTGCATGAATGTCTTACTTCAATAGTGTATTATTTAACGTATTTTGGTTCTCTTTGCTTTTCAGGAGATCATTCGCTACGACTTGGAGAATAAAACGTTCTTCGCATCAATCCTTAAGCCACGTTCGCACTGTGCTAATTCCACGGATACTCACGTCGACGAATTTAATATATATCGGAACTGAAACAATTCGTGAGTAAAAATGTAACATAAATTTGCTTGTTTTTCAATCTCCATTCCGTAATCATTGTTGTCTTCTTTAAAATCCAAGCGAACGATCGCCATGTTTGCGATGTAGACGGATTAAAACTAGACTAAAGCATAGGTACAAAGTGTCCATTTCGATACGCTACGAAATTAGTTCGCCAAGGCCATTCCGGACTAATTGTGGCCTCCGTCATTTCCGCTAGGTACCTTAAATACCTTCCAGATCGCGCTGCAATCGACGGATCGAGACGGGAGTTTTTAAAGATCTGCGCAGTCGACTGAACTGTCAACGGAGTAGCACACGACTTTTTATTTTCATTGTGTGTTAGTGTTTTTCCATTCAAGGTAAAGGAAATACGTTCCTGCTGCGTATGCAATGGTGTTAAAGATGCCAAAAACCTGAGAACGGAGAAGAAATATATAGTAATAATAAAATTCAAGGTAATTTGCATTATTAATGGATTGAACTGTATTATACGTACTCCAGCAGCAATATTACCGCCTCTGTAATAATGGTTATAAAGCGCAGACCAACATGATAGTTGTGCAATAAACGCTGTTGTGTACAGAATAGTTGCCAATCCTGTATTCACTAATTCCTGTAACATATATATGTTTTTAATAATGCTAATTCTAAATAATTTTATTAGAACGTACGGTGAGAATCCAATTAATTGGTAGCTTCAGTGTTTCCCGGATTGACAGTACGTAAACAAAGACCCAGATGAGAGTTGCTATGAATGTTGTCGCTACGACGAATAAAAACCAGTGTGTGGCAGAATAGTTCAACGGGGTCGCACAGCTCATACAAATTATAGCAAGTACCTGAAACAAAAGCAGAAGACATATGTTAATTAATTATGAAGGGTTTGATACTGTTAGTAGTATTTTTCTGCATTTAATAATTTTAAATCCGAGGCAGTTTAGAAACGTATGATACGTCAAGGTTATGTATTTCAAAGTAATCCTTAAATTATCCTGTCCTATAGAATTACAAAGATTAAATTACATTTGAAGATAAGATATTCAAAAGTCTAAATATCGTATTAGGATGAACTTCAAACAGCTTCATCATCTTTTAGTTTACTCTTCTGGAGTACACGTGACAGGCGTTCCCTTTTCTTTAAACTCTTTGAGAATTCTGTATTATTCGAGCGATCTAGTCTCTCGCGTCCTTCTCTCATTGCAAAATTCCAATCGAATTTCGGAATTTTGGAATCCAACTTAATGCGGCTACTGAATTCATTTTGAATTTTGAAAAATTCTTTTTTATCCATTTCGCGAATGTCTAATAAGCTCATTTCGTGATTTTTTCCAAGAACTGGTCCTGTTATGGAGTCACGTTTCTGCTGATCAGGAAATTCTAAAGATACAGCAGCAGAAAAATATTTTTCATGGAGCTCGCATTCCTTTTTGGCTTTAGTCAACTTTCGAATTCTCTCCTCTTGCTGTAACACCAAAGGACGTCTCGCCACTTCTAGTTCCTCCGGGACAAAATTCTTCTTCTTCAGCAAAACAGTCTTCATCCTCTCATGATCGGCACGTTTCCAAATAGCCGCTTTCGACATGGGCACGTTACGTAACCGGCGCTCCTCTTCAATCCTTGCCAATTCTCTTTGTTCTTTCTGAAATCTTTCCCGAGCTTCCTCATGCTTCCTTCGGGCTTCTTCGGCAATTCTCGCAGACTTTCGTTCCAGCGCTTTACTATCACTCTTCAGATACTCGTTCTGCCAGTTTAAAAATTCCCGCTTCCTCGACAATTCATGAGTCACAAATTCGCGAAACCATGCCGCCCTGTCGGTAAGTTCCTCGGCAGATTCCTTTGGTTCCACTAACACCCGAAAGGCGCCGTTGCCGTCGCCAACGCCAATGAGACTCCGCGCAGCCGGCAACACGTGCAAATACAGTCCCGTTATAGAGTTGCCGGAAATGGTCTGCAAGAATACTGGCTCCCTGGTATCAAAACGGATATCCCAAGTCTCCAGAGTGCCATCGTGTCTGGCTACTAAAAAAATGGCCGGTCTATTACTCCAGCTGCAAGCTGTATAACGACAGGATCTTCTTCGCCAGAATAACGGACTAACCAAAAAGTCATCTTTCCACACGGCGAACACGTGACCACCAATAGTTAGTAAAATTTCATGCATATGAGGACATCTCTTTATATCAATGACGGGACCATCGTGAGCTGCACTTCGATTTGTTATTTTGGAAATTTCAGAAGATGCCACTTCGGTACTGAACTCGTGACCTTCCCAGGTGCAAATAAGAAAATCTCCTTCCAGAGTTCCAATCCAGAACATTCTCGTAAAGGTGTCTTTCGATCTGTCCAATTCAATGGAGAACCTTTTAACCTTGGAAAGATCAAACTGATCCTCTACAGACATATCGTGATAGATTTTTTCCAAAAAACGATTGGGAGCAGATGCCTGTAGACTAAGCGGTATGAAATTTGGACTTTCTTTTGTAACCTGTATATGCACACGGTAAATCGGTTTGAGGATACCGTCCAAATTTTTCAAATTGTTCTCGGTAAGAGTATTAACGGTCTTCAATGTGATTTTGACTAGCTTGGGAGATGAAATGGATACTGGTTGCCAGCAAAGATCCCAAAATGCAATGCAACCGTCTTCGGATATTGTCATGAACTGAAGACTCGTTTCTTCAGTAAGTTTTGATAATTTACCATCAGACTCTACCTGATAATTCGTCGGAAGCCAGTGAATATTTCGAATGCATAAGGAATGAGATTGAAGTCTGTTAGAAGCGGCAATCACGGGCAACCTTAATATCTTTGAACCTGAGCACTCATCACCCGTATCACTCTGCTTCTCAAGAACACTTCGCAAACTGTCAGCAAGATACCAGATAACAATCTGTCCGTTTGTGCATCCTCCCACGATAACATCTTCCCTAAAAGGACAAAAAGACAGTGAATGAACTTCCCTAAAATCCTCAAGTACAATTTTTGGATGCAAGTTATCCGAAAACGACCATATTAACGCGGATGAATTTAGATCGCAGTTGGTTGAACGGGCTTCCGTTAATTTCTGTATCAAACTACAACCGGAAACTTGTGTGTAACAAACGGCAGCAGTTCCTGTGAGACAAGGATGCCAAGAAACGTCAGATATAATTTTACCTTGCGTGAATGCAAGATCAATAAAAGATTGATACTCTTCGTAAACCATAATATTTTTAGGTACAGTATCTCGTAAAGGATCACGAGCAAGCTCAGTAATATCATTTCTGTACATATTGATAGCCGCGTTGTATCTGATATTTTCAATCATCTCGTTGGCGCGAGATTCCAAAAATATTTCCAAAGGTTTTTTCCTCTCGACTGTCACGTCTTTGTCCTCTCCTACGTTCTCTATAGTTTCTCCCTCCTGTAATTCTTCCTCTTGGTCATCCTCGTCCTTATACTCCATTTCCGGAAACGTATACTCGTACTCATATTGACTCCAAACACGCTTTGGGTATCCAGGATACGTCTGAACGCCGACCTCCTGCCCTGGCAAATGAGTCTGAACACACTTGGATATTAGGTTCATAGAAATATTGTCAAATTTTTCAAAACGAGGAACAATCTTAATGTAACCGTCTCTGGCATCATCGGCGGAACGTCCGGCCAGCTGGCGAGTCTCTCCCAGAAGATGAGTCGGTAAACAGATCTCAACCTGGAACAGTGGCCTACTTTTGACAGCGAAGGTCTGGTCGACCTCGAGCTCGCTGCCACGAGATACCCAGGGTCTGGCAGTCTTGCGAACCATGTTGTCAGCCTTGGCGATGATCTTCATGGTGATCTCACGATTCCTACGGCGTATCCTGTCGCGAGCATCTTCCGTCGAGCAGATGACGTAGCTGGTGGAGTCCAGCTCAGTTGAGGCGTATCCGACAAGGAAATACTCCCCTTCGTATTTCATGATTCTCTCGCGAACAGACTCAAGACCTGAGCCATCTTGGTTTGCCAAACCTTTCACAAGATGCTGGGGAATGTACGCCCACGGATACTCAAGAAAGACGTCTTCGCCTATAGCACAACCCAGAACGCGTTGTGTCTCTTTCGTCAAGTGAAGATGCACGGTGTCCTCAATACTTTCATCGAGTGCTAACCAGCTCAGCTGCCACTCAACCCGCTTTACGGACATTTTCGTTTCAGACTGCACATTACCAATGGAATTTCAGTACAGTTGTGACTAGAAATATTGATCAAACCTTTCTCCCTGTATCCATGCGTAATAAGGGAATAAAGGTGCGTTCATACGGATTCCATATTACACACACTCAGCTTAACGTATATTCTACGCAAGTAATACTGCAAGGCAGTGTATTGGTTTCAATGAAAATTCTTCCCCAAAGTACATTTTAATGTATATTCCTATATCAGATGATAAAATATAGTCAGATAATCAACGAGATATAAGAAAAAACATAGAACAATGAATATAGGTTAGATTGACAGAAAAATTTTATATCGCTTTATAAAACTTGAGATTGCATCATATCCAAAAGAAACAATATGCAAGATGACGTAAATATGGACATTCGTCATTGTGGAATTGAACACACACGCAGGAATTTCTCCTTTCATCGAAGATCGAGAAGGAGCAGTCGTGTAACTAAATACGTGTATTACGTATCACGGAGTGTGTAACGTGCAAAGGCGTTCAATAAATTCCAGCCGCGATCGAAACTCGTGAATAAAATAGACTCAGCCAGAAGAAAACGTATCGGAATGAATCGAGAAATGAGAGGAGTAGAAGAAAAAGAAAAAAAAAAGAGAAACGTAGTTTGGTCAATTGCGCATAGAATATTCTATAGAAAGATCGATGCTGCTGACCTTTTAAGATCCTGCATGCCCGGTACACGTACCAAAAAGCAACACGCGAATGTCACTGACTCTAAATATACGCACGTGCGTACCGATCGTGCCTTTCGAAGAAAAAGGAAAATACTTCTGCGCACACGCTCCCGCGCAGCGACCGTTGCGACAGTTTGACTTTAGTACGTAAAACGTACACGCTGATATATACGTACATCAGCGCGAGCTAAAAGGTAATGACAAACGACACGGCGTGACACGTGAAAGAAAAAAGAACGACAAAAAAATGTCGATTGGCGACTTTTCATCGCAGCGACGTAGGTAGGTAATAAGTAGCCATTTCTCTCAAGGATATCGCGTGCGTCGAATCTTCGTGAAAACAATATTATGCGCTCGGCGTGTATCGCCACGATCAAGCTATATACGAACGCCTGCGAATCCACATCACTTCTAAGAATAGGAAGAAGTCACGACAAACTCGTCACAGTGGAAATCATTTTATTAGATCATCGAGATCAACATTATAGTTAACGTCAAGTTCGGGTCAGGATATGGTCGGTACGTTTCTACCTGCAGAATGACTGAAATACTCATGACGTCACTATAATCGAACGACCTGAATATACTAATTGCAAAATAACGATACTGCGTAAATATTTTTTATCGTCGTCTACAGAGATACATATATATATATATATATATATATATATATATATATTTAATTCCTGACAACATATCTAGAATCATTTCAAAAAATTGGAGAATCATGTTGACTTCAGTCGTCTCAAGGGTGTTGAGCCTTCCAGATCCCATTCAAAGTAAAGCTACATAATTGCCATTGGCCGTATGCAAGACAAGCCGACCAAAGAGACAGAAATTTACAAATGAACGCGAAGGACGTCTCGTGGCGTCTCTCGGTAAAGAAATCAGCAAATCTACACAAAAGCTCTTCTAACTTATGACCTTGCGAAACGTGATCTGAAATTGGCGCGGGTAAGTAAAGAGAAGAGAAATGAAAAAGTTGTTCTAACCTCCTCGACTTGTTTGATTTGGCCCGTGGCCAAGCCGCTCGGGTAGCTGGGGATCACTAATCAGCTTACCCCCGTCTGTGTTTACATTTCAAGCTGGCTGAAGAAGAGGAGAAAAAACATGTTCAGGGCTGACCGGCGGTGGTCTCTGGCTGAAGAATTTTCAAAAGTAAGTTGCACGCTTTCAACTGGCACAATTAACTAAGGTTCATTGGACGAGTAACGTAACGCGGCCGTGTAATCGAGTCGATGAATTTAATTATTGCTCTGTTCACAAAACCGACCAGAATCCGGCTATACATACATAAATGATGTGTGATACGGTATATAGCCATACATATGAGAAGGCGTAACCATGTAAATACCAAGGCGCGGCATGTCCTTGTAAATAGCTGTACACACTAGCATTTGTACGCGAGCGTTGCATAGAGTGAAAACATCTACCCGGTATATCATAGACTGTGACAACGAGGCAGGAACAACGTCATTGAAGTTGCGTAATTCTGACTAAATGTTGTGTGGCGTGGGTGATAAGAGATATCGGATTTATCTCCATACTGTGGCTCGTGAAAGATCCAGCTTCACGCGTTGGTCACGTAATGTTATTTTTTATGAATTATTTCTCTGGATAAGTGTAGCAGACATATGGAAGTAAGGTAGAGAAGTAAATAAAGGCAGACGTGACTAATACTTTCCTATAATAATATCCGTGTACCTGTTAACGACATGGAACTTTTGAAAATGTATCGCGATTAAAAAATAGCTATATGTCAATTAACCCGGGAATATTCGCGCAGGGTGAGACGTTGAGTCGATGCTTTTTAAACGAAGTGCAAGATCAGGCGACCATTCCCAGGACAACAAAGGTAATTTTAAATTTTATTTTCCTATTAAATTCGACGGTGACGCGATGCAACTTTCCTGTCGCGCTTTTGTAATCTCTAAGAATATATATCAGATGCGTGTTCGGATACGAGGTTGCATTAAGACCCCGTGCACAACGTTTCCCACGTTCACTCAGAAATGCATTTGCATTGCCATGACCTGAATGACGACGTATCGTCGGAACTATAAAAGTTACCATGAATCGTCTATTTGGGAAATAGATCTGCGTCCTTCGTAAATAAAGAAAAATTTGAAAAACAATAAAAGTCTATTTCGGCTAACTCATTCGTCCGTGCTAAAAGTAATATGCTTCGTTCCCGATAAAAATAATCGTTAAGGAAATGGACTGCCGCGCTTTTACTCACAAATGAAGTTACGTGCGCAGGGGAAAACCTAAGACAGCATATTAGCCGCGCAAACGGATGTAGATAAGGCGGTAAACTTTTCTCGCCGGAAGTTCACCACTTTTATCGTTACATGTCGTACTATCGATCGAATGACTTTTTTTCGTTGCGAAAAATACATAATTTAATTAAAAAATCCTCTTTCTGCTTATACATAACGTACACCCAACGTACGAATATGTAACCTGCTATGAGTAACCCATTATACATATAGAATAATCATTTCGTTGATATAAAGCGATCGTATAAATTGACCTAGTGGTCCCACGCAAATTCAATGTCACCTCTAAAACTGCGCCTAATTTTATTACGGCGGTAATATTAACTAGTGGGTCACATACTGCCATGTATCTACCAAAGACACGTGAATCCTGTGTAGAATGAGATCTGGACGTAACAAATCCTAAGATACTGTTTGTTAGACGGAATTACACATTGCCAAATTCGATTGAAAAAAAAAAGTTGGCAAGACTGTCGTATATCACTGTTAAAATAGGTATACGATCGTTTTATTACACTCTGTTTCGAAATCCTGGTGAAAATTTTCGATTGACGATTTCAAAACGTCGACCAAATTATATTTTGTAAAATTATTTTTGAATTATTAAAATTACTGGATATTGCTTTTAAGGTAAACTTCGGATGATTTTTCGCTAACGTGTAGGTCAGAATAGGCACGTGGGTTTCGTACGTGGGACCGGATGGTGCACCGTGTAAAGAAGCGTGTCTGTCTCCAGCCAAGGACATTTTGAATTCTAAATGAATGGACTTCGATACCGTTGCTGGAAGAGCTGGTATAAGGCTGTAGAGACATAGGCGTTCGCTTAAGTGGGACGCCACGTATGGACAGCGCTATACGTAGATGGACATGTACGGTCTTCTTTGACTCAACATGACGAACGGGAACGGTTGATCGAAATTTCAGGTTACCGTTTCATAATAGTAGATTGACAAAAGAGAATTGATACCACGTGATAAGAATTAATTTTTTTAATATATATATAATCCATCGTCATTATCATTATTTATAATTCAAGACCATAGAAACGCCTCATCGCTTCAAGGTTATGGTAACGCTTCACGTATACTTGTAACTAAATACGGCTGTTACGTCACACTGCAGCAGAATATTTTTTACCTCTTTTTTTACCAAAGATACAAATTTGAGCCAAAAGGTCACAATTTGTTTAGGCATTTCAGGAATTTTTATTTACTTTTTACATTTTTATCGTATGTCTACTCGACCGTCCCGTTCGCTTCGTGAAACGCCGAGATTTCTCGACCGTATTTTTCAGCACGCGGAAACGTCCTACGGAATTAATGCGGTAACTGGAGAAAGTCATTATGGCGTACCGCGTTCTGAATAGATAGTAAAAACTACGCGTGACGCTGAATCTGATGGACAACGATATTTAGATGCACGCGCAGTGGCATGTGGATTCAATAAAGTGACGAAGTCGATTGGACATCATATAAATACAAAATATCTAAACTCTCAAATCATTAGGATCGATCGTACTGTTATATGAGAGATTAAGAGAAGAAGTAGTAAAATTATTAATAAAAGTTAACGGCTAATCTGTTGAAAGTGATATTTATTTAAAGAACTCGATACCAATGATTTCTAGAATACAGTGCGTGTCTGGAGTTCAAATGGAATTCTTTACTGTTACACAAAAAAGTATGCTTATGCTGCGTTAAACGTTTAGAAACTCACTTGCGGAAATTCGTTAAAACGATTTCATTAATAGAAACGACATTTTATGTCTTGTACTATGTTATATGCTATGTGTATATACACATATATATAGATGATGTACCGTTATACAGTTGTGCCGGTGCAGGTTCAACGTCACGCTCTGAGCCATGCGTGTAACTTTAGTGTCTACGTACCTTTAGTACCCACGTTTATGTTTCCCCGACATTGTGCAAGCATTAGCGCGAGATTTTTATGTTAATTAGCAACCGACTGAGTCGGGTGTAAGGAAGAGAGTTAGCACGAAGAGGGTATAGATATTATATTTAGTGTTGATACTATTTATATCCCGCTACGCTTTTCGGTGGAAAATGTGTGAATATTACTTTTTGTTTTTTCGTCCACCATAGGAAAGATCATTCTGAATAAACAGTTGCTGGACGTTACGAGACATTGAATTGCTTTGACGAAATGCGAAATCTGGTTAATCAGCGTTTCCTGTGAGAAACGTATGTAACGGGTGTGTCTCGTGAAATTCCAATGAAATTTCACGTTCATATATTATGTAAGGAGATTAGTTTATTGGAACGGCACTTAGGATACTTTATATACTGAAACGGAATTGCAATGCGATTAAAATGTTAAAGATTGATAAAATAGTGGATTGACTATACAATATATTAAATGGCTAGTAATACGTTGTATTAAGTTCGAAAAATTTCAGAAATGATCGCTAAATATAAATTTTATTAATTAAATAATTTAATTATGAATGAAGGATAATTTTAATTTTATTTTTGTTATTACGTCATCACTGATCCGATGATACCGATGATTAACTAACCTTCAATGCAAGCAAGTTAAGTCATTCTGATGACAATATACTGATAACTATATCTATAGCATCGATGGGAAAGAAAAATAATATATATTTTTTGAGGTTATCTGACAAAATGCACCACGTGTTCTTAAGTTTTAAAACCATCATAGCAACCCGTGAAAAATGAGAATTGGAAAGACCCACCTGTAAAAATTTTATGATAAATTCTCAACTGCCACTTTCGAAATTGGCAATTGTCGAAGAAGGCATCATAGAAATGAAATGACTCTAAAACAATTGCCCGAGTGCGGCTATGCCTGCCAACGCGGAAGGAGTCACGCCATGAAGAGCGAAGAGTCAATGCTGACGGAGAGAAGAAGAAAAATGAAGAGAAAGAAGTAGTACCAACTGTCCTGCAATTAACGGGACCTTTCCCTCCGAGGAGGTCACGAAACGATAAACGATCTCGTTCCAGGAATAAAAGCGCGTCTCGTGCTAAACTAACGGTCACCTTCTCTCAGTCGACACGATCTCGATTATCTGTAGAGCTTTGAGAAAGAAGTAAACAAGAAAAAAAAGGAGTCGTAACAGTACTCAGTCTCGAAAGAAAAAAAAAACAATATAATTTCGCTTAATAGAAAAATAAAGTCACTCAATAACTCACCAACTGAACAAGCTTGATGATTCCTGGTATAGTCTTCAAGTAGAGCACATTGATAGTGATCCCGGCCAATATACCTCGCTGACCTGGATCAGTTTTAACTGTCGGCGTTTGTCTAGGATTGTTGGCATTATTGCTCGGCGCATCCTGCACTGTCACGACGGTCTCCGTCATCATGTTCTATGTACGCGTAACGTTTATAAGAGTTTCAACACAATCCGGTTAAGAGGCAGAGTCTCCACTGAGCGTACTCGCTTCTACGAGAACGTCACCTCCTGCGGATAGGGAGTCGAATGGTTGTGCGGGGGAAACGCGAACCGGGAGAAGAGGTAGAGGAGGAAGGCAAATGGGATATCACGCGCGCACTCTGTTTGATCATGAAACAAAAGATTAATAACATTCAATGACGCTTCCTCTAAATCACTAATTGATCTACCAACTGGAATATACGACTGACTGCAGACTTCACTTTGTCGCTATTTGAAAACACCTGTTAAACTCGCGAGTATCATCGGTCCGGACGGTGGACACTTCACTGAACACCCGGGATACTTGGCGGGCAGCTATACTCCCACCAACTTCACGGAATAGACTGGCCCGACGTCGTAAAGCCTGTTGGCCAACAGCGGCTTACCAGGCGAAGAGCTCTATACTTCTGTTCCCTGGTCTTCTGCTTTTCTATACTTTGGTTGTTCGCACTGTTCTTCCTCTGGCACTTCTATCACTTGTACCTTTTCTCAGCCCCACTCTTCGCGTTGTACACGGTTATCAAGAAAATAGTGTCTGCGCGTGCTTAAGTCTTTTTTCTCCCACTATTTGCGTTTCGCGTTTTACGTTTCCCGGGCACTCGGTCGAAATCTTTCGTTTTTCTCTTTTGTTTCTTTAAGTTATCTACTTCTAGGTCTTGTCGTGGCCAATGGCGTGGAACAACTTGGAACCTGGAGGGGAAACCGGTTGCCACTGTTCGTATTGTGTGAAACGCGATTACTAAACTGGGCTCCAATCGGCTACTTTTCTGTTAGGCTTTACTGTATAGTATGAAATCCCTTTGTAGGTCTTCTGGGGTTATTGGCCCTGTGGGATGTGCGGCCTTGCAACCAGTTTTTGTGATTTATATTTAGTTCTATATGCAAGTACAGCATAGTTTGTAATCAAGAATAAATATTTTTATTTGTATCAGAGAGGTTATCCAATATTTTGGCACTTTTTAGATCAGCGCTTAAATTTTGTTTGGCTATAGTATTATATTTATTATCGTGAAAATCGTAAGAATTATTTAATAATTATAGGAATATCCTGCAATAGTTATCTTTTTTCACCACATATAAAGTTAAGATACGTGTACTCCATTATGATTACCTCAATGGAAAATTTTATTGTATCATTGCAGAAGAATTTCAGAATTTTTTCATGATCATTGATGCTTAGATTGTCGTAACTTTGAAATAAGAATAAATCAATGGTTTCATGGGCAAGTCATTCTTATTTATTTCTGTTTCAAGTACAACTTTTTTTCTTAACTTTTTCTTAATAAATTCGAAATATTCTTTTAGGATGAACACTGGACAAAATCGTGTGTGCGGAATCGAGCTCGTATGTATATGTTGCAATCCGACAAACACGGGTCTATAAAATAGATATAATAATAGACACGAAGCCACAGACTCAGCCAAGTTAGAGGCTGAGCATACACTATTAAAGTTTTTAGAGTAGTTTGGACAAGAACTTAGTGATAATATGGGAAACGACTTTATCTACGTTGATCTGTATTTCCAACAGCTACGCTTTGTTTTATACCGACTGCTGCTCTGTTACTTTATGCACTAGCACACTCTATAAGGAAACTTTGGGAAACAGCAAAGTACATGCAACCCCGCCCATGGAGAACGTCATTGATGATTTTAACCAATTATAACAGGTTGTTGAGTGTAAGACGTTATATTTTACATCGTAAAGTCTCTCTCTGCCTTGCTTTGTGTTACAGCGTCTTTTTATTTACAAAAGCTTATATGATAATCTGACATACATAGATAAGCCTTATCGGTTGTTCTGCATTATTCGCTACGACTTAGCGAATAAGAGTTCTTCGCATCAATCCTTAAACCATGTTCAACCTATGCTAATTCCACGGATATTCACGTCGACGAATTTAATATATATCGAAACTGAAAGATATAGAAGCCCATTAAAAATACTACAGTTTATAGTTTAGAACTAGAATGAATATTCATTACGTTACTCAACTAAAATTAGTAACATCATCACGTATAAAAAATATTCTGCGTACATTATTTAATGTATGTATATTTCGACCATTTGCAATTTTACTCGATATATCACAAATTCGTCAAAGAATGCGTGAGTAAAAATGTAATATAAAATTGTTTGTTTTTCAAACTCCATTCCGTAATTGTTGTCTTCTTTAAAGTCCAAGCGAAAGATCACCATGTTTGTGATGTAGACGGATTAAAACTAGACTAAAGCATAAGTACAAAGTGTCCAGTTCGATACGCTACGAAATTAGTTCGCCAAGGCCATTCCGGACTAATTGTGGCCTCCGTCATTTCCGCTAGGTACCTTAAATACCTTCCAGATCGCGCTGCAATCGACGGATCGAGACGGGAGTTTTTAAAGATCTGCGCAGTCGACTGAACTGTCAATGGAGTAGCATACGATTTTTTATTTTCATCAAGCGGTAGTATTTTTCCAGTCAAGGTAATGGAAATACATTCCTGTAGCGTATGCAATGGTGTTAAACATGCCAAAAACCTGAGAACGGAGAAGAAATATATTGTAATAATAAAATTTAAGATCATTTGTATTACTAATGGATTGAACTGTATTATACGTACTCCAGCAGCAATATTACCGCCTCTATAATAATGGTTATAAAGCGGAGACCAAGCTGACAGTTGTAGAATAAACGCTGTTGCGTACACAATAATTATCAATGCTGTATTCAATAATTCCTGTAACATATATTTTTTTAATAATGCTAATTCTAAACAATTTTATTAGAACTTACGAAGAGATACCAATTAATTGGTAGCTTCATTTTTTTATCGATTGACAGTATGTAAAGAAACACCGAAACGATAGTTCCTATGAATACTATCCACACGACGAATAGAAACCAGTATGTGGCAGGAACATTCAGCGGGGTCGCACAGATCATACAAATTATAGCTAGTACCTGAAACAAAAGCAGTAGACATATTTTAATTAATTATGAAGGGTTTGATACTGTTATTAGTAAGATTTTTCTGCATTTAATAATTTTAAATCCGAGGCAGTTTAGAAACATATGATACGTCAAGGTTATGTATTTCAAAGTAATCCCTAAATTATCCTGTCCTATAGAATTACAAAGATTAAATTACATTTGAAGATAAGATATTCAAAAGTCCAAATATCGTATTAGGATGAACTTCAAACTGTTTCATCATCTTTTAGTTTACTCTTCTGGAGTACACGTGACAGGCGTTCCCTTTTCTTTAAGCTCTTTGAGAATTCTGTATTATTCAAGCGATCTAGTCTCTCGTGTCTTCTCATTGCAAAGTTCCAATCGAAATTAGGAATATCGGAATCCAATTTAATACGGTTACTGAACTCATTTTGAATTTTGAAAAATTATTTTTTATCCATTTCGCGAATGTCTGATAAGGTCATACCCCGTACGGCGGGTTGCCTGTATTTGGCGCGAGACTCGACCGAGTCTCTTGATCGTGATTGTCTCAAATTCGCGAAACCATGCCGCCCTGTTGATAAGTTCCTCCATAGATTCCTCTGGTTCCACAAACACCCGAAAGGCGCCGTTGCCGTCGCCAAAGCCAATGAGACCTTGCGCAGCCGGTAACACGTGCAAACACAATCCTGTTATAGACTTGCCGGAAATGGTCTGCAAGAATACTGGCTCCCTGGTATCAAAACGGATATCCCAAGTCTCCAGAGTGCCATCGTGTCTGGCTACTAAAAAAATGGCCGGTCTATTACTCCAGCTGCAAGCTGTATAACGACAGGATCTTCTTCGCCAGAATAACGGACTGTCCAAAAAGTCATCTTTCCACACGGCGAACACGTGACCACCAATAGTTAGTAAAATTTCATGCATCTGAGGACATCTCTTTATATCAATCACGGGACCATCGTGAGCTGCACTTCGATTTGTTATTTTGGAAATTTCAGAAGATGCCACTTCGGTACTGAACTCGTGACCTTCCCAGGTGCAAATAAGAAAATCTCCTTCCAGAGTTCCAATCCAGAACATTCTCGTAAAGGTGTCTTTCGATCTGTCAAATTCAATGGAGAACCTTTTAACCTTGGAAAGATCAAACTGATCCTCTACAGACATATCGTGATAGATTTTTTCCAATAAACGATTGGGAGCAGATGCCTGTAGACTAGGCGGTATGAAATTTGAACTTTCTTTTGTAACCTGTATATGCACACGGTAAATCGGTTTGAGGATACCGTCCAAATTTTTCAAATTGTTCTCGGTAAGAGTATTAACGGTCTTCAATGTGATTTTGACTAGCTTGGGAGATGAAATGGATACTGGTTGCCAGCAAAGATCCCAAAATGCAATGCAACCGTCTTCGGATATTGTCATGAACTGAAGACTCGTTTCTTCAGTAAATTTTGATAATTTACCATCAGACTCTACCTGATAATTTGTCGGAAGCCAGTGAATTTTTCGAATGCTTAAAATAGTTGTATCGCGGCCGTCTCGGCTAAAAATTAGGTCCTTCCAGAGCCCCTTCTACTCTATGCTCTGGCGAGAATTTTGTGCACGATCCGTAGAACTTCTTGTTGAGACAGTCCACATGTAGTATTGGCTGAACGGGGCCACTACCTGGTATCGTTGCGTGTTTTGGCTTGTCTGTTTTGCCCATATACAGTATATAGCAAAAATGTCCTGGTTCCCGGCACCATTTCATATAATGAGTTGAAAAATCACTTCATCCGTACGTATATATCCCTGACTATATTAATTAACAAATTGATCACAATTAATTAAAAATCTGAGCATGTTAACCAATATCAAACAATTATCAAATGTTATAATAAATTCAATGTTCGCTACTACGGCGGCTGTGTACTCTCTGTCCCATTGACTGCGCGGCGTTGCCGCGTCCTCGCATCGCCCATGCGGCGAACACGCCAAATACTTGTGACCTTCAACCGTAATTGCTTACGTAAATTCTAAAAATTGTTCCGATAACCTTTTTTCAGACAATTTTTATCCACATTCGTCATAGCGTTCTCACAATATACTCAATAAATAAGTTTTTCCTATCTCTCACATATTAAATTAACTCACGTTAGAGACGGTGGATTAATTTTTTTCAATAACAAAATAGTCTTGAGATATTCTAATTATTACACTCCTAAAATTAAAAAAAAAATTCGTCGTAAAAAACGAACAGGATACAACCACCTTAAGTAGGTCGTCACGTCTAGACAGCGCCATACGTAGATGGACATACACATATGGTCTTCTTGGATTTAACATGATGAACCGGAACGGTTAATCGAAATTTCAGATTACTGTTTCATAATAGTAGATTGACAAAAAAGAATTGATACCACGTGATACGAATACATTTTTTGAATATATACAGGGTGTAAACGAAAGATACGACCAACAATTAATGGGATGTTCGGCATCGCGAGCTGAGCAAAATGTTTTTTTTAAAACTTCATACGACCAAAATTAACCGAGATATCGAGGGTTAAAGTTTTCCTATCTCAACAATGTGAAATGCACTGAAGAGGCGATGGATTTACTGTGCATTGTCTGATACGCACAGGTAACATCCACAAATGACAAGCGACGGAGAAAGTGCTTGGATGTGCTCGACTAGAAGTTAGCTGCAAGCCGGAGAGCAGAACGAAGCAATCGTTTACATGCAAAAGTTTTGATCAGCTGTCACGATGACATTCTGATCGTGCGTTCGTGTGCATCCGCGCTTCGAATTTTATTTTCGGCAAACAGAACCAAGGGAATTTCTTATGAAATTTTATTTAATTGCTGAAATTAACAGAAATCGCCAACATACATTCATTCATTCGACTAAATATCTAAACTAATTGGAACGAAGATTCCAGCAAAAAAGCTGAAGTGGATGACGAGCTAATCTCTAGTTCTTCTGCTATTCAGGATTAACTTAAGGGGTACAGGACTATGGGAAATAAAAAAAAATCAGCATTTAATAATTTTCATGACGTTGAAATTTTCAACGACTTTTTTTTCTTCCAAAAGACTCATAATGACATGCACAAGAAACTGTAAATAGTACCGGTTCGACAATAATTTAGTTTCTGAGCAATCGAACCTGACGAAAAAGTCGTCTGGTTACTTTTTTTTTTACGGATGCAGATATCTTGAAGTTATTGCAGATGCAATCTTCCAGTGTATATAATCCATCGTCAATATAATTATTTATAATTCAAAACCATAGAAACGCCTCATCGTTTCAAGGTTATGGTAACGCTTCCCGTGTACTTGTAATTACATACGGCTGTTACGTCACATTGCAGCAGAGTATTTTTTACCTCTTTTTTTACCAAAGATACAAATTTGAGCCAAAAGGTCACAATTTGTTTAGGCATTTCAGGAATTATTATTTACTTTTTACATTTTTATCGTATGTCTACTCGACCGTCCCGTTCGCTTCGTGAAACGTCGAGATTTCTCGACCGTATTTTTCAGCACGCGGAAACGTCCTACGGAATTAATGCGGTAACTGGAGAAAGTCATTATGGCGTACCGCGTTCTGAATAGATAGTAAAAACTACGCGTGACGCTGAATCTGATGGACAACGATATTTAGATGCACGCGCAGTGGCATGTGGATTCAATAAAGTGACGAAGTCGATTGGACATTATATAAATACAAAATATCTAAACTCCCGAATCATCATGATCGATCGTACTGGTATATGAGAGATTAAGAGAAGAAGTAGTAAAATTATTAATAAAAGTTAACGGCTAATCTGTTGAAAGTGATATTTATTTAAAGAACTCGATACCAATGATTTCTAGAATACAGTGCGTGTCTGGAGTTCAAATGGAATTCTTTACTGTTACACAAAAAAGTATGCTTATGCTGCGTTAAACGTTTAGAAACTCACTTGCGAAAATTCGTTAAAACGATTTCATTAATAGAAACGACATTTTTATTTTTATTCCCAGCCGACTGAGTCGGGGGTAAGGAAGAGAGTTAGCACGAAGAGGGTATAGATATTATATTTAGTGTTGATGCTATTTATATCTGTTACGCGATTCGGTGAAAAGTGCGTAAATATTACTTTTTTTTTCAACCACTATAGGACAGAAATCTGGTTAATTAGCGTTTCCTATGAGAAACGTATGTAACAGGCGTGTCTCGTGAAATTCCAATGAAATTTCAGGTTTATATATTATGTCCTTGTGCCAAGTTAAACGACTCACCCTGTATAATTTTTGAGGTTCTATCATTAGTGCTATAAAATGGCAAACGTAAAGCATAAGTATTGCGATTCTCAAGTTTTAAAACCGTCATAGCAACCCGTGAAAAATGACAATTGGAAAGACCCACTTGTAAAAATTTTATGATAAATTCTCAACTGCCGCTTTTGAAATTGGCAATTGTCGTAGAAGGCATCATAGAAATGAAATGACTCTAAAACAATTGCCCGAGTGCAGCTATGCCTGCCAACGCGGAAGGAGTCACGCCATGAAGAGCGAAGAGTCAATGCTGACGGAGAGAAGGAGAAAAATGAAGAGATAGAAGTAGTACCAACTGTCCTGCAATTAACGGGACCTTTCCCTCCGAGGAGGCCGCGAAACGATAAACGATCTCGTTCCGATCTCTCATAACAGTACTCAATCACGAAAGAAAATAACATAATATAATTTCGCTTAATAGAAAAATAAAGTCACTCAATAACTCACCAGCTCAATAATTTTGATGATTCCTGGTATAGTTGTCAAGTAGAGCACATTGACAGTGATCCCGGAGAATATACCTCGTCGACCTGGATCAGTTTTAATGGTCGGCGTTTGTGTAGAATTGTAAACATTATAGCTCGGCGCATTCTGCACTGTTACGACGGTGTCCGTCATCATGTTCTATGTACGCGTAACGTTTATAAGAGTTTCAGCATAATCCAGTCAAGAGGAAGAGTCTTCACTGAGCGTACTCACTTTTACGAGATCGTCACCTCCTGCGGGTAAGGAGTCGAATGGTTGTGCGGGAGGAACGCGAACCGGGAGAAGAGGTAGAGGAGGAAGGCAAATGGGATATCACGCGCGCACTCTGTTTGATCATGAAACAAAAGATTAATAACGTTCAATGACGCTTCCTCTAAATCACTAATTGATCTACCAACTGGAATATACGACTGACTGCAGACTTCACTTTGTCGCTATTTGAAAACACCTGTTAAACTCGCGAGTATCGTCGGGCCTTCCTTCCCTTCCTTTCCTTATGGCTGACCCCTTCAATGAGGAGATGTGCCAAAACATCATCGTTCCGGGCGGTGGACACTTCACTGAACACCCAGAATACTTGGCGGGCAGCTGTACGGAATAGACTGGCCCAACGTGGTAAAGCCTGTTGGCCAACAGCGGCTTACCAGGCGAAGAACTCTATACTTCTGCTCCCTGGTCTTCTGGTTTTCTATACTTTGGTTGTTCGCACTGTTCTTCCTCTGGCAGTTCTAGCACTTGTACCTTTTCTCAGCCCCACTCTTCGCGTTGTACACGGTTATCAAGAAAATAGTGTCTGCGTGTGCTTAAGTCTTTTTTCTCCCACTATTTGCGTTTCGCGTTTTACGTTTCCCGGACACTCAGTCGAAATCTTTCGTTTTTCTCTTTTGTTTCTTTAAGTTATCTATTTCTAGGTCTTGTCGTAGCCAATGGCGTGGAACAACTTGGAACCTAGAGGGGAAACTGGTTGCCACTGTTCGTATTGCGTGAAACGCGATTACTAAACTGGGTTCCAATCGGCTACTTTTCTGTTAGGCTTTACTGTATAGTATGAAATCCCTTTGTAGGTCTTGTGGGATGTGCCGTGTGGGATGTGCGGCCTTGCAACCAGTTTTTGTGATTTATATTTAGTTCTATAAATATTATGCAAATACAGCATCGGTTGTGATCAAGAAAAAATATTTTTATTTGTTTCAGACAGGTTATCTAATATTTTGGAACTTCTTAGATCAGCGTTTAAATTTTGTTTGGCTATAGTATTATATTTATCATCGTGAAAATCGTAAGAATTATTTAATAATTATAGGAATATCCTGCGATAGTTATCTTTTTTCACCACATATAAAGCTAAGATACGTGTACTCCATGATGATTATCTCAATAGGAAATTTGATTATGTCGTTAAGGAAGAATTTCAGAATTGTTTCATGATCATTGATGCTTAGATTGACGTAACCTCGAGACAAGAATAAATCGATGTTTTCATGGGCAAATAATTCTTATTCATTTCTGTTCCAAGTATAATATTTTTAGCTTAACTTGTATGTACATACACACCTTGAACCAGTCATTCAGCACCTGGCTTATGTATATATTATCATTTTCAAGCTTATGCAATGATATCAACGGTACTTTACGAATTCGAAATATTCTTTTAGGATGAGTACTGGACGAAACGTGTATGCGGAATCTACTCCTATATGTATTTTCCAATCGACAAATGAGCCGTTCAGTGCACACATCGATTAACTCCATAAAACAAAAAGTTGAGAAATGCGATGAAGTAATGTATATTGTAATTTACTTATTATTCAATGGCCAAAAAAATTGTGCCGTTTAATGGTGCTAATCTTTATTATTCAGGAAAGTTATTGTAAATATAAAAAGTTATGACTATACCAAGTGCTTTGACACTTAAATTTAAGATTTTTCAAAAAGTGGAGTTAATCGATGTGTGCACTGAGCGGCTCAAATAAAGGTCCATAAAATAGATATAATAATAGACATGAAGCCACAGACTCAGCCGAGTTAGAGGCTGAACATACACTATTAAAGTTTTTAGAGGAGTTTGGACAAGAACTCAGTGATAATATGGGAAACGACTTTATCTACGTTGATCTGCATTTCCAACATCTGCGCTTTGTTTTATACCGACTGCTGCTCTGTTACTTTATGCACTAGCACACTCTATAAGGAAACTTTGGGAAACAGCAAAGTACATGCAACCCCGCCCATGGAGAACGTCATTGATGATTTTAACCAATTATAACAGGTTGTTGAGTGTAGACGTCATATTTTACATCGTAAAGTCTCTGCATCGCTCTGTGTGACAGCATCTTTTTATTTACAAAAGCTTATATGATAATCTGACATGGATAAACCTTATCGATTATTCTGCATTTTACTTGTTTTATTTGTGTCTAATCTGTGTAAGCTTTGTAAAAACAACTGATGTATTTTACTATAGATTGAGAAAAATGCAAAACAGTAATACTATAAACGTTCTTTCAGCCAACGCCCTCGAGTGTTATGTGTGTACAGAGCAAGAGGGTAACACTGAAAAGTGTTTAAATACCATTAAAACCTGTGAACAGGGTGAAGATGCGTGTTTGACAGATATTAAATGGGGAAGTGAGTGTCAAAGATGGTGATTTCTACTATTTGAGAAAGCCAACTTTTTATTTTGTTTGACTATCACTTTTCCTCTTGTTTAGGTACACCGTACTGGCACCATGGTGCAAAAAAACAATACTATATCTCAAAACGATGTGTAGCGAAGAATGAATGTGAGAGAATCAGAGCAAAAACTATGGATGACTGCACGTATGTATGGTACCAAGATTGGCACTGCTCCGATTGTTGTCAGGGTGACCGATGTAATTACTACATATTCGTAAGTAATCAAATATCAAATTAATGATTATGTCAATATAACAAACTAATGTTTAAGTTCATCTATTACCTTTCAGTCGCATGGGACCAGAAGCCTTGCTGGGCCCTTTATAGTCTTAATTGCTGCTCTGGTACCACTGCTTGGAAACTGGAATGTCCAGTGATAGCCAGTTCATTGGAGCCTTTAGCTGTGTCTCTGAAAACTGACGTTTTAGTCAGCTACTAAACGCGAACTACTAAGAGTAATCTCTTTTCACTTGAATACATTAAGTACAAGAATAATGCAGGTCATAGTAATGGCAAAACAATAATTCGCTGCACCAGTATGAACTATGGCTATTATATACCTCCTGTATGTATGTAGCATTATAATATTTATGTGGCCTGTAACTTGACGTGTGGTCACATAGCAAAATAGATTGCGTGTAGTAGCTTGCATAGACTACATATCATAATTACGAAATGAATACATCATCATTTGTATACTCAGAGCTTCATTATAAAGTTTCAAATTATGACAAGTTTATAACTGGCCGAGTGCCTTCAAAAATTAATTTAATTAACGATTTTTTATTCCAATTTTGTAATTATACATTTTTACTGTAAGGGAACCGTAATCCGTCCATTGGAAAACAAATATATACTTTTACAATAACGCTCGATTGTCTTCTTATTTTAGCATCATTGTTGATAAGGCATTTGACTGATAATAAACCCACAATCACCCAGACAGACAGATGTATAGATTACGTTGTGCTACAAGGCTGTACGTCGTTTATAAGTGCGCGTGTGATGCTCATATTTGCAACATATGATGAATTAAATAACGATTAAATACAAAAAAATTAGGTACGCGGGATTTACCAGCTACAGTGGTGTGAGTTCAATTTACAATAACTATGCTGCTGCGTTCATAAACAATATATTGAGATCAAGATGTATTTGAAGTATATTATGTTATTACTCATATAAATTTACATAAGTATGTTGCTTTAAATAATCTAAAAACTTTTCGCATACCTGATTTTCTTATTCGGTAATAATCGTGGCTGCCTATTTGGATCACTTATGCGCGTGCGCTATTACAAAGCTCACTTTGATAATAAATATTTTATTGTTGATTAACTGTACGTAAAATGTATCATTCTATCTTTAAAGGGATAAATTTATCTTGCGAAGTTATCAGTACTAATAAATATATAGTATAAGAATATGGCAAACCACTGTTCTATTATGATTATCGAGTGACCACCTGTTACGGTTGTTCAAAGGTAAGATTGTTTTGCCTGCTATTAAATTGTACGTTCAACGTCATTTCTTGTATTTGAAGAGAATTTGAAGAGTATCAAAATCTATATAAGATTAAATAATAATTGTATAGTAATTAAACTAATTAAATTAAATAATTATGATTGTTCATCGCGATAAAAGATTAGTAAAAAAAAGTATGTTGGGGTGTAACTAAAATACTTTAATTGTTCTTGTTGTCTTTGAGTGATGATACAAGGTAAGTAAAGACAGACAATTGATCTCATAGTTCTGCTTAATGTGGTCCAATCCAATGATACTGCGTGTCAGTATCAAGAGCAACAATTAAAGTTCAGACATGTTGGGAGTATAAATGAGAGTGAGCACGTGCACTCATGCGAGAGAATGAGAGAGAGTGGTCTGCCAATTGTAAAGGAAGAATAATTTGACCAATTGAATGAAATTAAAGACTCTAAAGAATGGCAGACGCGAATGGGGGCGAAGATGGCTTTTGATTTAAAGGCAATTTAATTATGCGACTGGGCTCTTGCCGTTAGTTAGTATATAAGCGCGTGTGCTGCAGTGGAGAAAAGGATACGTTAAGTCAGCATTATTAGTATTTAAAAATGGACTATAAACTGACTAAAATTTATATGGTGAGTTATTTCAAAGACGTTAAACACATCACTGAATATCACTAATGCCCAAAATAAATCAGCAAATATAATGCATAATGATAGTTGTTATTTTACTCTTTCTCTGTAAGTATTCATATTGGACTTACTAATTTAACATATAGATTCACATTATGAAGATACTAAGACTGGACGCCGTCTACAAGGCTTTCAGTAGAAAAAAACTAATCTCAACGCCTCAAGAATCAAAATTGGCAAGATGTCTTTCGACATTGGATCTCACGGCTTTAGGAATAGGATCAACTCTAGGTGTAGGAATTTATGTCTTGGCAGGATCTGTATCCCGCGATGTAGCTGGCCCAGCTGTTATCATATCTTTTGCTATAGCAGCCGTCGCATCGGTCTTTGCCGGTATACATAAATCTAGATTAGTTCACGTTCATTAATCCGTTTCAAAAGATATGGTATATCTTTATTTACTTTTTATTAACAGGTTTATGTTATGCGGAATTTGGTGCCAGGGTACCAAGAGCTGGTTCTGCCTACGTTTACAGCTATGTCACTATGGGAGAATTTATAGCCTTCTTTATTGGATGGACTCTTATCTTGGAATATGTGATTGGATCAGCAAGTGTCGTACGGGGTTTGAGTACCTACGTTGATGCGCTTTTTAATAACACCATGAGAAATACATTTCAGTCGGTAGCACCTATAGACATTAACTATCTTTCGGATTATCCAGACTTTTTCGCCTTTGTCGTTACTATTGCCTTTTCCGGTTTGTTAATGCCTATCTTTATTCTCATACCACTGCATATCATGGCATTTACCCGAATCATTTGTTTGTAGTTGCTCTGGCTTTGGGTGCTAAGGAATCTTCATTAGCTAACAATATCTTCACCTTCATTAATTTATCGGTGGTTCTCTTTGTTATAATAGCTGGATCATTCAGTGGTAGGTTTAGACGTTTTATTATTATATCATAGAAATAATGTTCTTTGTCAAAACTATTTTCTTCTAGATCAATTTCTCTTTTTCCTCTTCCTACTAATTTCTCATTCAATTTTCGAAGCTGATGCTGCTAATTGGAGGACAACGCCTGAGTGCACAGAAAAGAGTTGTAATTTTGGAACTGGTGGATTCGCTCCTTATGGCATCGCAGGAATTATTACCGGCGCTGCCACGTGCTTCTATGGATTTATTGGATTCGATTGCGTCGCGACGACCGGTGAAGAGGCAAGGAATCCTCAGAAGTCGATTCCCATTGCAATAGTGACTTCACTCACTGTTATCTTCCTGGCATATTTCGGTGTATCCACTGTTCTTACCATGGCATTGCCATATTATGAACAGAATCCTGATGCACCATTTCCACATCTATTTGACAGAATAGGCTGGAGTTGGGCTAAATGGGTCGTGTCCGTTGGAGCCATATGTGGTCTCTGCGCTAGGTGAGAGGAGAATCATTATACTTCTGAAAATGATCTGATATAATTTACATGATATATTAATACGTAACAGTTTACTTGGTGCAATGTTTCCGCTGCCACGTGTCATCTATGCTATGGCGAATGATGGATTGATTTTCCAATGGATGGGAAAAATTAATCAGCGATTCCAAACTCCGCTTATGGGTACTCTCACTGCTGGTGTCCTTACTGGTAAATCATAACACATTAATTCACAATAATTATACACGTTTAAAATAATTTACTTTATTTTAATTCTTTTTATAGGAATTCTCGCCGCAATCTTTGAACTCACTCAACTTGTTAATATGATGAGTATTGGAACTTTATTGGCATATTCAATAGTTGCAGCCTGCGTACTGATATTGAGGTAATAGTGAAACACTTACGACACGCAAAAATATGCCAGTCTATAAAATATGGTATTTTTTTAGATATGAAGAGAGCGATGGATATGAAAAAAAGTATGATCGTGAAGTGAGATCTTTTTCTCTCATTATGATGCAGCTAGTTAATGCAAACAAGCAGCATCACGCTACAAGACTGACTGCACAAATTGTAACGTGGCTAGTATTTTTCTACTGTAAGTAGATAAACCAACCACTTTTATCTTATATAAATTATGCATTATATTTAATTACTAAATTGTTTACTTGATAGTCATGCTGTGCATCGCCTTTACCGCCATTGTTGCAAAATACTTTGGAGCTATTGCAAATCTGGAAGCATGGGTCATTATAGTCCTAGTTATTCTCCTGGTCATCCTTATTGCAATACTGATAATCATCAATTTGCAGCCAGTCTCTGGAAAGAAATTATCATTTTCAGTAAGTGATTAAATGTACTTTTAGTAAATAATAATTAAAAAATATTTATTTTGTGATTTCAGGTTCCACTGGTACCATTCCTGCCCGCTCTCAGTATTCTGATTAATATTTACTTAATGATGATGCTGGATGTCATGACTTGGATACGTTTTGTGGTCTGGATGGTAATTGGTAAGTAGTTTTTATATTCATATATTTTTTAGGACTAATCAATTTACCTTGTATCCATACAGGACTGACGATATACTTCTTCTATGGAATCTGGCATAGTAATCTTAGAAAGAAAAACATGGCTCCTAAAAATGCTTCAGGTTCCAGTCAAGATCATCTAGAAAATACTGAGCAGCCAAAACAAACGTAATACATGTACCAATATGTGATGGTAAAATAAAGGAAACGTTTTTATCTTTAACAAACTGTAATTGACTAAAAATATTTAATATAAAGACAAATCTGCCATTTGGTGCATTTTAAGTAGAATTCGCCTATGATAACCGATATAAAATCAATTTTTTGTACATCGATTTATTATTATAAGTATCGCATTACTTATATTAATCAACAGGAAATATTGCTTCAACCTGAGTGTAGGCTTTGCGCTTGCGAGTAAACTGGTCTGTTTATAAAATATATAAATTGTATTTATTCGAACGTTGAAAAAGCCCTATAGTCTAAACCTGAACACCTTCAGTCCGAAAGTCGCCATAGGGACATGTAATTGCTAAGCGTTTCAGGATTACAAAATTGCATGACAATTAATAACAACAGACCGTGCTTGTTAAAAAGTCCCATTTGCGCAAGCCTTAATATAAGGTTGCTCTGAGTACTGATATGATATATATATTAGAAAAAGAAAGTATAAATCCACAACCATTTCAAAGTTTTCTCAGTTCTAATCGAATGACGTAACCCTTGTCGGTGCTCCGGAAGACGTTATAGCCACCACTGATTGTGGATTATCTTGAAGTTTTTCCGTTGAAGCTCGCAGCTTCTTCTTTCTACGATCCACAATAAGCTTTATAATGTAGAGGATGGTTAATGGAATTGGTGTCATTATCGCGCAAGCCACAGGTGCAACTAAAGGAAACAGAAAATAGATGCCCATCGATTTTGATGCCTTTCCAATTTTAGTAAATGATTGGAAAATTATATTCACCAGTTGTGAGATCAGCTGCTGGTTGTGGTAAACTGAATCTCAGCATGAAAATTGCTATTCCTGTATTTTGTATTCCTGCCTCGATGGCGATAGCTCTGGTATCCAGTGGAGGTTGTCTCAGGATAAAAGATACCACATAACCGAATATAAATCCCAACCAAGGTTGGCCCATACCAGCGACAATTATCTAATGGAATAAAAGAAATAACTAAAAACGCAGTACACAAAAATTACTACTATCAGAATAGAATACTTACTCTCCAAGAGAACAGTTGAAACAAATAGAGATTGGTAGCTATAGCGAATATGATAATAAAAAGTATCAAACAAATCGAGAATGGCTTCATAATTCGAACCATCAATCTGCAGACTCGTGGAAGTTTCTTCTGAATGAAAAAGCCAATAGCCAAAGGTACCACAAGTGCGAATGCGAACATTGCTACGCGGGAATAAGGAATTACCAGATTTCCCCTCGAAAATATCTGTGCACCCAAAGTAAAGATCCATAGAGGCATCATTCCTAAAAAAAAAAGCAAAATAATATTTGCAAGTAGCACGGGACAGTTTGTGCACATTCTATGCATTAAATATTTACCAAAAGCAGTAAGTGTACAGATGGTGGTCATTGTTACGGAAAGATTAAGATTACCACCGAGAAGAACAGTCCAAATATTTGAGGCTCCACCACTAGGACTTACACCAGTGAAAAAAATACCTAACTGCATCTCAGCATTATCCGGAAAGAGTAGGTATGCTAATCCGTAACTCATCTAGTGAGTAAAGTCATTAATAAGACATTTATAAATGTAAGCTGAAGTATAGATAGAGAATGATAAACATTTACCACAGGCATAAAAGCAAATTGACAAAGAAATCCAATGACCGGACCAATTGGCCTTTTTAAAGTTTTTCGACAAACATCCCAATCCATGGCACATCCAAAATTAATATAAAGAATTGATACCAAAAGAGCCACACTTGCTGTGAATACAGTATCAATAACACGCTCTTCGCGTATCACAGTGATTGACAATGATTCAGAACTGTAGACCACCTGAAAGAAAATAATGTTAGAATGGTTACTTCCTACATTCTTATTTTTTTAAAAATATAATGAAGAAAATAATTACATCATCAATGGTAATATATAAAACTATATCAGCATTCCCCAAAAACACACCATGCACTTCTATGCTACTGTTCCAAATTCCAGGCTTAATAGTACTGGAGTCCGGAGTCTCTACAGTGACAATTCCTTCGTTGGAACTGTTAGCAAAAATATTTATTGTCGAGGTAGTTGTAGCTGCTGAAATATCAGCAAAAAATTCAACAGTAACAGTATCTTTCATATGAATGGTCATACTACTCGATTCAAAAATCACAACCCCAAATGCTGCATGTGCTCCTCCTAGAAGGAGCATTGCTATAAGGACTGCCGTCATTGTCTGTAATAAAAATAAAATTAATAATCATAAATAATTTCATAAAATATGTTCTGTGTCATTTTCACACATTTATCGTCACACAAAGTTTTATACGGACACGGCAAACGTATAAAATGATTAGTCACTGTAGTCGCGGATTCTCCTATGCTACTTATAAATAAAATTCAAATCTTATTAGAATAACAAAACGATCTGGACATACCAATATAGAATGAACGATTAATATTTTTTTTTTATCCGAATAAAAAACATGCAAGACTTGGTAACTATGAAAAACTAATGACGTGAAATTAATAGCGACTAATAGGTAAGTCGTCTGGATTCTTGTATGGCAAATCTTTTATTAGATAAGGCTGAGCAGTAAATCAACACGTATGATGATTAATTAGGATACAAAGAACATGTTAGATAATTACGCTTTTCATAACTATACCATGACATCTGTCCATAAACCAGAGTATTATAATAAGTAATATATCTTTAAAAAATGTGTATGATCAGTGCTCTACACGCAAAATTGGATTTCTAGATACAAAATTATTGTACTATCTTATTTGTATTTTGTACAGTTACTTAGTTCAATTATGCACATCAATTAAGATCAAATAAGTTGTTTTTGTGCGAGGAAACGTAATTATAACGCTGTGCCAATTTATACCAGTTAAATTAAAGCCGGTAATCATCATCCGAGACTTTTAGAAAGTTTGACAATGATATACAGTTAGTAAAATGTAGAGCAAAGTGCACGTACAATACCTTATGAATTGAATTCGAATTAGTTAAATTATTTCACGCTGTTAAATATCTAATTAATTAAATGGTCGGATTTGTAATTTTCGTTAATTTCCAAACGAAAAATAATTACTTACGGAATGAGAATGTACTTTTCGTCCGGTCTCTATACAATGCTATTCGTAATTTTACTGCGAGTAGAACTGGATCCCCACATGGGGAAATAAAGACAATAAGAAAAAAGAGTTTTACTACGTTTTCTGCTGACTGATTGCATCACATAATTTACCAGATTCTAAATACTCTGTGACACTATTATTTATCTTTAAACATGTGTTTCATGTTACAATCGTGATACCGCAATTTTAAATTAAAGGGTTATCTTCCTACAGTTAATAACGTGAGAATTCCCGTAAATGTATAACTGATATAGAGCCAATAAATAATAAAATGAGCGAAAATCAAATTCCCTTCTCTCAAGCGCCATTTTGTCTAACGTGCGCTGCGTGTACTGGAATGGCGCAACGGACAGCAACAGATTGAGAGGGTCTTTTAAATTACGTAAATATGCAGACTAAATCAAAAGATGCACAGTAAATTAATTAGATATAATATCGTTGACAGTTTATTCATATATAGTAAGAAAAAGTCAGGCTCCCAAGTCAATATAAACCATTCTAAATTTATGTAAGTTCCAGCGATGTCATTCACGCGTTTTACGTGTATCTACTGTATAAGTTTGCGAAGTTGGTTTGACATCAGAGATTCAAAATTCTTGAAATTCCAAGTCGAATAGCTTCTTAATGACATCATCCATTTGTAATTCCTTTGATATCTCGTTAATCAACTCATCCACCAGTTTGTCCGAAATCCTGTTTGAAGAAATGATGTATTTTCTTATTCAACATATTTATGAAATTACAGACAGCACTTTGATTCTTACCAAGCAACAACTTCCCACGGTTTATTTTGAGTGTTGCTAGAATACATTGGATTTTCACGACACCAGGCCTGATATCGGTCCCGATAATCCAAAATGATAGCTTCTGATTCTTTTGATATTATCAAACGCTTTTTTTCCTTCTTTTGGTTATAAAACTTCATCACATCATTTGCGATACTGGACTCTGATTGGCTATCCGACATTTTATCCAATTTTGCTTGGCAAGAAGCATCCATGTACTTTGGCAATGTGTTAGCGATTTCATCGGATGAGAGACAAATTAGCTGCATATTTTTTGAATTGCTTAAATTCTCATGCAAGTCGCTTGCTGCTGGTTCATATTTTCCTAACAGTCCTAGTAGCGTTTCGACTGAGGCAGACGATACTGGCCGAATCTCACAGTCATTATCCTGATACATAAATTGTACATACATGACAGATTGATTAGATTATTATCAAGACGGCGGAATCATATACCTTGTTTCTAATGAATGAAATGAGGTCAGCAATTACTGGAACCAAGTTTGACAAGTGCTCCTCGGTGATCGTGGTTACTTTATTTGCAAACACTTCGTTACCAACGTTCATATCATTTTTAGTAGATTTCATCGAGATACCAGAATGCTTAGACCTCGGAGAAGTTTTTATTCTTGTTGAAGATTTTCGCGAGACTTTGAACTTGGATTCACTTGGTCTTAGTTCCTTAAATTTATCGGTATGCTCAATGCTACTACCCTGAAATTGATTACCATTAAAAATACCACTATACTATTATTAGTTTGTTAAATATTATTAAGGTCTCTAACAGCTTCAGAATCAGTAGGTATCATATCCATCATAGTTCTGATGTCACCATCCTTCTGCAACAATCTTTCTTTGATTCTGGGATTGACACGCCTCGTCATTTCCTTTGATGATTTGTTACTGGCTGGACTAGAATGAGGATTTGGTAGTTCCGGAGTTCCTGGATGATTGCTGGACAACATCCTTGACCTCACAGTGCCACGTTCTTTCTCCCTCTGTTGTTGCTGACTGCAAAAGGCTATAGAACGAAATGAGAATCTCTGAGGTAATCTCATGAGAGAGTAAGACTACTTATCAGAACGTACGTAATTTTCTGCTGTTTCTGACATCCACACTGTACATGCTAAGTCGATTCGTGAGATTCTTAGCACTGTTTCGCCTCCTGGTGCGTGAAGCCGAAGGCGCAGTTGCTAAAGTCGACTGTGTCCTGTTGCTCACTACTTGAGACTCGTTATCCGAACCAGGTCTAAGTTTCGACAGGATGTTACTACATTTGTTCAGCAAATCTTTATCCTGGAATTGTTCAGGATTTTCATGCCGACGCGACCTGTGCTGCCGCATAAAGGATTGCAGATTTGTCAATAGTTGCTCATCTGCATCTCCTGATCCAAAATGATAAGGAGTGAGATGAATCTTTGCGCAGATCTCCACCAAGTCTACCAGGATCTGCAACACTTCCTTGAGTTTCCCAGGATGACTCTTAAGTGCTGAACTAGGAATGTGCCTGCAATAAGCAGTCAATGCTTGCAGCATTAATTGATGAGCAGCAACTAATTTCTGTTCTATCGCCTGCATGTGCAGAGTGCGACATCTTCTACTGGGCTTCACTCTGACACTTGGTGAAATGGCACGAACATGCCTCTGAATCTCGGTAACTTGTCTTCCCAATTCGTATAAATAATTCCTGGAGAATCTAATGGCGAATTCCATAACTCTCTGTTGTCTTCTGTACAGGTCTCGCTCGCCATCCGGAAGTGGAATTTTGTCTAGTTGCAATGAAATCTCGTCCAGAACACGTGAGATTTTCTTCTGGCAAAAAAGAACTTTACGCACAACAATGGGATCCGCTCTAACATCTACAAGATCATCTGGATCGCTTGCAAGATCAGGACTCAATTCCGGACTGGAATTGTACTCTGAATCATCAATGGCATGGAGGATTGTTCTCGTTCTATCCTTTCTGCGTATTATTCTATGATCGGACGAGGATATCCTGTTTGCATTATTTAATCTGCATTCCTGTCTTGATTCTAACCCCTTTTTGTAGGTAGATAAAATGTTTTCCTCTTCTGGAATCGTTAACAGGATATTTGTACTTCCTGTATCACTGTCCTTCATAACTGGAACTTCCTTAGGTGATTCAACTCTGGTACCTTGTACCTATAATAAATCATCTATCTGTCTATTCAAATTCATATTACTCATTCTTCCTAAATTCAAATAATCATATTACCTGGAAATCTTGGACATTTTCGTTTACACTGCTGGATGGTCTCTTCCTTCGCTCAGGAAGAGCATCTTCTTCCAGCCTCATCAATTCCCTGTCCACCTCCTTGAAATTATCCCTGAGAAACTTTTTCACGTTGGATATCGACGGATCCACGTTATCTTCCTGATAAGGTAAGCTCAACGAACGTTGTTGCTTGAGGAAAGTATTCCAGGTGCGCTCATCATCTACTTTGATTCTCTGTCTTCTCACATCCTTGATAATGTTCTTAAACTTACTCACAGGAACGTACTGAAGAATATAAAAGACAGACAAAATAAAGAATCCAACCTCCACTGATAATCATGGTCATACTGAACTATAAAGTAAGCCTATGATACCTTGAACTTGAAATTCTCATCCTCGTCCTCTTCATCCGAGAGAAAGAAATCCTCTCTCTCCTTGTTGCTGAGAAATCCAAGTTCCGAAATCGCATGTAAGTCATTGGCGAATGACATTTTCCTTGGTTATCAGCAACAGCCCCAAGGAGTTTCCGTTCCGTTCCCAAGAATCATTCGTGTCCGTCAGCTTGCATAATAAACAAAGAATATCAAATAAGAAGTGTAAAGTATAAGAAACGCGAATAGGTCACGGGATTCCTTTAAGTACAAGCAATAGTGCACCCGGGAAAACGTTTCCTTTACGGAAACGTAAGCCTGACTTCGGGGATGTTAAATTTTTCAAAAACTCTAAACAATCTCACAGTAAGATCAACATAATACTCCAATATTGAAGCATCCTTCAAGTTTATTCAGAAGTACCAAGAATAATAATAAAATAACAAGCCATCGCACGTTGTGACTATATAAAATCTCTTAAATCTTCTCTATCATATTCTAACTCTATGGCAAAGCAGATAACAGCACCTAGATTAATTTTGCTAACGATCGGCTACCAATAGTGGTTCTCAAATAAAAAAAATAAAAAAATAATATTTTAAATATTTTCACAGTACAAGACCCTGAGAATTAATGTAAGAACCTGTTGAAATCTGTTGTTCACCAGTCACTGTGATTTTCCTCTTGGGAAAAAAAGCAGCACAATTCTCGAAGAAGTATAATTAATTGTATTCGTCTGTCTAGTCTTTCGGTAATAACAGTGGGCAAAGTGGATCGTGGAAAGTTTAAAAAAATAAATAGTAACGGAGTAAAGTCTAACTAGCAAAGGGTGAAGAGTTCAGAGAAAAAGAGTGGGTGCGGCCATCGATGCTCGAGTCGAGCGTGTTCGTGTCGCCCGGATCAATACTCTCGCCGGCTTCACAGTTCCGTGGAAGCTACGTGAGTACATCGAGTTCGTACGACGCATAACGATTCTGTTAACACTCCTGATCACGGCTTGTGATTCCTACGATCTTCCAATCCAAAGATTCGGTGTGCCTGTGTGTTCTTATCGGGAATCATAGAACTTCGACCCTGTGGCATCCCTTTCTAGATCCATCCGTTTGGTCAGCCATCAGTAGTGAAGTTGTTCACCGGTTATATTAATTTTGTGCTTTGGTATGCAGGACGTTGGGACTCCAGTAACACTCCATATGTCCTTCCAGAAATAATTCTGAACAATCACAACTGCGTGGTCCAAGTCGATCCGAGTGATAGTCTAAAGATCCGGACAGGATCTGTTTATCCTTTGTATAGACCCGGAGAAAGGATTTTTTGGGATAGAGACTTTCTTGGTGAGTTTGTGAAAATTTACAAAAAAAAAAAGGAAGACAGGAAATAACACAGTGATGACTTCGAAGGTTCTTGTGAAATTGCCGACGGTACCGTTCTCTCAGGTGACTAGAAAATAACAATTACTTCAATAAGTAATGGTATAGTGATCGATACTTGTTACCTTTTTTTAAGGGTAAAAAACCACCTGCCGAGATGATGAATCTTCCCAGTAGAACCGAGGGTGTGAATCAATTGCGACATCAGGGTACCAGTGGCGATCGGACCGCGCAATTGGAACAGAACATGAAGTTCCTCCAGGAGCAGCATCAGGCAACCTTGGTGTCTCTTCATCAGGAGGTCGAGAATCTTCGTCAGAGGAACAGAGGTTGAGGACGCTCCCGAGATAAAAACGATTTTCTCTGCCCCTTATTTACAATCCGCATTATCATCGACGAAGGAATGGCGTAAATCGACGTCCTCTTTCAGACCTGCAGTTCCAGCTGGTCTTCTCAAAAGGAAATGTCTGCGTACCTAGCAGTCCTTCGTCACCCGAGGATAATGGAAATGGGTTCGTCAAAGCAAAAGTACGTTAATCGTACAATGTAAACTTTGATTCATTTAGTTTATCCTTCATAAAAAAAATTCTTTGCCGACAGGGTAGCCCAGTATGCGTTAACCTCGCGCCACTACAGGTGGAACTGCTCGAGAGAGACCTACAGGACATCAAGGCGTCTCTCCATGAGGCCAAAACACACAATCTCTATCTCTCGGAGATAATCGAACGACAAAAGAAGTCAGTATTGTCCGTACTGTATAGAGGAATCGTTGAATTATGTCTGGGCGTTGTTAATTACCTTTCAGAAAATTGGATCTGGTCGAGGAACGCAAGGAGAAACTGTCAATGGCCGACGCCGCCATTCAAGTCGGTAGCGTCGTAGATTCACATCACGCCGATTTAGCGACGCGTCTTGAGGACGCCGAGGCGATGGTGAAATGTTTGCGTCGTGAAAACGAAGATCAGCGACGTGAAATAGCCTCGTTGAAGACGAGTTCGACTAATGGCAATAGCAGTGGCAATGGCGGTCGAAGTCGTGGCAGTCATAATGGACACCACAGTCGAGGATCAGCAAACAGTACAGGACAGGATCAGACATCCCACAAATTTCCACCGTTGCATACACAGAGTTTTTGGCACCGTGGCTCAAGAGGAAATCACAGGTACGGGGTACATTAACGTGAAAATAGCCCTTGAAAATATTCACAACAATCTTTATCTTCGTTTCCTTTCCCAAACGTCAAGTTTTGACCAGAACTCGGATTATCATCGAAACGGAAGAAGTCGACAGGATAAACAAGATCGCGAACAGGAAGTTGACAGCACGGTCCTCCCGCAGCTACGCAATGGCAACGTTAGACTAGACACACGAAGCTATCCGCCATTTTATCGATCGCGAGACTTCCACAATAACGGTGGTAGCTATCATCGCGAGGGCGGCAATCGTAAGTATCGTGGACAGAGATCGCAGAGGGATCGTAGAGAGCCAGACTCGCGAGAACATCGACGAGATTACAAGGACAGGGATTCCAAGGAACAGCACAAAGAATATTCGGAATGTGGCGAGAGCTCAAGAGACACAAAGAACTCACGACAAGAGTAAATAACCGAGAGTGGTGATACGGAAAAGGAATTCGGAAATTTTGCTAAATGTTATCGCGATTTTAAATACTGAGTGATCAGATTTTTCTCGTCGAGATGTTAGAGAGATCGATGCTGCTGGCTTCGTAGGATATCAGATCAAAAAGTTAGCTATATACAAAGAAAATTGAGATGCCTGCATCGATAGATTCGGATGAACGTATTTATCAGTGTGTAATAACGAGAACAAAAAGACCCGTTTCTATACATTTTGTGCTTCGTGCATTAGACGGCATAGTTAACAGGCGATAGAGATAGACGATAGAGATCATTGTTACGAAATATGAAGGATTCTAAATAAGAAGATGAAGTTAGATGAAAGAAGAATTGCCTGTTATTGCTAATGACTTCTGGTGAAACTGCTTCTGCATATTCCCCAGTGAATTTCTAGCATCTCCCAGAAAAATCCTGACTTCGAGACGATCCGGGCATAATACACAGACATACATATATATACATATAAACATATATTTTTCGCTTGGTATTTATTATTAATTCTTAACAGATATTTCTCAAGCGAACTTACCGTGTCTATTCTCTACGTTATTGTCAATAGAAATAGTCTATATATTTTGGTATGTTTATTAAAGGATTTCTTCTAATTGTTACTTAGGCCTCTCCTGTCGCGAACTCCTAGCCTTGTATACCATTTCCGAGGATAAAAAAGGATTACTCAGTATTTCTTTAAACTCTATGGAAATGTAATCAACGTCAGCGTGTCATTATACTCCATTACAATTTAGAGAAAGGGGATCGGAGCTTTCTTCTAGCTTGTGAAACAGTTCTTTCCTTTATTCTATAGGATCAGATTGCTTTTCACAAGCTCGCTGAATCCTTTGAGACATTTATATATTCGACCATTGCATTTGATTGACCGATACAATACGTATGTATACTCCAACGGTATTACAAACTAAGTTTTCCGAATTTCAGCAGCGATCTTGTAAGCAAATCGCATTGTGGACTGGCTCCGTAATAACTAAATAGGCTTGCCAAAATAAGCTGACCAGGCTAAATCAATATTTCTCATACTACTATTCGGATTGAAATATTAAAAATCCTTTATAATTATGAGATACGAGACTTGTATGCTTGAATGGGTGATATATTAAATGAATAAATGAATATTGCACATCTTGTCCTTTCCTTTCATAATGGTTTACTGTTTCTTTAAAATTTTGTCAAAGTACTTACCCACAGTCGATGAAGAAGTAACCATTAATACCAGCCGATAACGTGAAGATTATACCGGCATTATTTCCCGCGCAATACCCTTTACGTGGTTAGATCTTTTTTTTTTTCTTATTATTCTGCCAATTAACCGAATTGTGAGAATTTGAAGAAATTATAGATATAAAAGTTCTTTTTTCGATGCTGTGTATTTAGAGGTATTCGTATCAGTGATATCGTTGGCTTAAATGACCAAAAACCGAATTTGCGAAGCAAGAGGCAACAACTTGCTCGGGGGGTTGCGCCGTTACTGTCCCATACGTTGCACACTGTTTTTATGCTTATTATATTTATGTGTACTATAAACTAGCTTAACGATACAGTTGAGTGTCAATACTTGTCATTGTCAGTTTTAAATAATATATATAACAAAGAGTGTACTATAGATTTAATACTTTGTGCCGTGAATTTAAAAATTAATATTATTGAATATAAAGAACGATGAGCAGCAAACGAACAAATGATGTGCTAAGAACAGAGGTAATAGAGATACAAATTTTCAGAACCTATCCGAGCTTGCAGTTCTTACAGTATATTATTTCATATAGAAATTGGATAATGCTAGTTCCGGTTCTACATGTAATTCAAAACAGAATACTGATCCTGAAATAGATACAGAATGTACTAAAGGGGTAATATTAAAGCTTGTTTGGTTATAATATAAGACTTACTACTCCTTTGTATTACATTAATTTGTTTTCTGTTTAGATGACATTTCGCGACTTGCAGGTCGATGAACGATTCAAAAAGCTAGAACGTGTCCTTAAATTGTCTCTCTTGAATAAAATTGATGGAAAAAAGATGGATAGACGAAGTGGATTCCCTATGCCTGCATGGTCAATTTCCAGTATTAATTCAATGGATCTAAGTTCCACAGCACAGTCTCTTAACACGTCTTGCATGTGTAGTGAAGTTGTGACCTCTAGTAAGAATCTCAAAAAGACTTTACCTAATAGCAAGAGATCTGGCAATCCTCTTGAAAGAATGGCTACTTCTAGTCTGAAGGACAGTCCTGTAACTGCTAAGAATGATCTAGACACATTAGCTATGCCACCACCGAGTATCTATGGAAAGAGTAAAATTCGACAGCAGGCAACTCCTGATGCTGATCATATTTCTAGTATAACAACACCAAGCACAAGTGAGTTTCAAGCTCCTCAGACTACTGCAGAACTAGACATCACTGTGCCAAAAGCTTATCACCACAACAGTGGTTATACACAAGGCAATACGAAAGAGTCTCGAAGAAAATTACCTACAGTCTTCTACAAATGGAAGGTTATCCTCAATGATCAAGGTCAATTACTTATCAAGGGGACCTTAGAGAACAACAGACTCGCTCATAGCAAGCCTGTGATTCGGAGACTAACTTCGACAAGTGTAGTATCAATATTAAAGCACACTTATCGTCTCAATGGAAACATTGTCGATGATAGACATGACCTGCCTGATTATGTACGTGGTAAATTTTATAATGGTTTTCCTGAAGACTGGGAAAATGTACATCAAATTTGGAGAAGCTTCGTAGCTAAGGGATGTAAGCCAAATTTCCGTTGGCCAACTCCAATAACTGATAGTGATGATGATCTCATAAGTGAAGTTACAGATATGATTTTTATGAGCGAAAGAAACACAAGACATCCTAACCGAGAGCAAGAACAATCACATACATCAGTTAGACGGAACAGTTTTAACACATCTACTTCCTATAAGTCCAATGCAAGTGTATTGAAGGAACGTGCAGATTCTAGAATTTCCGCAACCCCTACAATTCCTCTTGCGGATACTTCATACGTTGAAAACAGCCTTAACAAAGGAGACGAGTACACAAAGAGCAGCAATTCATCAATTGTTGGAACAACTACATCTAGTAAACTCGAAGACAAACTAGCTGCTGTTATCAGTAATCTGACTGGTCGCAATTGTTCGCAAGAGTATATTGAAAAGGTTACGGTAATGTTTGATTGTCTTAATTACGTTGTAAATTATAATAAGGCGCATGACGAAAATCAGTTAGAAAACTTCACGAGGAATATATCGACTACTTCGGCTAAGAATGAATCGCAATGTGAAAATAATAGAATTTCAATGATGGCTTCTTCTATTTCAAACTATAAAGAGCAGAATTTGCCTAATTCAAAAATGGATTGTTTGGGTCATTCTGAATATTCCAATACCGCAGTATCCCATTCTATGAATGGGCCTGAAGGAAGGAAGGAAGGGCCTGAGCACAGATCAAAGGATGCTGGTCAGTGTAATTCAAAAAGAGATATCGATTCTGAATCTGAGAGTGAAACTTATTCAGGCGTACCGCGAATATCCGCTGACAAAATCTTTAGGGCCAGAAACCTGCAAGAGGGACCTTCCAAGCACTACGTTAGAAAGCCGATTAAAGATTGTCATACAACTGGGCATAAAAGGATAGACAAGGTCTTGACAGTCGATTTAGAAAGGACAAATAATATTCCAGCTACAAATCCTAGTATCAGCAAAAGTTATAGTCAAAGCAGAGATAACAGAAAACTGTCACCCTATGATTCCAGTGTCAGTATACTTGAAAATCCTAGCGATTACGAGACTCACAATCGAGCAATGTGTCAACCACATAAACAAATGACTTCAAAACATAGGTCTGTATCATTGAATGCATACCTTAGTGATATTGAAAATGATTGTGGTATCTTAAATGGTCAGGTTTACAGAGGATCAAAATCTACACATAAACCAAACAAAAAATCATCACCAATAGTTGCTCTGAGTGATGTAGGATCACGAGAGAGAACACCAGTGCCCACGTTATGTCAACAACAAAAAATTATTTCGTTTCCTAAGGATCAGAATCAGGTTGTTCATGAGGTTCCCGATAAGGTCTCAGTTGTAACAGCGCCGCGTCAACCGGTTGAAAAAACTCTTCGTGATATGGAGAATAAAAAAAATCATAATTCTAACGTAAAGGAGAACGAAACGTCACCTTCCACGTCACAAAAACAACACAACATCGTTCCATCAGGTTCAAAACCGTTAAAAGCACAGAAAACATTATCTCCACCAGTGGCAAGTGAACAACCGATTTCGCCGAGAAAAGCAACGAATAACTTAAGAGAGAATACAGAATTAACCAAAAAGGATTATGGGTCGAAAGCTAATCCTAAGATACTTGTGGCATGGACGCCACTCGTTGTCTACAATTCTGAATCCGAGTCCAAATGCGGTTTGGTTTTTGAAGGAAGTTTATTAAACGAAGCTGGTCATGTTGTTAACAGGAAATTTAATACGGATCAAATTTTACGAAGAGTTTCGAGCAAAATTGTCGAGACAGTGCGTCATGAATTTTTTCAGCTATCAGGAGATCTCAACGACACTAAGCATATCGTTCCCAAGGAGCTGTTAAAGCATTGCAGAAGTGGCTGCCCGACACATATTAATCAATTTTGTGATAATTGGAAATCGTTGAAGATGGATAATTTTGTAAAGAATATTGAGCCACTGGATGGTTCCACTTTGAATGTCTTAAGTATTTCGACTAGCTCCAGGGGAAGACGAATCCTACCGCCTTTGAATTATTGGAACGGCGAACGTATTACGTTAAAGGATAATAATGCAGTTTACAGTCCTGGCAAATCACGAGATACTTGTGAATTATCAAGAAGTACGAAGAGCCGTACGAGTTTTTCCCAAGACTCTCAGGACGAAGGAAAGCAGAAGACCTCTACCCAGGAACGTAACAATTCTCGTGAGAGTAAAAAATACCCGGTAACAGATATGAAGTATCATACTAGAGGCACGGCAGGTCGACTTGCGAAAAATGAGACGAAGTCGCAAGATGATGAAATGAAAAGATATATTAGGAAGAGACGAAGTATTGTTCAACAATTAAATTTCTCATCTAGCGACGAGGAAAAGACAAATTTTACATCGCGTAGAACAACAAGGTCGAGTACCAAATCCGGTGGAATGTCTAATGGAAAGAAAACTAATAATTCTCCATCTATTGAATATACAGTATGCTAACTTTTTTTTAAATAATATCTAGGACACATTGTTTCATAATATTTATCTTGTTAATTAATTAATGAATTAATTCTTATAGGCTGAAAGTTCATCGCGAATGAAGACGGACGCGCTTGAAAATTCTTCGCGAAAATCGAGAATGGCGAAGCGACAAAAACTTGAAAATTCACCAAAATCTAAACAGTTATCAAACGAGATACAGTCTGACGTATTGTGAGAACCGTTAGTTATGACATTAGATTATATTTGCAAAATTTAAATAACCAAGATATTTCTTTTTTTTTTGTAAAGGCACCGAAACAGACAGAGATCAACGTCGCGAGGTCGTGAGCAGAATATAATTTGCACGTATCACGAAAATGTATCGCTACAAGACAGCATGCTGTCAGATGACGAGATTTCGCACATACCATGAAATGGAGAAGATAAAATCAAAATTATACTATATAGTTTAAAGGCGTAGCCATGTTTTATGACTTGTAAAATTTCTCTATGTTAAAATACAATGTTTTTAAAATCTGTGATTTCTCGTTTAACTGAATAGATTATATTATCAGCAATCCAGTGATAACAGACCGGGAGCTAGCTAAATGACCTAAAGCGCATAATTACAATTAACAAAAACCCCTGCATTGTGGTAATTCAATTATAAATATTAGAGACAATCACCAACTTGACACGTAATATTTGGAATGTAAGTAGTGCTTCGATTTCGTTTCCAGTTGCACTCACTTGTTTACTTCGATCTATATTTCATAATAATATAATAATAATAATAGACAGTATACTATGGACAATAATGCTTAATCATGTTAGCTCTCGTCGTAGAGAGGAGTACCGTCTCCACTTAGAGACATACTCCGAGGACTAGAATTCGTGTGCGGTGTTCCTCGGGGTGACTTGTACGACGGAGTGCGAGCCGATGGTGGTCTGTTGCGGGGTGTTGCTCTTCCTGAGGACTCTTCATATCCTCTTGGGGTTTTCCTGGAGTCTTCATACCGTGGTGTGCCGCCACTATGATATTAAGAATTAATTAGATTTATTCATTGTAGACAATGCGCGTAAGGTAGGATCTAATGACACTTACGACATCCTTGGCATCGTTTGCTTGAGTCTAGCCCAAGCTTCGGCAGCCTTTTTCCAATCCATTGGATCGCCGGATGGTGTTCCTATAGGAGGTGTTGGTCGATGGGACGGAGTGCTTCTATGGTGAACGGGTGTCACGGTAGGTGGACCAGGATGTAAGAAGGGACCTTGATGATGGCTAGGAGTCTGTTGCCCGTGTTGCCCGTGCTGGCTGTGTTGTGAATACCTGGGTGTTGGTTGAGCGTGATGAGGAGTATGATGTGGTGTTTGATAAGGTGTCATGAATGGCGTCTGTCCGGAAGGTGTGTAGGGAGTATTTGGATAAGTATGCATTCCGCCATAGCCGGTAGCTCCGGCTGTTCCTGGAGTATGCGGAGGATAATGATGAGGAGTTTGATTTGCCACTTGAGACAAAGAATGAATCATGTGATGTGGAAGATTCTGTGCAACTCTTTGTATGGCTTCCTGGTTCATGCCTAAAAAATTTATTCAGATATTTAATATTATTTCTAATGCAATAAAAGTTTCTCGAAATTAAATTTATACGCACCGCTGACATTAACACCTGGAGTTGTATGATACGGTGTCCTGGAGGTCATAGCTCCACGTGGAGTGCTAGGTGTTGCCTGACCTGGTACTGGGTCTCTGAAGTGTTCCTTGAACCAGCGGAACAGGTCGTTAACTCTGCCAAACATTTGTCCACGGAATCTAAACCCTTCTGGGGATACAGTGACGTATTCGTGGCGACATCGTACTCTTGGTAAATAAGAGAGCAAAAATTTTCCTGGATAACTCTGCAAACAACGAAGACAAAACTTATTAGATAAAATTTGTATTAATTTTAATGTGATTACTGTAGAGGGACGTACTTTGGCAGCAGATATGATGTATGGAATTCCACCAGGATTCTCTTTTTTCTGGTCCTTCAATATCTCTTCTGCTTTGTCTTTTAGACCATCAATGTTTGGTTTATAGTACTTAAAATCTAATAACTCGGAAGCATACGCAGCCATTGGATTAACGTGTCGAGCAATTATTTCATCTAAATCCTCGAACTCCTCATTTCCAATCCACAGGCTTTGTCCAAGAGAAAAAGCATTCTCCTTGCCTTCTTCTCGTACGTCAATGTGTTGATAGATATCATCCGTTATCTTCCAGGTAACTGTCAGATGATCCGCACCCTTGCTACTTGGTCTGACTATAGCTTCTCCTTGCTTCATATGTTGCATAAGCTTCTCTGCTTCAGCAAAGCTAATATTATGGAACGACGGATGAACTATAACGCGTTTCACGTAAGTTTGCCTCTGCTTTGCTTTCTTAGCCTCCTCTTCCACTTTCAAGTCCTTTTGCTCTGCTTCAGTGTCGTAGAAAGGATCCTTCTGTGGTCTAGAAATGTTAAATAAAAATTCAATAGTTTATAAATAATTAACAGTTAAGAATTTTGTAAATTGATCCTTGCGTTACCTCCACTCATGGTTCTTGTCAGCAAGATCACTGCTCTTGCTGGTACACTCAACGCTGAATCGCTCGACTTCGATTTTAATGATTCGACAATGAATTATCTGACCGATGCCCACTCTTTCCTCTGGATTAGCGACGTGCCTATCGGACAAATTCTTAATGTGAATGTACCCAGATATTCCATTGTCCAGACGCAATCTTACGCCCGTAGCCTTTCCCGGGCAAGCGCCAGCATCAAAATGATTCCACACTTCAGACAGTTCAGGGAAGTCGTTCTTCAAACAGAAGGGACATTGCCAAAGGCCAGTTTCATCGTTTCGTACAGGATTCGCTTGGTCCAGCTGTTCACCCTGCGGCTTCCTGTGGCTGATTCCGACGACGGAGGCTAAGACCAGTTTACCTATGTAAAATGTGTCTGGAGTTTCTTTTGTAAGAATGTCGAATAATTTCTCAGCACTTGGAGACTGATAGGGCACTCTCAAATCCTTGTATCTGCTGTTTAATTCTGCTCTGATATCATAGAGTGTAACGCACTTGTTTCCAAAGCCCTGTCTTTCCAGTTCCTCGGCAAAAGCGTCCAGATCGAGATCCTTCAACCTCTCAGGAGACTCGAGAATTTCTTCAAGAGCTCCAGCAGGATTTGCGTCCTCATCGTCGTACTCCAAAGCATCCACAGCCATTTTCCTTGCCCACTCGTACGTCTCAGGATGCACACGAGAACCATCAAGTACCTCCACGTATGCTTCTGTACTGTCTCCCAAACTGTTTGTGTCTATTTTAATGAAACCAGCACAGTTTATAAAAACCTTTGGTCCCATGTGACAAGCTGTTACCAGCTGCGTCCTGTTTTCTAATCTTTGATTAGTTTGTTTGAGCATCTTTATTAGGGCCTGACCTTTCCTAGGGCCCAAGCCGCATACAAATTGCACGAGGTTACCTGCGTAAGCCTGTTGAACAGCTTTATTAACATCCACACCAACTTCATTAACCCGATTCACGAATTCAAGATAGAGATTCTCCAGAAGTTCTTCCTTGCTTATCTGGTCTTGGAGGGTATGATACCTCAGACAAAGTATTTCCTCATCAGCGGTACACAGCTGTGAGAATTCAACAAGAGGATCCTGCATTCTTCTTGCGAGTGATATAGCTTGACGAAGAAGCTCCGGATAGTCACGGAATTCTGCGATACCTTTATTGCTGTTCGAATAAATTTTAGCTAACTCGTTGTCACATATCTCCACCTGAATAGAAGGGAATTGTTCATCTTCTACAAGAGTAGCGATAACCTCCTTCAAGTCTGTAGCTATCATCATTGCTTCTCGTGACTCTCCACCAATAACAACAACGTGAGGCTTTTTGGTAGCTATGAAGTTTCGAATAGCCAAAAGGTCAGCCTCCTTCATCATCTTCTCATCCTCCCGGAAGCCGTTCTTTCTTTTTAGGAGATGTGGAAGCCTCAAGTAATCAGTGCACTCCCCATCTGGCGCTACAAGGCAGGTAAATGCAGCTTGAGAGTAATCAGGCACATAGGAAATACCCATTACACGAAGTCCCTTGCTAGTGTCCCACTCCTCGTCCTCCTCTTCAGGAAATTCACAGCTATACGGTGCTACCTTTATCCAATTGTACATCTTGCGACAGCAAGCACGCAGTACGCACTCTTTTCCTTCAGCAATAAGATTCGACCTCAGTTCTTTCTTAAGGTCCGGTATGACCATACGCGTTAGCGCCATTTCTACGCTACCCACTCTCAAAGCATTCCAGTCCTGGACAGTCTTACTAAATTCATCCCTGTAATAAAGCTGCTTCATTTCTTCCACGTAATTACTGCTAGTATTTCCTTCGATGGTGTCGCTCATGGTGATCGTAATAAGTTTATCTTCTTCAGCAATCGACAATTTCAAAAATTGATCACCATCAAGATCCCGCACGGGTTTGTCTTTCAAGTACTTCATTCCGTAGATCGGATGATTTTCATCTATCTCCTTAATACCCCTTTTCGTAGGATGAACAGATATTTTTGCTCTTTCCATGTACATCTCGCGAACACATTTTCGCACTAAAGGTTCGCGTGCTAACTGTATGGCAACCATCAGTTGTGCAGCCTTGAGAACTTCTTCATGAGTCTTGAACTTTGCACCGCAGAAGTCAAGCGCTACTGTCGACGGTTCCGTAGGATCCTGGTCGACTTCGTGACGCTGATAATTGTCACGTAGGTTTTCAGCAAAATGCTCTGGAGTCAGACCGAATTTCTTTGCAAGACCATCCAAGCCCGCCTTTCTGCAGATTGAGTACGGACCGGTTCTTACCGCTTGTTTCAGAGTTTCATCTGGTTCATCCTCCTCCTCTACATCTATCTCGTCCTCCGGTGGAGGTTCCTCACCGTTCTCTTCCGCTTCTGCGATTTGCTGTCTTCTTCTTTGAATTCTTGCTTCGCGTCTAGCCTCCCTTTCTTTCTTTCTGACGGTCTCCTGCATTGCTGGTATTTCGTGGCTGTAATACAGCATGAAATGATGATGAACGTCATTCAGCTCATCGCTAGTTTGAACATTCTTCAAACGATCTATGTCTTCCTCCCGGATGACGCGCACATTGTCAGGAAGTGGAGCGTCTGGGTTCTTCATAATTTCATCAAGCTGATAGTTTCGCATTTTCTCAAAGAGTTTCAACAAGTTTTCTTTTCTTTGACGTAACTGGCACCACTTAGCGTCAAATTTGTATACTTTCCAGAGGTCGTTAATGTTGAGTTCTGGGAGAACGTATTCCTTTCTATAGAAGGAAATGAATGGTACTTCAAAGTGTTGATTTCTCATGAAATCTAAAGCCTTCTTGATCTTTCCAACTGTTTGTGGTCCTTTTCGTGCTCGTTCTTTTGCTTCGGCGTTTAAGTGTGCATCTTGAATTGATACTGTTGGTCGGCAGAATGCCTGTTGATAAATCCATTCTGCTTCGAGGTCTAATTCGTCGGAACCTTCTGGTACAGAAGTAACTGGTACCGAACGAAGTTGCATTCGCTCTGGTATATCTGTATTTCGAATCTGAAATTGATAAATAGATAGTCATATAAACAACACTTCATTATGAGAACGGTTTGAATATTTCTGTATCTATACATACTTCATTATCCATGTCCGTAAAATGACCTCTCTTGAGTTCACTTGGCTCATATATTTCAAAAATACTCTTTTTTGTAGGCTTCTTCTTTGGTTGCTTCTTCGGACGCCGTGGTCTCTCTCCATCCCCGTCATCGTCAACGTATTCATCCTCTTCGTCTTCCTCTTCTTCCTCGTAATCTTCCTCACCATATTTCCCGAATTCATCATAGTCGAAGTCCACACCAAAAATATCCTGAGCTTCTTGAAGAGCCCTGTTTCCCATTATAATACGTTGATTAAATATTATGGACTGTAATACTAATAAATCTTGCAATAGAACTGAACATAAGAAATTCTTTACGTACGCGTCAGAGAATATATGCTTTTTCCTTTTTCGCCTTTCTGCGATAGGTCTCCCATCGTCATCCACAATGAAATCATCTGCATCTGAGTATTCACCTTCACTTCCTTCCTCATCAAATGTTTCTGCCTCAGGCCTGTGACTCCGTTCACTTCTCCGTTCATCCTCCTGATATCAAAGGTAAAAGATCGAATAATGTAACAAGTAAACACTAAAAACATACATACCACCAATCCATCCCTTTCCTAATACAAGCAAGCAGGCAAGCAAAAAACCAACATGAGCTAAGAAGTCCTAACATATTGGATACTTTAATGAAATATTAGAACTTACATCACCGGAACCCTCAAATAGTTCATTTGCAATTGCATCTCTTTCCTCATCAGCCTCTTGTTCTTGTTCCTCCTCAGATTCTTCATCTTGTATTCTTCGCAAGCGCTTGAAGCGTTTCTAAAACAAGGAGCATTCAGAACAAGTTATGAATTTTATAGTTAGGTTAGACATATATTTTTTAAGGGCATACCCTTTCAACTTTAACACCTAAATTCTCTTCTATGAGATCATAATCTTCATCCTCAAGGCGGTCATCAAAATCTTCATCATCACTTTTTTTACGTTTCTTAGAACCACCTGAATTATCGCTATCCTCTCCCTCACTTTCCTCTATAGGATTATCATCAATAAGATCTTTCAGTTCTTCACGAAGTCGGTCCTCATCATCTGTGTCAAATATAATTGAAATAAAAACGTACTCAGAGAAGATTTGTATTAATCACAACAGAGGATTTACCTTCTTCCTCCTCATCACTCTCCTCCACAGTCTTTAATTTCTTTAATTTCTTCTTTTCAGTATAATCCAACTCCTCTTCCTCCTAAAAAACCACAAAATATGGGTATAAAAGTTGGTTCACCAGTAAAGAAATGCAATGAAAATGGCGTTGCAAAACTTCTCATGCAACAACATATTACAATAGTATATCTACAGATACTCTACCTCGCTCTCTTCAGCCTCAGTATCCAGAAAATCTGCCATTCTTTACAATATACGTAAATCCACCTCACTCAACGAAAAAATGGATTTACTCAAATCTCACGGTGCCTGATGTACGATGAAAAGACTGACAAGGCACTCAACCTTCTGTGATATTCTAAAATGGCTCCACCGTCGGCGTCCTATGAAACCAAACCACTTCTTTACTCTGTGGTATGCAACAACACGAATTTATTACACTAGATGGCGATAAAGTCAACAATGAGAAAAAGTGTACAAAATATTTAGTGACAAAGACAATTTAAAACAAAGTAGTTTTATTTTAATAATGCTTATTGCGCGTGTTATTGGTTACCCGTTAACCTCATAAATTAACACAAACCACTACCAAATATAAGTAGGGAGATTGCCAATGAGTCGATTTTCATGGTCTAGTTTTATTTCAGCGTAGACGCGCCACCTGATTAGTGGACGTTTCTGCATTTTTCAATATGTCTGTGATCGTAGCGTGGCCTGATTAAAGAAAAGAGTAATACCCGGCCGTAAACCTAGCACCTCAGGCTGCGAGGCCCCAGGTGTTCGCTCTGTTTATCCTCAATACGACGAACGATACTTGACCGCACCGTCGGGATTGGTGAAAAACATTAGAATCTGAACCAATCACCTTGGGTCTAGCTTATAGCGTTGATATCCAGTATTTCTACTGGGTTGTTTTATTGGACAAGTTTTTATAAGCGTCATTTCTTTAAAATTCTTCGGATAAATTATTAGAAAATACATTATTATCGAAGCTGATGAGTATACAGAAATACATGTAAAAAAACATTACTGATATTCTTTAAATAATTCTCAATAATAATTTCCTTATGTTTTGTTCATCACAGAAATAAAACGTATCTAACAATCGAACGTAAGACAAATAGCAGATACTTCTAACTTTTTTATATAGGTCAGAGCTGATTAGTTTGTTAAAAGATATAATATAGTGAGATAATGCATTTAAATAAAAACGCTTCAAATGCAGTAGTCCTCTAGCACATACGAAAGCCTGTGTGATGATCTGATGTCAAAAAATACAAACATGATAGAAAATTTCATGTCCAAGGGAATTTATTAATTCCAAATTTCTATGTAGATCATGTACTCTGGTGTAATACAAGGATATCTACATCTATGAAAGTATGTCGCGATGATTGTATTTCGTGGTTGGACAGTTTCAAAGACCTTATCAGTAAACGAACCCAATCATTATGTGATCATCGAATTCCTTCCGAATTATTGACAATTCTTTATAATTATTCAAATTTTTTCGCTCAATCTTCTGGAAGATAAAGCTTTACGAACATCAGAGGGTCTTATATATAGAACTATAATACATATATTCTAATGCGCCGCCATATTGAATAAGTGGAAAAGGTTTAAAGGCGGATCGATACTGTAATACATTTATACATATGTATAATTACCTTTCAATTATAACGTAGAGAGCATAGAAATAGTATAACAAAATATATGAAATATTTATAAAATGGCTATCCACCATGACTCGTGAAAATTTCGAGAATCCGGTATATGTATAATATACGTATATACCCGGTTATTCAGCCCAAACGCACCACTTAAACATAGTTTTACCATAAGGTTCAAATGGGTGCGATAACTTCACGTGGTGCGTTTCTACTGAATAACTCTGTATATATTTATGCGGTATACACCTCGTTAACGCAAGATTAAATCATTCTCTATAGCCTCTCTTGATCTAGTCTTATTTTTTATTCTTTATAATCTCTGTGTCCATTTTTCCTTGTACGCTGCTTACGATACTCGACTTTCACGATTCACGTCAGAGAAAGTCGAACGAATATAACCGTGCATGGCCCAAGCCGTGCCTTATCACACATTTTCAATATTATTTATTATTTACAAACACCCAGTAGCACTTAGCTTTGATTACTTAAAATTAAATACACTTCCATATTCCGTATAATATGATTCATGTTTGGATACGATCGCGCGGAAAACGCGTTTCCTTTTATTACATGTATCCGCCATTGCAAAAGAAATGTGTATGTCACGCGAGTACGTTGATCTGCATTCAACATTTCTTGGTCAAGTCGTTAAAACCTATCGAGTTGAAATAGATAAGAAAAAAAAATATAGTGAAATTCCGAATGAAGATGAGGTAGTGAGATTTGTAGATATTTATCACATTCGATTTAATAGTGTCGCCCTTCCAAATTTAAAGAGAAAATTCGTGCCACCAGTTAAATATCGCAAAATTTCAGAAAACTTTTCACTTTAGAATATTAATTGTATAAAAATAGAAGTTCTAAAATTTTATAGAAGATATGTATGTACGATGCGTACGTTAACATATTCACAAACACGCACATACTTTTTGCAATAACTCGCGATCGTGTCTCCTGGTAAATGTATTCGCTCCTATTTTTGAATTTGTGAGCTTCTCCTATCTACGACTCAATGAAATATATGTTTTTATATTAATATATCTCTTTCTTTGTCTCCCTTCAATTCGTTTCTGAACGTTCTACGCATAACTTATCTACAGCTGGAAAATGTCAAGTTTTTCGCTAATTGATGATCACTGACTAGAAGCTAAAGTGGACGTCGTTATCGTACATTAAAATGTGCACATTATTGCTATACTAAAATTTTCCAGTTAACGAGACTTTATTAACTTGAATTGCGAATACCTTCAAATATATAATATATATTTGTTTGTATGTATATATATATATGTATGCATATAACATGTTTCTCTGTTAAATTTTAAAATAATAACTCGACCGGAAACGCTTAACCGACATTAGGGAACTGTACAAAAAATGGAATGATACGTCAATTTCATTCTAATAGGAAACAATTATGTACAATGTGTCGATAAAGTAACAATTACTTAAATTGAACCGTGCAATTAATTCCCAAATAAAGTTCACTATGCTATTTCACCACCTATTACATCAATCAATTCATATTCACTTAAAAAATTGCAAGATTTCAAGAGAATGTATCGAATTTTTTTTGTTTTATTGACTGGAGCAACGTCACGTCTATTAAATATATTTTCCTATGGTTATGTAGAACGTGATTGCATTTTACGTAATATTTTTATGTATACCAGCTCCGGATAATTAACGCAATTAATTTCGAGGCACTACCGTCGTAGAAAGTATGATACGATATGACGCGTGCATGATATGCCATCTTAAAATCAGACTAGAATAAAATTGATTTCTATAAGTTACGTCAATGGATACAGACGCAGTTATTTTCGTAGCTGATTTGTTCCTCCTTGCCTCCTTGAAACGAAGAAGAAACAAAATCATGTAATACTTGAGCCATTGTTCGTAAATATAAATGCCAATCGTAACGATTATGATATGACGTGGACATAAATATACGAAACCTTGAGAAAACCCCACCCTTATTTTCAAGATCAAATTAGAAGACCAGAGAGTTCGGCAGTGACAATAGTAAAAAGGGTATAAGTACCAAGGGAAGAGTTTCGTGGAGAAAGATGAGACTTAGCTATGGAAAAATATAAGCTCTCGAAAGACCATTCCCACCTAGTAGATCACTAGTTATTTGTGAGTTTTTTTCCGCGAAAACTTCCTCCAATAGCTATATAAATACTTAGGCGCCTACGCGATGCACAAGGCAACAAATCTTCATTCTTCATTTTTCATTTATCAAGTTTCACACTTATTTCATTATGCTTCGCTCTTCACTATTCATACTTTTCAAGTCTTCCATGGATAACGAGACATTGCGGTGCTTCGCTCAGCTGTCAAAGATGTCGAACTTTAATGATCGTGACTCTGGCAGCCGATGAAGGGCGTTAAATGCCTGATGAAGCGAGGATGAATTGTCAGCATCGCCAGCACTGAATCTGTGTGATAATTTATTTGGTGAATCCCAGCACGTCGTCGACACTCGACAAACTCTCGATACTGCTTGTTCCTCCTGATTGTTGTTGAAGGTACAATTATTGTTTCCTGAAACTGTTCTGGTTGACTTCATCGGATACAGTGGCACTGAATTTGTATTCTGGATGGCTAACCTGGTGACTGTGGCGGCGATTGCATCGGCGAACCCGCTAAAGAAGACAAGGGTTCGTAGGGTGGTGGAGGAGGTGAAGACGGAGAAGGCGTAGGCGACGGAATCGACGATTTTAGAACAATTTCTGGATCTAATCCCAAGAGCCTGAGAACTCTGTGAGGATCGGTGCGAACCCAGAGTTCCAAGAGATCGATTGGCCAATCAGTTTGCGTCGAAGCATGTGCCAATCTAGCTGGTGGGTCCCAGCAAAGAGCATCTGGCGGATGTGAGGAACTTCTAGCCAAAACACCACTTCCCCTGCCAGTTGGAGTTGGAAGGTTTGGATTGCTCTGGGGAGAACTGGCTAGCAGCTGCAGTGTCTGAATAGCGTTTCTGACCTACGTTAACAAACAATTATAAACTGTAAGATTCGTTACACACATACACATTGAATATAACAGAAATTATGCCAATCGTATTATCTTACCTCATAACTCAAAGTAGCTACGTCTTGGTGCAAATTTGTCACTTGAGTATCCAATCTCTCTACGGATCCTCTAATATGATCCTCGGCAGACTCTTGAGCGAGAACTTGAGCAGCTCTTCCTCTTATTATTGCACCCCTCACTCCACGTCTACCCTCTCTGTACTCGTCCCTACACAAAATCATCCACGATAACAAAAAAGTTCCAAATCGTTATATTTTGATTAAAAATCTTACCTGAACTTTGCATGACGTGGACTCGTCGCTATGTGCAAGGGTGATCTATTTGGTGGTGAAAGGGGTGAAGTTTCACCTTCCTCAGGAAGATTTTCATCATCCTCACTGATAGAAGGCAAGGTCAAAGAATGCGCACCATTCATATCAGACTCTTGGCCAGCAATGTAACCCTCCCTTAAATTGTAGGTAAGATCGTGCTTTATGTCATGAGCAAATTGATGCTGATACTCAGGATAAAGTCTGAGAACATCCACCAGGCCTTGCATATTGATACATTTGAGGTCACAATAAGTCAGTGCCTTAACGTCGCAGCTGGATTTTACTACAACATCAGCAGTTCCAGAACCACCACCACCGGTACCACCACCATTATTACCATGTTGTAAGTGTACGTTTATGTCGCAACCCACCAAATCTCCCTTCCCTGAAATACCCCAAAAAAATGTATCCAAAGAATGAAACCCCACGTGGTATTATATATGAGCGTTTCCATGCAATATAATATTCCTATTAAGCAAGAGAAGCTTACCTAAAATGGCTACCACCATGCTGTTTTGCACGACCTCCATCGAACCATTGCACAGATAGTAAATGTAGGATAGAGCATCCCCTTTATGAATGAGAAATTCGCCAGGGGCGCAGAAGTTGCTTCGAATATGAAGCGAGAGCAGCTTGAGGCAACCCTGTGAGGCTGCTTCGAATATCGGTAAACTCAGGATTTCACGATGCAAATGCATTGAGACGTCGCCTCGAAGCTCTTCCGGAAACTCCTTCAGCGTCTGAAAAGAACGTACGGATTCTCATATATTGCAAAGCGTATCTAGTTTCGAATGGCGGTGAACTAGCTTGTGGGGAGAGAAGAGAGTTTGGAGAAGACGTTGAGGCTAACATTCAGAGTGAATTGAAGAGGCTGATAAAAAGTGAAATAGGAGGAAAAAGTTTCAAGATTTTTAAAGGATGAATAACGTTCGTCATCTATAGTGCTTTATCCGTAATTCGCAAAGTTACACTTTGTCATTCGTGCATCCCTCAAACGATAGTTTTACCTTCTGAGTAAGCAAAGGAAGGGGATGAATGAGTCGACTCAAACACTTGTAGATGACTAATTAGAAATTCATTACAATAGTTCACCGGTAGTAGCCATGTTTTCAAACAGGTACTGTGCACGTGCATACAATTGAAATCTACACTCTAATTGACAGTGAAAACCAAAAGAACAATTTGCAATAAAATTTCTTATTCTGTGAAGTAAATACTGACAGTACGGTATGTAATTATTTTAGAATCATAATCATGCAAAGTATATTTATATATATCTATAATAGATGGATAAGAGAGGTGGCAAATAGGTATATAGCCAAGGTAGACATGAATAATATAAATACGTGTATCCCAGGAAAGCCGAGGTCTCCAAAGTTGACTGATTGATAAAGGGACAGAACAAATATCCCCAAGAAATCAATGTGAAATACGCACAACAGTTTGTATAACGTCAATCAATCGAAATCAGAAAATTCATATCAACAGCAGGATAAATCGAACCTGAATCAGCAACCAGCAAGGATCCCGAGGCTCGTTGCTGGTGGCTAGAGAAATCGTTATAAGCCAAATAAAACTTCTTAAGCATGCTTTGTACCTGAATACATTTTCTGAATTTTATTCACTTGTTTTATACGCGCGAACCTAGCATCTGCTTACGCACAATTACTATAACCTTACTTCATTACTTTATTTAACGTACTTACGTACTACAAGCACGTGGCGCAAGAGACAATGCGAATAATAGATACAAATATTAGCACATTGTATTGTTAAAGGTCTCCTCGTCCTTAAATGACGATTAATTTATATATTTATAGGATATATATTTGTATAAAGAAAGATTGAATAAAGACGTAATATCTTGCGTTCGTTTGCACATTCAGGATCTATCGATATTTCGATTATACCAATTATGAGATACGTGCAAGGAACTTCTTGAAGGATTCTCGTTATACACCAACAGCCTTAGGAAACCTCTATCCCTGGATCGAGTACGTTCAAAGTAAATAACAGTAAATCCCAAGGCTCAAGGAGATACGTAAACCCTTCAAGGATTTCTAGGATCGTTCGCTTTACACACCTCCCTTACCTCGTGTATGTCAATGCCATGATTGAGCGACCACATAGTTTGGAAATAGTCCTGCATCCTTTGCTTGAGCTCGTCAGGTATCTGGTGAAGTGCTAGGAAGTCCTTGAGATCTCGCCACTTTGTCTGATAAAGTGATCTTCTCGAGTACATTCTCTGAATAATGGCGGTCACGTTACCAAATACCACAGCGTGCATCAGCGCTGTAAATTGAATCATGGAAATTCAAATTAATTAAATTAAACATATAATAATAGACTGAAACGATCGATAAATTACTGACCACCGATTAGCATAGTGCATATGGAAAATATCTTCTCCGAAGATGTATTGGCTGACACGTTGCCAAAACCTACTGAGGTCAGACTACTACAGGTGAAGTAAAGTGCAGTGATGTAACTCTCAGAGTGCGTCACGTTCTGCACGGAAATCTTCAGTCTGTCAGCCAGAGTATGAATCCAGCCTGAAAATCATAGAGACACGTGCCAGATAAATGGATGGTGACAAAATGAAGGATATGTCAGGGATCACGAAGATAAAATGAAATCCTACATAAAACTGAAGGTTGAGTTCACGTTCAGTGTCACTGTACTTTCGCTAGTAGAAAACCTTAAGATTTTCTGATAAAAAAAAAAGTTTCATATTTACATTTACATTCCTTCCCAGCAAACTGTTTTCCAGTTTGGTTTTCGCGTCGGAGACTAAACTCCGAGCTATCACACCCGAGAGAGCAATGTGTACCTATATGTATCTTAGTTACCGTTACATATGTATAGGATCACATATGTCTATTATCTGAGCACATACCTATATATACATAAGATAGCATCCCTCAAGCGCAACAGGCGAGGGTTCAGATCCTCCCCGAAGGTCCCCTGTATTTTTTTATTATATATTCAACCCCCATAACAAACAGTGATTCTTTTTTTTCTTTCACCTACATTCAGCTACTCGAAAAAATAAGCCGTAAACTTTATGAAAAAAAATGTATACACGAGTCGGAACACAAAAGCAGCGATAACATACGTCACGGCGCTCCTACGTCTTGTAATTGTCAGAGGACCATTATCATAAAGCTCAATTTCAATGAAAGCGATTAGACTGCACGTAAAATTCGCATGAAGCTGCAAAACTCAAAGCACAGTAAGTCCAAATGTTTTGTCAATGGATACAGGCAATATAGTATTTAAACGAGCGACGTGCGTCGAAATCTCCGTGGTCGATTATCCTCATGTATCCTCGATGCTGGAAAATGTATAAGAAGAGAGATAAATAATAAAAATGTCACAGATGTAGTACGAATCTCGTGAAAGACCCGAGGAATAAAAGTCAATGAGTTGGAAAGCAATAAAGATCAAAGCATCCCCTAAAAATCATTGAAGCTCGGATTCCCAAGGAATTCCTCCTCCTGGCAATGGCTAATCTGTTTCATAATATGGCTTTTCCTTTTTCTTGTATTTTCTGCTTCTTACACTTCTCCTGCTTCCTCTGTGAGTCTTACCGAGATCCCAGTCTTTATCGTTGCGCAGTCTCTCCTTCTCAGCAATGACGTACCAGATGCACGCGAGCCAATGAGCAACCAGAGTGAACGACAGCATCAGCAATGTCAGGATCATCGCACTGTACTGGGAGTACCTGTCCATCTTCTGCAGCAATCTTGCCAATCTCAGCAGCCTCGTGAGTTTCACTAAATGAATGTGACTGTGTCCAGATTCCTGTTGAACAGAAATCAGTTGAGTTTCATGAGTTCTTAGCAGATTTCTGCTTGTAAAAGTGATATTGGATATCTTGAATGCATTTGCTTGGGTAAGGGTAAAAGCGAAATGGTGGGCGAATACAGTGTGCGCTTATCGATTTCTATCTTGTCGGGATAGTTTCAAGCGTCGCAACGCCGTAGCGTCGGGACTTTCGAGATATTCTCACCGAAGGGTGCACGAAGTCTCGGTTATTAACCGAGTAATCTGATGAGGGCAAGATGCGCTTCGTCAAACCCCACTATGGCGGAAATTCAAAATTGCCAATTACCAGCTAATTGATACCACAGGAACCGCTAAGATTTAATCGTGTGACTGATGCTTATTTTTTTGCTTTGTAAACAAAAAAGTGTTTTTTTTTTAGTTAAACATTTTTTCATTTATCATGGAACTGAGATTCCTTGGTACGAAAGTACAGTGAACTAACTTTAAGTATATTCCGTCGACGGGACATGGACTTGCAATATTATTGATTCTCGGTTAATTTAAAGTTCAATAAAAACAGCTGGGTTAGAAGTCAACTTATTTTATATCCAGTGTCTGATAAGAGTTAAATTAATGACATAAAAAAAAAAGTTCTCTATATACCTAGTGTCGATAAAACAGAAAACTGTAATTTTCTAAGTATAAAGAAAATGGTTTTAAAAAATCCTAGTCACTTCGCAGATCGCTAACCTATTCCCAAGCATTGGTGAGGTCACTAAAGGCCGGGTCAAAGGTTGTCGCTCGTAGAATCGATTCCCGGTATCAGGCACGAGCCTTCTCCCGGAATTACTTCGAAAAGACCTAGTTTTACCGTGACTTTTGCTTAGTGAAAGCGGATCGCGAGTTCGAGAAATATGATGCAGCAATACGTTTTATAATTATAGAAAAATTCTCCTCAACCAAAACCACAAAACATACCGAAAATACACAATAAATAACCAATCCAATACGTCCCAGTATCAAACAGATAATCAGCTTATAAGTTAAAAAAAAACTGTATCAGTGGCAATAGGAGTAAAAATGATACACAGAGATGTCCCAATTCGAAAACTGACTCGACAATGTCAATAATTGAGTATCCCCTTCGACAGGCGTGACTTACAACCGAGCGATGATTGGTCCATTCACGAAGACGACGTAGGCGACAACGAACTCCATTCACCGTGGTGACATCTTTCCTTTGACAATTTTCACCGCGGAAAACTTATTACTTTGCAATCAATCGAGCATACTTTTTTATTTTCTTCCCCTATTCAAACATATAAATTTAATTTGACAATATTACCGTTGCTACACCTGCTATCATTATTTCAATACCCAAAAGGACGTACGAGATATCCATACAAACAAAATGGTGCCGAGGATTACCTCGAGACACTGACCTCTCCGCTGTAAACGTCCGAGGCGTAGAGCACGTCAAAGGGAAGCGCAGCAACAAGATCCACGAGGAACCAGCTTTTCAGATAATTCAAAGCAATACTCTTTCCATTGCTGACGACCTCACCCTTCCTGCTCACATAGGTCGTCCTGAAGTTAAGAATTATATCTGCAAGAAGAAAATGCAATTTTCCTTTATTACTTGGTCGTTGATAATTATAATTTTATATACTGAAAAAAAATAAAAATAAAACACGATGGTTACAAAAGGTACAATTTAACAACGCTGTATAAGCTGGTATCATACAGTATATCAGAGTACAACCAGCCCACTTTATTACAAACGCTTTTCTCAACGTTGCTTGCTATTTCCTCCTGCTTGTTGCTGGATGCACTTTGCACTACTGTTACGAAAGTTTCATCCACATTAAAAAAACGCTATTGCGCTTGTTGCATACAACCAGGTTCTATATACTCTTGCGAAATTGAAACTGGCCTCTGATCTTAGAAAATTGCTGGCTTTTAACTGTCTGCTCAAGTACATCGTCAAAAAGAAACGACATACAAGTACGTTTAGTGTTAAATGTTTAAAAGGTACCCTCTTCTCATAAAAAAAATCATCGATACAAATACCTATCTTGAACTGGAGTCTATCATTTCTGTTTATATATATGGGAACTCCGAGCGTTATCACTGTATTCATTATATGTAGACTCAACGCAAAATACACGTATCTCATTTTTATGGTGTTATTTTTTTTTTATTGAGGACATCAACTTCATTTTTTATAGCATTTACCTTATCTATAACTCCAACCATCCACTATCTCTTCTGTTATATAGTATAACCCTCTACGCGTTAACGCACTTGAAGCACAACTTTCCCCGTGTACTGTTTACTTATTGACGCACGTTGCGTTTACGCCATAGAATATGATAACATAAGATCGGTGCATAAATTGTCTATGTTAAACCAGTTAATAGTGGCCCGATTTATCAGGTTGCATGAACTTTGGAGCGTAAAAAATTTTTTCAAAATTTAAAATATAAATTTTAAACAAACGTACATTCCCGTGTAATTCACGAGCGCTTGAAAGATTTTGCAAAATTCCCAGCAGTCTGAGATAGTCTCAGTTGGATACGAACAAATGAAACGTGGTTTCGCGAGGAAAGACATCTTTTGGAAATTGGACGATTCCTGGTTATTCTCTTCTTTTTGACTTTTTCCTTCCTTTTTTCGCTTTTTCGCTTGACGTCAGCCAGTAGACGGGAGCATTAACGTGATTAAAACACAGCGTCGTTCGGATTATTTCTCTACTTCCAACTACTCTGCGGCTTCCTGGTTCTACCAAACACAGACTGGAGACAGACTTGTCACCCTGGACCAGGATAAAAATCTTAAGAGATTGTCAGTGCGCCAGTATTGTGCCAGGCCTTGCATTAATTTACCAGGTCCAAAAGAATAAGAAACCCTGGGTCGATTTTCTTTTTCTTAAGAGCATCCATTAGTCTGTGTGCAAAATAAACTCGGTGTTAATTCAGTGGGATGTCCAAGGTACGTACAATTGATTGCAGGGAAGCTCAAGATTCTGTGAATACTTTATTCCCTCGTACTAGTGTGAGCGAGACAGAGATTGATCTGAACTTAAATGAATAAAATTAAGACATCAGAGATAGATCAATCGTACCTTACGTTTTCTTATAAGAATTATTAAAATATGATTTTTCACGGTGGACTTACCTACGATGAAGAGGGCCTCGACGACGACGTCGCTGACCATGGTGGGTCTGTCGGTGTTGACAAAACTGGCATTGTAGGGTACAACTACGGCTACGTAGAAAGTTGCTATCAGTATCAGCCAATCCCAGCAGGATTTAAAGCCACCGTAATGGCTAAGAATAAACTGGGATTTCTTGATAGCTGAGGTCTTGTACTCGGGTAATGGAGCTGCCGTGGAATGAAGAAGCGTCTGCGAATGAGAGATGGAGAAGAACGAAAGAAATTAGACAAAACAGCGATTAAGGAAAAAAAAAAAAAAAAAAAGTTTTTAATTTTTTT